CGTGTTATCGGTAAAAGTGCACGGCGACGGCGACGACAGCGACGACGGCGACGGCGACGACAGACGCAGATGATGGCTATATGTACAGACACATCTGTGTCTGTACATAAAAAGGCTTCAATAGAAAAAGCGACTGGCTGGCAAACTGAAAAAAAAAAAAAAAAAAAAAAAAAAAAAACACCCACAAGAATTGAGGAAAAAATCAAACCACATACGAAAATACTCTCTAAACCACAAAAACCATAACATCACATCAACCTTGAAGCAGATTCATGATATTTACATAAAACATTATAAGTTAATTGATACTTAGTAAGTGAATTTACTCAAAATCATCTTGAGGATCATTTAATTTTTTCTTTTTGCCCAGTCATCTTTCAGCAAAAAGAAGGCTAAAAATTGCAAAATATCTTTTCATTATTTTTCAGCTTAGGTAAATATTCAAACACTAGACTGAAATTATGTTGTTTTGCATAACTTGAAAATGAAATGTCAACCTATACTTGAATGGAAAAAAAGATACACTACTATTTTAATTAAGACATCAAGTACTTTTTTTCTGGTTTGCTACAAAAATTTCACAGGATGCCTTAAACATTACAGGGACACTTCATGTGGTTGAACACAGTCTCTATTTTATCCAATGGATGGGGGAGGCGTTATATCTAAACATAGTTATACTATAACTTTTACTCAGAAGGGTTGTCTTAGGGGGTGTGGTGGTTGCTAAATGTTCTTCACAGCTATACCAGACAAAAATATGGTACACAAAGTATGTGCTCAATTAAAATTAATACAAAATCAAAGATATCTCTTAATGTAGCTGTTTTAGTATTATTGACCATTACAGCCACTTTAGACTGCTCAATTTAGCCAACTTAAGACACTGTGGGAAAAGCAGGGACTCATAGCAAACTACACCTTCCAGTGTCTTTTTGACTTAAGATGATTCAGAAGATGTGACCCAGAAGTAAGATGGGACAAATGACAATGAGGACCAAATATTGGTTGGCTAAAAGGTCTGCAACAGGAGTGCTGGTGGTTGAAAAAAAAAAAGAAGTTATGGCTAATTTTTAGTCAACTCTTAGTATAAAAAATTTATCACATATATATTTAATGTAATTGCCCTTTTGACCAAAAATATCTTGTTTAAAAAAAGTCAATACTGTACAAAGAGAGTTACAACAAGCGTTTTCATAGGACAGCAACCAAAGTCTGTGACATTTTGAAGAATAACCACATCATTTCCCTCCACAATCAAGCCATCCTTGAGAGTACTTGCCAATTAAGCACTTCATTCATAGCTTCAACCAATCAATGTAAAAAAATTACAGCGTTGTAAATAACTTCCTAGGATAACTGATTACGATTCAGTATATGAACCGTGTAATGATTGCCCTAAGCAAATGGAACTTTCTTTTACAGAAACTGCTATGTCTATATACATACCTTCTCTAGTTCACTGGATGGTCTGATATAGTACACATTACAGGGCTATATATAGGAGAACATGACAGAGAAAATCACTTATCTGCCATTACTGGCCAATAAAAATTGAAAACTGAAACAAGGGTTGAGAACTGCACTTCAACTGCAGTTATTCATCTTTTCAATATCGTTTTGATGAACATAGACAGAATCAGATAGTAAAGCAATTCTCACAAATTATAATATTTACATCAGTCAAAAGTTTTTTTTTTCAATGTTTACAGGTAGCACTACAAAAATGTTGGCTGTTGTATTTAATTTCAACAGTTTGCGAAATATTGCTTAATTTTAATATATTATGAATAAGGGTTTTCCATCGTATCTAATTAAATGAAGAGTTTGCTGTTTACTATATATAACAATGGCTAAGTAGCTTCTGATATTTTGACAGAATTTGTGTAAGTTGTGTTAAACCTTTGATCTTGGACTCACTGTAACTGCAATCCTGTTGAAAGGCCTGTAGTCAAGAGGGAGAAACAGACAACTTGGGTTCTATCACAGGTTGTATGGCAAAAGATATGTTCTCTGTTTATTGTATGGCTAGGGAAGCAATATGGATGTAGATGCTTGCTTGTCTTCGAATATTCAAAACAATACATTTATCAGAAACACATAAATACAGGACTTGACATAAGGCCTAGAATTTCATGAGTGCCTGGCAAATTTTATTCCAATGACAACATTACACAATAGTAATACTGTGAACATTCTAATTTTTAACTGAAATGTCATACCTGTTAAGGATAAAAAAACAACAACAATTCATTTGAAACTAAAATAGATCTGTGTGACCTCAAAACGTACTTTCTAAGTAATGTAAACAAAGTTTGGAGAAGTCTTGTTCAATATCTTGAAGTGATATATGCACAATGTATCTTTAAAATATCCAACTTGATACAATGTATTCGCAGTAACTCTAAGACCACCCAAGCTCTCTAAACTATTTGCCATATCAATAATATATCTTCTATCGTTATCACTACTTATATCCCACTTACCGTGTTGGCTACTTGTCTACTGCTGTCACTACTATCCCTGGACACACGGGAGTGTTTTGAAGCTTTCTTGGTTCGGCTGTCTAACCACTTCTGGTGATACACTTCAGTGTCTTTGTGGATGTGCTCGGTCAGTTCTTGGAAGTTGTTCTGGTAGCGAGTATAGGTGCCATTTTGATGTCTGCGATAAAACTCGATGCGCCGCCTCAAACGATCCACAACGTCTTTCCTCTTTGGGGGAAAGAAATCCCCCATGCTATCCTGTAAATGCACAATGGTGGACGGGTGAGACCGAGACACAAACGGAAAAGTTCGTGTGTAGTCTCGCTGCTTGGAGGGGGACCCTATACTTGATCAACCAGGGTCGCCTCTAGTCCCAAACAACGACTTAGTCGGGGTCACCAACTGGCCTACTTTGTCCCGTTTACGATTATCTTGGAGCACGAGCGCTCGAGCTTAACTCGTTTATCGAAACACTTAAGTTCCTTCCGTCTCCATCGCTGTGATTGAAACATCTGAAGCCGGTGTGTTTCTTTATAACTTGCCCACGATTAGTTTTAGCACACAAACTTTGAAGTCTGGATGAATTCACCCTGGACCGAGTAAACTAAGCAGGGCGAGTCAAACTTGCCGGAAAAGGGATGTCAGGTTAGTGGGAAATAGGTCACGCAAGGAAGCCAACCGTGTATCCGTGCGGCTGGTAAGTATTGTCATTTCTTTTTTTTTTTCTCTCTCTTCAGATATGTGTAACTTCTTTTTTTAGGTGTACATAGTCAGTTTTATTTTAAGTTTTTGATTTATGTTTTTAGATAGATAAGACAAAAAAATAAAAAAATAAAAAAACATGTTTCCGAAAAAGTTCACTTCCCAATATTTTTTTTATATTCCTATACATTCGTTGAATAAGAACCGTTAAATGTTCTTTTCCGAGAAAATCGCTTATGAAAGGCTACTTGACATTTGAAAGAGACTGAAAAAATGAAAAGATGTTTGTTTTCATTAGTACGATTCAAATAATTCCACGTATGAAATCTTGTTATTGAAACTTTTTTGCTTCAGAGTTACCCGTTAATTTGGTGTTGGGATCTCTGGCAGAAGTCTAGTTGAGATGACGTACAGTGAGAGTGTACCGCTCATCTCCACCCACCATCACTCCCACTGTACTTCTATTGAAGGCCATTGAAAAGAAAAGAAAAAAGGCATAATTTTGCATAATTTTGACTTGCTCCCTTAGTGTCGCTATTTCATGCTACATTGCCATTTAGTCTTATATAGTAAGGAATCAGCAGTAATAAAAAGGCGATATAGTTCTATGACAGTTATGCAGACATTAGGTAATTAACCATTTGATACTTATCTTTGAGGGAAGACATCAATTTTAATTCCTGTGACCCCAGTACTTCGACCCCGTGTAGGCCTACCTTTAATATAACCCCGGTTACGCCGTTATTATGACATAGATGTCACATAGATCTGTACGATCATAATTTTCATTTTTTTCTGACAGTTCTTATGTCTAAATAAATTAACAGTAAGAAGAACGCAAATTAATGTAGCTAGAGCTGGGCAGGCAGATGTCTTAGGTACTGCACCGGAAAATAACGGCACAACAGAACATTTAATCATTTATTCTTGTCCACTTATTAATTAATTTTCAAAATTAAAATCACAAATTTAACATTGGAAATAAAAACCCAATCACCCTTATTCATGTGGTTTATATGTTAAACGATATTATAGAAACACATCTGAAAGTATTTTCAACTTTCAGAAGAGAGAGTTGCTCAAAGTTGACATTACGTTTTTGCAGTGGTGCAACCTGATCCCCCTTTCCATTCAAGTCATAATGCGATAACGAGGCCATCCAATATGGCAGCCTCCATGTGCTCGACATGTCTCAGAAATTCCTACACTAAATTGCTGAATAGAGTCGCATTTAAAACTACACGGAATGTCAGTTTATCAAGTGCATGTCGGATTCATACCCATACACCTTCAGGTAAATTATGTGTTTTATACCAAATGTAGATGTTGTTGTGACTAATGGTAGAAGTTCGAGAATTTTCGCTGTTGTACTGCATGGTGACGTTCCATTACGTTATCCTCTTTGCGACTTGTTAGGAAAATATCCCTAATTTTCTCTCGCTCTGCTTTCATCGTCTTCGAAAGATAATGGTTGATAAAGCAGGGAATACGCCAATTTATGTTAACTTTATTTAGATCGTTAACTTTGTTTGCATCGTTTTCTTTTCACGTTTTTGAGTGATGATTTGCATTCACTTGAAAAGCTGCATCTAAGTGTAACACTTAATCCTGAAGATGGGAAAGGAGAAAGGGGATGGTCGATGTTGATAAATGAATACTCCTTGATGCAAGCTAGTGTCAAATGCTTTACGTAGGTGGTTGTATTTTGATGTGAGAAAGTTTACGCCTTTGCTCTGTACTATTTGCCATAAATATGTACAATTGTTGCTAGGGTTACATGCAAATGGCAGTCCTGCATATTGATTAAGTATACATCTTGTATCCTGCATTGATGTATGAGAAACTGAAATATCTCTTTTGGGCAAAGGGGCAGCACATTTTAAATGGTTATTTGGACTGAAACTACACATCCCCCCTTCAAACCTACACGTGTATGTGCACACACACACACACATACACATTCACATGTAAAACACACTTCATTGAATTGAGTAATAACAGAAACAAGACAGACCAGATTAGGAGGAACATTTTTTGTAGACTATATTTCCACCTAACCTTGATGTCTGCTGACCTGTCTGGCCTTAACAGCCACTCAAAGTCCTTTCACAGGGCAATGAAAAAGGAGAGCTGGAGTACAGAAATTGGTTCTTATTTTCACTTAAATGGTTATCTGTGTATAATTAAATTGATTGTTCATCAAGGTTGATGATATATATTTGTATGTATGTGTAATAGCAGGGGAAAATTAAAGATGATGAACACTTTTGTAAACTCTTTCAGTAGTTCATGGACCTGGCAGTGCCAGCACTTTGCTAAAATTTAGAGGAAGCTTCAGACAACCTGTGCAGTTTTACTCTTCTCAGTCTACCACAGACCAGAATGAAGACCAAAAAGAAGATATTGCAGAAGAGGGAGCTGAAGAGCAAGAAGAATACCATACAATTATGAAGGGTACGGAGAGAGGGAAAGGTATGTCATTAATTGAAGCTGAACATCGGTTAAAGATTACATTGTATTATATCACAATATTTATACGGTCAGATTAACTATAAGCTTTGCTAATATAAATGATAATAGCTTCCTTATAGATTCCTTGTAATATATCCAGATATTTTTAGTTACCTTTGGTTTCAATTGAAATATTTGAATTATTTTATTGATACAGCTGGATTTCAGTTGACGTTATCAGTTCTCAGTCATCAGGGACACCAGTGTTTTTTTATTTTATTTTATTATTTTTTTTAATTGGAATGTATTTGAATAGCATAAAACTTTAGATAGGAAATTGTCCTTGGAAACTGTTAGGATGTGTGCATAATAAAATCTTAAAGGAAGAGTGCAGGGCCAGACCCAGCACTGTTATTAGTGAGGAAAACTCCACTGTCATTGTTGCCAAACCACATCTACTTCCTGAAATATCTTTTGAAGTCTTTTGAGATTTTATCAAGCTAACAGGTTATTTCTTATTTAAAAGCTGAACCAGGAAGATTTTGACTGCCTATAGCCCCTCTTTCACTCCCAATGAAACCCATCCAGAATCCTACTTGGATTCTACCAATCACCACTGGAGTGACCATCTACTTGTTTTGTGAAGCACTATATTTTTATAATTTTGGTAACCCTGATTGTTTATTGGGAAAACCATTTATGGTGGTTATCTGACTTCATTTTGCATTTGGCCAAATGAAGTTTCTCTTTAAGTGAGTGATAAATTTTAGAATAAGAAATAAAAATTAAACCATTTTTCTTTTTTTTATGGCTTTAACAAATTGAAACCTCGACAGATTGCCAATTTAATTTTCTAGCATAAGTTTGACAGTCCACAGGTTATTTTGTTCAGATACTTGTATACCACAGGTTTTTAGATATACCACAGATTGTGTGCTAATTTCTGTGCAGTGAGCAATCCATCACATATCAGTCTGGCAGCCACCTAACTCTCTCACTTGACCTCAGTTACAAAGCCTTCTGGCAGAGAACCATCCCCTTTTTTATGTGGAGCCAGGAATTGATTGATAAGGGATACTAACTGTCATTGTAAAGACTGCAAAATGCTATTAATCATAAACTGTCAGAAATGGAAAAGTTTTCCCTTGGGTACATGTGTGACTGAACTTGTTTTGTCATTCAGCTACATAGAACACATTTTCAATAACTAAAAGATTTAGGGCATTGCACAATTCAAAAGAAGGTGATATTGTTTTTCCTCATCTATTACCTTGAAGTCATACTATTAGTCTATGTTTAAATTGCCTTCTGCTTCTCAAAATGGTGAAGACTACATTAAGTTGTATAGCGCAACCTGTAATGGCAAAGTGTTCCATGAAATGGATTTTGATTGTCAAACCAATTCTTAGTGCCAAATACATTGGTGAAAGTTTTCAGGATTATGCCTGATTTTAGGATTTTCAGTCTTCATTTTGATCATTTAATTTTTCGTATGACCTAAACATGATGAGAAATTGCAAGCTACTTTTTTAGGATTTTCAATTTTTACAACTTTCACCCATACAGATATGAACTTCTGGATGTATTACAAGGAATCTATAAGGAAGCTATTATCATTCATGTAAAACGCTGTATCCAGATGCATTTTGCAGGCCTTTTCATGAAGAGCACATGGTCATCACAATTCACTTCACATTTTGCATTTATTAGAATCGTGGTACATGCAACTGAGTTGAAAAAATTGTGCTTGAAGCCTTTAGTATCTGCATGATTATGTGCAGCTGTGGATGAGAGATAGAGAGAGACAGAGAGAGAATGCTAGAAAGATAACAGAAATATAGGCATTATGAGTACTTACTATTTTTAAAGTCACTGGTGGTGAGTAGAGCTTGTTACTGTATGTGCCCATATAGCTCTTTTAAGTCTCTTGTCCCATATATTTCCATGCCTTCGAGGCATGGCAAGGCTACAATAAACCAGACTAGCTGTTCACGGTTTTAAAAACCACACTCCATAAAATTCCTAATGTGATTACTAAGGGCTATCACTTGTCTTTAACAGTTTCAATGTAACATATCCTTTCTGAGTTTTAAAATAATTGAGATGATTGCTGTGAGGTGTTTTGAAACATGCTCAAATATTTTTGGGGTTTTGAATTTATTGTCCTATTTATTGAAATATGAACATATTGACATATTAATGGCATACGGTACTCATATAATAGCTGCAAAGCTAATAGTCTTTTCCACTTCATAGAATAAAATCTATTAAAAACCCTTAATGGAAGTACCTGAGGTTGATAGCTCTTTCTGGAGTATACATTCTCAGTGACAGGCCAGTCTTTTAGAACTAAATAATTTAAATTAAAAATGAAATAAAGCACCAAATTCAAGTCCAAGAATTCTCTGGGAAAATTCATTTTGGTCGGTAAGTCCTGTATAGAATGCCTTTAAATAGGATCACTGAAAATCAGAGAAAATTCACAAAGGAACTTGGTTTACCCAATTTTGATACAATTCTGATATAAATTATAGGTCCTACCAATTTCGTCTCTTCCATCTTACACCATCAAATATAATAGATCTAAAAGCATTCAGTGATCTTTGTTAAGTAGAAATCCCTTCAAAATAAAAGTGTAAAGAAGTGATCTTATTATATATTACATGCATCCTTACATACTGACATAAATATTTTTCTTTCTGTTATTTCAGGACCTAGTTCAAGTCATGAGTTTCAAGCTGAGACGAGGAAACTGCTAGATATCGTAGCAAGATCTCTCTACTCTGAAAAAGAGGTAAGAAAAGTTGGCGATAACTTGTAGAAAGACTATGAACAGAAGCCCATAATGACCAGATACACTTTGTGGAAAAGGCTTTCTACAAAGTCATAAAATTGCAAGGTATGGCAATGAATTTTGATGAGGAGATGATGTGATGATGAGGACTAAAATTAAAAAGAAATTTTTGAAAATGCATTTAGGTGCACTTACAAGCTGGGAGCTTTTCTGAAACTTTTTTTTTCACAAAAGTTTAAACTACCAGGTATTCCTGAAATTTATATTTTTTATTTATTAGTGAAAGTCTCAGTATAAGTACCATTTTGATAATTTATTGTTAAAGTTAAAAGGATCATAATTGGACAAGATTTTAGAGATATTACAAAATAATTTGTTGTATGGCTAGTGACTGGTAAAAAAAGCTTTTTTTTTTAAATTTTTTAATGAGATGCATGTCAGAATAAAAATGCAGCATGAAATCCTGTTATTATACAAGATTAAGGAAAGATTAAATATGGGTATAACTATTGTCACCAAGAATGCAATTGCTGAAATTAAAGATGAAATAATTTAAGAAAATTTATGTGAATTCTACTGGAAGTTGGCAGAGACTAAGACTTGATTGTTTATTTTGAAGTGGACCATGTACTTCATGTTTGTTTCTCCGTTTCATTGGACTGTCCTCTTTGTTTTTCAAATAAGCATGCTGGGGCACATCTTCCTAAACTCTTTTTTTCTTTTAAATTAAGGTTTAACAAAAAATGAAAAAAGGCAATAGTGGGAGTCTGCTTAAAAAATTACTAAGGAGATATTCTGGAAGGTTTCCATGTTGCCAATCTTTGTGAGCATCTCTTTAGTATGGCTTGAAAAGACACCTGCTGGGGGAAGAAGAATCTTGTGAATCTTGTAGACAATAAAAAAGCATTTAAGTTTTTAAAAAAAGAAATGCCGTGATGTTTTTCCAGATTTTCTTCTCAACCTATTACACCTAATGGTTGAACAAAGAGTAATTTGATCTTCGTCAATAAAGCCAACTTATGAATTCAGCTATCTGAAAAAGCATGATAATTCATGCACAATGCTTGTAGGTGTACATTTTCAGACATGCAATTATTTCCAGATGTGTGTCTCATTTTCCTCTAAAACAAAGGCTTAGGTCTAATAGGTAATTAGTTGTATCAAATGTAAATCAATATGTGCTGATAGAGCTTGACTCTGGGAGCATACGGGTGTGTAATTTGATTGCTTCATTTCATCTAGTTGTCTTGATGACATTATAATAGTAGACTTATGTTATCACCTGTTTATGACAACATGTAATATGTGGTTAAAGAGGCCACAAAGTGTCTGGAAGGGCAGAAAATGGAGAGGAGAGGAGAAAATAAATCGTATTTATGGATATAGTGAACTTCTATAAATATATGAAATTGTGGCCTGTAATTTGACAGAAAACGACCAGCAAAATATCCTTGGACCCACATTTATCCATACATTCTGTCAGCTTTTATTCATTGCCACCCTACCCTCCTCCTAATCGTGCAAAATCTCACTTGACATTTTTCTAAATTTTAAGACTTAGCTATATCTGACTATTTCCATTACTTAGAAATGATTTGAGTTAGAATGGTGCAGTGATTGTCTAAATTTGTTACTGTTGTAAAGTATTCAGTATGTGCAATAGATTGCTTTCGTTGCAACAAAAATAAAAATTGCTCAAATCCGGTAAGTGACAGTAACCCATTATATTTTTTGTTGTCTCACAGTATTGCCTTATTTTTCACTGCCATTATGTTGTATTGAACAGGTGTTTATCAGAGAACTTGTGTCCAATGGCAGTGATGCTTTAGAAAAGTTGCGCTACATGCAGATGACTGATGCTGAGATTTCTGATCCAGACTTGCCATTGGAAATTGATATTGAAGTTGATGCTAGCAAGAAGACATTTACAATACAGGTAAAAAGTCTGTACTTTTTTTCTAAAAAATGCAACTGGATATAATATTTAACTTATTCTTTTCTGAATGTCATTCAAAAGTCTTAGAGTGGTGATGGTGATTTCATACAATTTATTAAAATTTCTGTTATATGTGATGATTACTTAAAAGAAATTCTCTGATTTATTTCTTTTCCATGGAGTGTAGCAGAGTTGCATAATTATATTTTTCAAACAGTACTTCCATTATTTTTCACTTTTTTCCTGTCGTCTGCTTCACATTGATTCTCTTATTTCAGGACACTGGTATAGGTATGACTAAGGAGGAGATGATAGAGCACCTTGGGACAATTGCCAAGTCGGGATCCAAGGTAAGACTGTTGGTAGTGTTATGAGGATAAGGGAAAAAAAATTAAAACTATCAGGAAAAATTCTTGGGCTGTCATATTTACGTGAGTTTTAAGGTCATTGTGTAAAACTAAGTTAAGCAAGTTTCACTGAATAAACTGAAAGGCTTGGGATACTGATTGATCAGGCCTGTACTTGCCCAACAAGAAAAAAAAAACAGGAAGGGGGTGGTCTTTCTAAAAAGTGTTTTTTTATCACTTATTTGACCTAACTTGAAAAATGACATCAAATTTTGGTTCAAAGTGGATCTTTTTTCAGCCAAAAGTGTTACCCCCCCCCCCCCCCCCTTCCACCTTTGGGTTTTGATGAGTCAAGCTTGTATTACTTTATACTTCTGTACAAAGAAAAATAAAAATAAATTCATAATCATTCTATCATAGCTCTTCACAATTTATGTAACCCCATTATATAACTTCAGTTTTTGTTAAATTTGGTTTGGTATGGTGTTAATTGATGGCACAATTTTGAAACCTTCTCTGTCAAGTCTTCATTTTATCTTATGAAATGCCCCTTCAGAAGGCAAGTGCACCTTTTGTAATGTGTCGGTATTAGTCTTTAAAGATATTGATATCTGTTCATTTAAGACCAATTTAATTGTGTTTAATCGTTCCTTTCAGGCATTCCTGAGTGAGCTATCCAAGGCGTCAGAGGCCAGTGCAAAGAGCAGTATCATTGGTCAGTTTGGAGTGGGTTTCTACTCTAGCTTCATGGTCTCAGACAAGGTGGAAGTCTTCTCCAAGTCATACAAACCTGGTTCTGTGGGGCACAAGTGGACATCTGATGGGTATGGTATTTATTTATTTATTGTGTAAATTTACGGGATCATGACTTTGTAGCCAATAATGACTAAGTTACATAGAACCGCTTTTTTTTTAAAAGAACAATTTTTGAAATGTATTTTTAAAAGTCACTCTGAAACTTTGCTTTAGAGTAGAATATGAGATGGATGTGTTATGACTGTTGGATTGAATTTGAACATATTTGCCTTATGAATGTCGTGTTGCTGTAATTGTTGTGTTCTTGCACTATTGCAGACAAGGAAAATTTGAGATTTCTGAAGCAGAAAATGTCCAGAGAGGCACAAAGATAGTCCTTCACCTCAAAATGGATAGCCATGAGTTCTGCCAAGAGGATGTAATCAAAGGTAGGCGGAGTATTAATTAGCAAAGGACTTCTAAATGATGCCTAGAAAGTTATGTTGGCTGACAGATTTTGTAGCCAGATATTAATGATATCATCTTGATTTTTTATCTTTTGTGTGTAAAAATTTGTAATTAAAAAGTTTGCACTCATGTTTGTTTTGTCTATTTAGATGTGACTAAAAAGTACAGTAATTTTGTGGGTGCCCCAATTTATGTGGGAGGCAAGAAAGCCAATACCATACAGGTGAGTAAAAACATGAACAAGATATTTATATATATATATGTTACAGCAAAACTATTGCTGAACAGAAAGAAGATAGAGTTATCCAGCATAAAGTCCTTCAGCATAACTAACTGTTAGTAACTGCCAGTCTGAATATTTCGCCGTTTAGATATGCTCATAGCCTGTCTGATCTTGTTGAATGAAAAAGAAAGAAAGAAAGTGATCCCAAGTTGAAGTGACTCTGAAGTGACTTGTTTAATTCCAGCCCCTGTGGATGCTAGATCCAAAAGATGTCACGGAGGACATGCATGAAGAATTCTACAGGTTTATCAGCAAGTCCTATGACCGACCCAAGTACACATTACAGTATAAGGCTGATGCTCCCCTGAATATAAGAGCATTGTTCTATGTCCCAGATGCTCCAAGTAAGTTTTAGCTAATTATATATAATTAGAATGATCACAACACCAACAACGAGTATGTAAATGTGTGATATCAGGGAATGTACACAGCAATACAAATTAGGTGTGAAAATCTAAGGGGGAGTCGGGAGGGATATTTTTCCTTTTAGAACTGCTTCTCACATCCCCGGATACCTTCTCCTTTCATTTTAATATGTTAAGTTGATGAAGAATTTGATAACTGCTGTTGTGTTATACAGTGGTAACATAGTCACCATAGTTTGCATGTGTCCTCTCAATTTTCTAGTGGCTTGGGAGATGAGTCGCGAGCTGGATGCTGGCGTCATGCTGTACAGTCGCAAGGTGATGATCATGAACCAGGCGAAGGGTGTGATGCCAAAGTGGCTGCGATTTTTACGAGGTATGGGCACAGATAAAGGCTTAAGTAAACGGCAGACAGACAGACAGATGGACAGGCATGAGGGATCAAATGACAGTGAGGCTCTCAGACAAGTGATGAAATAGTAAAAGAAAAAATAGAAATGAAAAACAAATTCATGACGGGTAGAATAGGCAGTGTTTACATGGGATTTCAGAAATATTTAGTTTAATAATAAAAATTCCATACTTATATTGATATTGCCTTACCCATATCAAACAAAAAGTTTGCTGCCTGCTTTAGAATATTTGAGATAAATTTGTTTGATAATTAAATTAAAATCCTATAAGCTAAATTGTGTTGCTGTTGACCTTGTTTCTGGTGTTAATAGACAAAAGCTGTCTGTCTGCCATGCTGTGATGTAAGTGCATGTAACATGATGTGTTAACTCAGTTACCTTACCTCTTCAAACCTCTGGTGACTCGTGATGTAAACTCATGCAATTAGTCAGAATGATGTCAGAGAAAGCCAAGTTAAAATAGTGCACTGTATCAGGCAATGTGTTTTTTTTTTTTGTTGAGAAATCATATATATATATATAAAAATTTTATAAAAGACAAAAATGATAAAAAATTAATTTGATACAAGTTCTTTCAAACTGTCTGTTGATGGGATATAATGCTTTCTTTTCAGAAAAGTTAATTTGGCAACCTTTAAATTTGTTTGAATTTTCTGTGATGTATTTGAGATTAAGTTAGATTATCATGTAAAGTTGCTATAATAGTACTTTTAGGACATACAAGGGCTAATGCTGAGGTTTTGCTTACTTGAAAAAGGGACACTCATTTACCACCAGTCAATTAAAATCAAGATGAATTGTAAAAAAATTAATATTTTTTGTTTGCCGTGGACAAAAAAATGTATTTAGTTTTCAACAACCTGATGCACAGAAGAAATGATTGCCATCTGTGCAAAAATTAGCTTCCATATTATGCACAATTAAAGATAAAAGCGCAAGCTTAATGAGAAACATGTTGGAACATCCATCTGTCAGTCATTTAGCTGCAGCTGAGGACAAACCCTCTTTAATTGCTTATTAAAAGTGAGTTCATTTGTGTTCAGTTTCATCATAAATGCCAAGTCTATTGAATTAATATAACTGTTGTTATTTTTTTAGATAAAAAGTTTAACTTGATATAATAATCATCATCATCATAATAATAATAATAATAAATTTAGTTGATAAACTGTGGTAGAAGAGTTTGGGGAGAGGAATGTCCCATTTGTCTGAAACCCTGGATTTCCCAGGCCAGTAAGATGTAGAATACACAAACTATACAGTGCTAGCCTATCTGGTGCCAGTTGAATAATATCATTGTGATAGATTATCTTAGTTTTCCAACTTCATCCATACTTTAAGGTAGATACCAATAAAAAATTGTGACATTACATATTAAGTTGGAAGCAATTTTTTTTAAATTTGAATTTATTACCATGATGACTTTTATTTTAATAGCCCCCATCCCCCCCCCCCCAAAAAAAAAAGAAAAAAAAATCTTTAGGGTTTTTTTTTTATCTCGTTGAAAAAACGTGTTTCTGTTTGTAAATACTTGATGTTTGTTTTCAAGACAGCATAATTAGAGAAAAGGTTTTCATATCCTTGGAAGTATTTAATGTTTATTAATGAGAACCATAATCATTAATTGTTTGCTTTCATGCTTTCAGGTGTGGTGGACAGTGAGGACATCCCTCTCAACCTGAGCAGAGAACTTCTTCAAGACAGTGCACTCATCAGGTAAGACCAACCAGGACTCCACCTAGTGAATAAACTTAAAATACAGCAGACTACAGATTTTTTTTATATGCAAATACGTGGTCTCTCAATTTAGTAACTCAAATTAATTATATTTCATTTGTTCCAGGGACAAGACTAAAGGAGTAGATGTATGTCACTTGATCACTGGATTTCAAGATTATTACCATGCTTAAAAGAAAGATTTTCAACTACTAGATTAACATGGCATTAGGATTTTATCTTATAGATATTTAAGAACATGACCAAGAGGATGGCCATAAGTAACTGTCATATTAATTTGCTTTTATCTTTTAAACATTCCAGGAAACTAAGAACTGTGCTTACTAATAGACTGGTGCGTTATTTTCTGGAACAAGCCAAAAAAGATCCTGAAAAGTACAAGGAATTCTACAAGGACTATGGCATGTATTTTATAGAGGGTATTCTTAACACCCAGGATCAACAGGAGAGGGTACGGACATCATTTATAAAGAACAACTTATTGATTGAAGTAATAGCATATTAATTACTGCATGGTTCAAGATTTATGATCCATGTAGTTGTAATGTTTTCAAGTCTTCTTCATTTCCCAAATGATTTTTATAATTGAATTAAGTTAATTAATGCTGTGCTAGATTTCAATAATCTCATTTATCTGTTAAAAGTTTGGCTGATTACAATTTGATTCAGTTATTGGCAACAAATTTTAGGGTAATTTTGTAAAAAAAACAAACAGATTTTGTCAGCAAACAAGATCATCATGTTAAGCTTGTTTATCTGTTTCAGGAAGACATAGCCCGACTGCTGCGGTTTGAATCATCCACTAAGCACCCTGGAGAGACCACGAGTCTGTCAGAGTATGCGGAAAGAATGGAAGCTGGTGCGAGGACCATTTACTACTTCCATGCTCCGAGGTAACAACTATGTGATACTTAATGCTTCTGTATAAATATCGGTTTTTTAATGGTACTGAGAGCAATCGACAAGAAATTATTGCCCTTTGACATGAATTAAATTTCAATGCTGTGTTCAATTTCAGCCGTGAGCTTGCAGAAACATCTCCATACTTTGAAGCGGTCAAGGAGAAGGGCCATGAAGTTCTCTTCTGTTTCAATCCTTATGATGAGCTGGTGCTTCTGACTCTGCAACAGTTTGACAAGAAGAATCTCCGATCGATTGAGACGGAAATGGCAGCAGATCAAACAGGGACAGACAAAATCGATAGTTCAGGTATGTTGTCAAGAAAATAACTAGAAAATCGTTCTGTGACCTAATAAGATTTTTCTCTCAATTCAGAGATTTTTTAAAACTAATGTGAAATAATAATTTGTGTTCAAATGAATTCGATAGATATTTAGGGAGATGCTGATTGTTGAACATAATTGTGATATTAAAAATATTTATAAAATGAGAAATTATGATTCCGAAGATCTGATAAGTCAGTAATTATTCAAGCTTACATTTTTTGGGGGGGTGAGCAGATGCAGACAGTTTGAAGCAGGAAGAGGCGGATGCTCTGATAAGCTGGATAACAGCAAGAATGGGACAAAAGATTGTGAAAGCCAAGGTATGATAGTACTATTATTTTTATAGTGCTTGAAAAAAATTGTATGCCAAGGTGATGGTGTATGAAATTACTGTAGGCAGATAATAGTTGAAGCTTTTGCACTGAACAGATTCCAGTAAAAGCAAACTTCATTTACATGAAGTATGAGTGGCTGCTGCTATTCCATTGGATTATCAAAACAGTAACGATTTGTCTGTGTAACAAGACTGGTGCTGTTGAAAACTAGCCATGGACCTCCATATGCTTGGCGCTTTGAAAATGGGACTTAATAATAGTGCCTGGGTGAACGAAAGTACATGTTATTCAAGAGTTGAAGTGGTCAAGAAGGATATTGTAATAGTCTGATGTATGTGTCGTTCCAGATCACAAATCGCCTGGTTTCCCATCCAGCAGTGATTTCTGTCATGGAGATGGGAGCTGCGCGCCATCTTTTGAAAACCAGCTTACTTGGGCGCTCAGATGAAGACAAATACCGTTTGCTGCAAGCAACTCTAGAAATTAACCCAAAGTATGCACAACAACTTGTCAACAAGGAACAATAAAAAGGGATTAATAAATCTGTAGAAAGCTTAGATTAAATTTTGAAGTCATTTGTGTAACAGTTGGATCTTTTTAGTAATAGAATATGCAGTTTTAGGTTTGTACCATGTACTTTGTGCTTGTTGTACAATTTGGATTCATTTTATGATAAATGACCTCAATTGATAAATCTTTTCTTGAGAGTTCAAAGTAATTTCAATAATTTAGATCCACAGGTATTCTTTGTATTATAAGTCTTTAAGAATAATAATCCCTGCTTTTCCAGACATCCTATTATCAGAAAACTTTCCACACTGAAAGACTCAAACCCAGACTTGGCTAATCTTCTAGCAGATCAGGTAGGTGGAAAAATTAGGGTCATTTTGCATAGAATCGGTGTTTGGTATTTGCTTTCTGTTTTAATAGTACATATTGGTGAATGGTTATGAATGGGTGCCAGGTAATGCATTCAACGCCATTCAGTTTTCCATTGGCAGTCTAAATACTTCCGAAACATCCTTATCATGTGCACTGCATCAAATTGTCCATTGGAGAAGCTTTTTTAAATTCAAATGTGATGAATCTGTGATTTTATTAAGATTAGTTAACTAGTTTTTTAATTGAATAAGAATTCAGCAAATATGTTATGTGTCCTTATAGTGGAGCAGGTGTGGGGACTTTTGAGTGTTGCTTGTCTTGCAGATATTTGACAATGCCCTGGTGGCTGCCGGTCTGGTAGATGATCCCAGGTCTATGCTTGGAAGATTGAATCAACTCCTGGAGAAAGCATTGGAAAAACATTAACAAAGGCAGATGTCACAAACTGTTTTTAAACTATACATAAGTAAAGCATCTACTGAACAGATTTTTTTTTGTGAGACAGCAATTTACTCGTTCATTTTATTTCAGACAAAAGAAAAAAATCCAATCAGTGGTCTGTTTTATACATGGGTAGTTCAAAATTATGAATAGTTATTTGTGGATTGACTGGCACCCATGCTCATGTAAATCAAATTATTTTCCAGTACAGTTGTGTCAATGGCTCATGTATGTGAAGCAAGAGGAAACTCATACTGGCATAGGCAGGAATTGTGTAAGGGGGATCGTTTTAAGTACTGGTTGCATGTCATGTGATTGGATATCAACATGTGTTAACATTATGATATAAATTACTTTTATTTATTCATTTTTTTTTTTTGGGGGGGGGGGATATTTAAAATTCAAACATTAAGCTGCTATATATTATCCTATGTTGACAATATATCTAGTTCAGTTTGTGCTTCATTAGTTATCAAACTCGAGCGATTTCAACACATAAGGTTTGTCCCTGTGAACCTGTGTAGGTTTTTGAGTATCTTTTTCAAAGAAGTTAATTATACTCATAAAAACAGTATGAAAAGATGAACTGGTTATTTTACATTTCGTATGGTAAATGTATCTTGGTAAATGTTTCTTTCACAGATGAAGCAAACCCCACAACTGATAACAGCACCGGTTGACACACACTATTTGATATAGTACTGAACAAATATGTAGGTTTCATTAATGTTTCTCACTTCTGATGACTTTTATTCTTTTGTAAATGTTACATCTAAAAAAAATGGAGTAAAATGTACTAAAAGCACAAATAAAGCCTCCAAGACATTATACTGCTTACATAACATTGCACTTTTGACATTTAGTACAATTTAAAAGAATAAAAATTTTGAACATGAATGTAAGTTTGTACAAAAAATATTCTTAATACGAAATACCTTGCAATATGAATATGCACACTCATTAATATTGACTAGCATTTAAAAACAAAAAAACAAAAAAACGTAAGCTACTGTACCGTTGTAATGGTAATTAATAGTATAACTATTTCTACTACAAGTGTTATATGCTATATGTACTGGCACTGCTGCTGCAATTGTGGTTCCACCCCTGACCTCAATATATGTGTACAGACTAGCATCTGCTTTGCACCAGTGATTTGCAAGGGCAGATTGAGACCATCTTCTAGGTCTTCCGGAAGACGATTAGATTTTCAAGTTTACATTGACGGGTATCCATTTTTTTTCTATCGAATGATGATTAAAAATGGAGGATGGATCCATGAAGACTGTCAGAAAATATCTCTGGGTGCACCCTTGATTTGCAACTTGGTATTCCACCGGCTTTCTTCAGTAGTAGACTAGGGAATAAACACCCCAATTGACATGGTATCAATTGAGGGTGTTTACAGTTTTGCCAAGGGCAATTTTACTTTCAACTGCCAAACCAATATATGTCATATCAAATACTAAATGTTGATTGAAAATACTAAGACTGAACAAATTAATGACATTATCTGTATAAAAATTATTGTAATTATCTTTGACTGAACAAAATAGAATCAAATCTACAATCCTTTTCATAGTCGCTCATATTTCTTTCTTTGTAAAAAATACAATTTTCAAATTCTTATCTCCAAGAAATGACTTCTGGGTATGAACATAAATGTTACAGCCCATCTGATGTTTCCATCAATAATAAAAACTGTATTTCCAAATAATTAACTTACTAGCCATGAGTCTACGTATATTTACAAAAATTGCACTACATCAGTGCCTAACTATTTAATTAAAAAACAATTACACAACTATGTATTATAGCTATTCCTGCTAAGAAAAAAGCAGTTTCAACCAACTTGTAAACTGTTGCTCAACCCACCCCTGCAGTTGAATTCAATGTTTTAACATTATTTAAAAATACCCTTTTTAAATAAAAAAAAAAAAAAAGTTCGAAATGGGTAACCAGTCACTTACACTGCCATATCTTCCTGTACAGTTCAGAAAACCTATCACTGTCAGGTATTTGAATTATTTTAAGTTTGAATTTGGAAAGTTAAGTATTTTTAACATATAATATATAACTTTGGAACATCTTCAAATGCTGGTAGTAACTTCTTGAGCAGTTAAAATAAAAAAACAATTGACTCTCAGCAGAAAAATAAAAAATGTTTCAGTATAAAAAGGCAAACTCGATCAAATTTGTGTTTCTGCTTCTCCTTCACTATTTTGTGCTACTTTTGTCGTTTCCTTGTGGATTTTTCTTTTCACAGCCTCCAGGGGGACCATCTTGTAAATGCCACCTGGTGTTGAAACGATGCACACTCCTTTCTTCCTGCACCCCAGGTATGTCTCTTTGTACATCTCACCCATTTCTATCTTCTTTCCCTTATCAACATCTCTCTTTTCTATCATTTTAATGTTCTTTGTGTGATAGTCCCTATAAGGCATGGGCACATTTTTGTCCTTATTTCGGTTACAAAAACCAAGATATCTGTGACGCATGACCTTTTTTGATTTGTGTACACAAAAATAATACAGAAACATTAGACCCAGACCCAGAAAAAGTCCCAGCAGACAGGCACTCATTATGAAGTAGTAGTGTTTGTCTGTGTTGTGCTTGTTTCTTGCCATGGGAAAAAGCAATAACATTATGGTTTCCACAGTGAAAAAGAGGTAATAAATCACCATGTCCGCAGACAGAAGAAGAGAGGGGGATTCCCATGTTGGATACATATCATGAAAATAAAGGAAAATATTCAACACACTGTTGATGATTATCATCAAAAAATGTTGCCATTTTTCCTGAACAGATACAGTCTCATCCATTAATTTAAAAACTCCAAAGTGAACTCTGTTGTACGTCAGCCAGATCACAGAGAGAAAAAAATGTGTCAATACCACAGCAAGAATGACAAAAGTAAATGTTGAGGCAAAGTACACGAGAGACAGGAAACGTGCTCCCAGGAGCAAAGCTTTGTACAGAAAAACCAGCACAGTCTGTGAAATCTCCATGCGGTTTGGAGCACGATACCTTTGTGTATGCTCAAAGCACCCATTTGTCTTGGCCAGTCTTTCAAACTGCACAATGCCCCACACAAATGAAAGGAAAGAAACAACAGCAACTACTATTTGAATAGTCTCAACATTATCATGGTACCGCATCATGATGAAAAGATTGATAAGAAGCTGTGGTGCAGCCTCAAGCAAACTTTCTAAAAGTTTAATACGGGCAACATAAAAATCAGAGGTAATACTCATCTCCACTAGGTTGATTTCTCTTTGTGTATTTGGAACATCTATACCTTCATCTTGGACAATGTTTTCTATAATATCCAAATCCTTTGGAATACTCTTTCCTGGGACATTGACAAAAAACCCTGCATGATCCACTCCATCTGGTATGTCTTCTTTCATCTTGGGAGGAATGTAAGGAGACTTGAAAAATCCAGCAGCTTCATCAATGTAAGTGATTTCCTCATCTTCCTCGTCACTTTCATCCCTCCCAGCTCCAGTACTTGTGTAATCTTTACCAGTAACTTCGGAAGCATGACCACCATCATGTTTTGCTTTTCCTGTGTCCAAATCATCCAAAGGAATTTCGCCACCCATTAATCTATCAGTCTCTACATTTTCTTCGACTTCATTCTCTGTTATTGGTAAACTATCACTTCCACTACCCCCGGTGTCGCCATCGCAATTTTTATGTGCTTCCCTGTCAGTCGAAACCACCAAAGACACAGCTGTTGGAATTCTAGCAGACAGCCCCCTGCTGGCCTCTCTGTTCCATTTTTTAATTTCCTCTAAATTCTCCTCCACTTGTTCTCTCTTCTTACAACAGCTAAGAGCCATGCAGAACAATTTCATCTTATGTGAAGTCTGTTTAAGCAGCGTATAGCCTATATAGAGCTGTGGTAAGGGGAAATCTAGTAACAGGTAGCACAATCTTTTGCAGTTTTTCTTCACTTTTGTCATCCTGTTTGAAGACTGAGATTCGGTGGCTTCTTCCTCGCTCCCAAATCTGATCTGGTTGTTGACAATGGCAGCCACAAGCATAGACAACATCATGAAAGCAGCACTGAGACCTAATGCTATCATATAGCCACGCCTGTGCAGGAATGTCACCATGTAGTAAATATCCAGGCCTATGTCTACATATATGAAGGAGGTTGAGAGCAGGTAGACTGCCAGGTTAACAAAGAAGATCAGACTAAATTTCAGCCTCGTTCTGTTGGGTTCTGGTATACAGTGGCAACACCTGGCCCAGGTGACACATGTGCAGCAGTCCAATGGGTCCCCTTCTTCAAAATCATCTTCATACTTCTGCCCATCAAATACATCATGGTGCTGGAATAGAAGACAGAATGAAAGTGTTATATTTATCTAAATATAAGACCTGGCCTCGTAACTCAAAAGCATCCCGTATTGCGAATAGCGATATCACAAAGAGGCTACAATGCATTATATGGGGTGAGTATAGGCGAGTTATGGAAGCGAGAAGCTTGCATTTGGTTGCAATGTGCGATGCTTTCGAGTTATGGGTCCCAGTTCTTCTTTGTGACATTTTTTTAATTATTTTTATTACTGAAACACAGGATATTTTAAGGCAAATATTACAAAGTTGGATTGCCCTACATAGAAGGATAGTTTCATTGAGAAAGAGCCTTATATCAATGCAGAACTGCATAAATAGGTAAAAAAAAATCGATCAATTCAAAGCAAATAGATTTATTAGTAAAATAATATTATGGAAATATGAGCTTGGTCAAATTTAGTTTCTGTTTCCCTTCTACAATACTTTTCCATTGGGGTCTAATGTCAGGTTTATGTCCAAAAAACTTAATCCAACCACATTGTTAGGGTTCTTCACATTTACTAGTGCAGATTAAATAGCTTATCTTTGAATCAGATAATGTTGTTCAATAACAAAATTCTCTTTAAAAAGTTTCAACAAAAGAAAAATATACTTGCCATAATAGAATATGAAATACTTTCCATGGGTTTACTGTTTTTTATATCTGAGTGATGATCATTGATCACAATGTTCATATTTACATAAATTTTGCACATTTTATCTGACCCCATGTTGAGCACTGAAAAAATACAACTTCAACTCACAGATTCAGGTTTGTCATTGACAGATATCAGAGCTTCATTTGGTTCAGCTTCCTTGGTCAGGACCTCTTCCTCCACTGCGTTTTCTGTTGATAAGGAACAAGATAAAAAATTATCATTGTTATCATACATTATGTTATTCATAATGACTAGCTTCATGTACAATTTTTATCAGCAGCACTATCAGGGGCATAACCAGACATACACATGGATGCACTGTGCCTACAGTTTTCTGGGCCAACCATGATATTAATCTCTATAAATTTAGTGTATTTTTCACAGAATATAATTCAAAATCCCATTCGATAGTAACTTTAAGTCACCTGCATGTACAAATCCTCTGTATAAATTGTATACACACCAGTGTTCTGATCCCCCGGCTCATTTGCTTTCACAGGCTGAGGTAAACAAACTAGTTACCTTTGGAAGTCCTATCTTAATCGTCCATCAAGTTGTCTTAGGGTGCTTTCCCAGAGATTTAGATCGATCTAAAGATTAAGTTTTAGATCGACCTAACTCCCTGGGGGTTCACGCTAAATTGCAGTCAGCCGAGCGGGCACCATAGTTAATTACCCCCTTAGAGCTTTTAGTAGGCGGGACAGACGCTTAAGCCGGCCAAGCTGACAGTAATCTAGTGAGACTCCCCGTGGGGATAGATCGATCTAAAAATCTATGGAAATGGGGTGTTAAGTGTATTGAACACACTCTGGCTGGTGATTTTTATCTCAGGTAAAAATCTACCTGTGCATTATTTTCAACGAGCAGCTTCAGCAAACCTGGGGGCACTAGATAAAATCTGGACATTGCGCTTAATAAGAAGCCAGAGAAACAAAGGGATCCTTTTCTTGCAGAGCTTCAAAGAATTTTGACACAGACCAACAGGGTGACATGGGCAATATTCACAAACAAATATTTAAAAGTAGATATATCAGAGCTCTGTACTGTCATATAATATTGGTTGATTTTGGGAGCCACGCACCTGCACGTAAGCTGGATGATACAATATATATAAGTTGAACTGTTGGTAAATAGATCATTAAGCTGACCATGGTTATCAAGAAGTGGACAACAAATTAATACTGCAACGATAAACTGCTCTTCGGATTCTTTTCTGACAACTCCTGATTACTGGCACAAACCACATCTAGCGACAGTACTGCACCATAATTCAGAATTTAGCTCGATACAAGCAAGCATTGTTTGCAGTTCGTACAGTGCCCAAGGTTCATATGTCAGTAAGCGTCTACTTATATAACCAAACCATTCTGGGTGCAATAATATACTGGAACCTTATTAAAATGCAGTAATATTTTCAATTTAAAGTGATGATTTTATAACTAGTGAAAATGATTTTATAACTAGTGAAAAATAAGCTATAATATTTGATACATACTGATTTATCTGTGTTTCATATGTTTCAAAAGTCTACATAAATTGCACCAAGGAATTTTGAAAATCTGTGCGTACAATTTTAAAAGGTCTGGTTATGCCCCTGACTATTAAAGGTAAACTGTTTATATTTTGAACATAGGAATGGAAATTTTTTCTCACATTTATCTAAAATCAAGAAACAGAGAGTGACTTTTCTGTCAATAATTGATCTTCCAATGTTAAGGTGGATGTATTGTTTAGCAATGTCAACTAGCACTGGTGTGTTAACTAGTGTGGTACAAGTATTGGACAAGCATGAAGGTTCTAGGGTTTCTGATATGTCTATGTATACTACTTATCAAAAACCCTTATAGGAGTGCTAACACTGTAGTAACACACAAAACTTCATGCTAGCATGGACTCGGCTCATCATTGACAGTGTATTAAAATTTTAACTTTTTACCATTTTTATCATTCTATTATTGTATATGTAAGTTAATAAGCTCATTTTTCAGCATTTTTAAGTATATAATTATTACCAGTGAAGCTTTCTTGTTTGCTGTTTTGCACAGAGCCACCAAAGTCTCCCTCTCCATTCATCACTGCTTCTCAGTCAACACGCCCAACACTCCTCTGAAATCAAAATGGAAAGTCTTTGAAAACTGCATCAGTCTAGGATTACCCCTGACTACATATGTTAGTTGTGGTCCTTATTAATGCTGCAGCGTCGTTAGTGCTTAGGCAGTAGCACGATTTATGTACAGATTAGTGATACAAAGTATGACATACTCAAAACAAATGTAATAAGAAACCCCACCGTTTACCTTTCTAACTACTCAACCTACTACTGGAATTTCCCTCACCACACCACACCGGAAGCCCTGTTGTGTTATATCGATAGTTAGTACTTACCCATTGCAATGATTACACATGTCTCACACGCTTGGAAGGTATCGAAGATTTACGAGCAACTTTCAGTGCTCGTACTCTGTTTATAGAGCACTTACAAGAGCACTGCATCACGGGCAGAGATTGAGGTAAGGTTTTTCATTGTCTGTTCAATATTTATGCAATGTTGGATATGAATATGCAGCCATTATGAGATCATTGCACTGGACCGTTGAAAACTTACATACTGTAACTGTAAGTTTCCCAGTTTGTGTGTAACCACCGGTACTACTGGTGCTAGCAGGCAAAAGAAAACACAACTTATTAACATTTATTGCACAGATCAAATTATTTCACTGATGGAAATAATGCTAAGATAGGAATGTATACTATTCCAACCAGTGTAGGTATATCAGAAAAATTTTCAAACTGATCAGAAAATTAAAATACTTATATCATCTGAAAGGTAATGCAAAAACCGGATGAAATCATTTGGAATTTTTTAAATATTCCTACAAGCAACAAAGATATTGAAGTTTTTTAACTGCAAAAATCCACCAAAAGTGTCCACACTTCTCAGCTCAAAACCTGTGCCCACTGACCAGCAGTGATCACTCAGGCGCAGCAGAGCACCCTGTGTGTCTTTGTGTGCTCAGCCTATTGTCTGGCTCACATAGCCTGTGACTAATCAGGGCAGAGCTATTTCCCTGTGGTAATTTTCACATCATGTAATATTGCGGATTAAATTAACTATACTTCGCAACCTTCAAATTTCATGATTTTTCTACATAATATAGCAAATTTCATAAACTTTGCTGGATATAAATTTCAAAAAGATGATACCAGCACTTACCTGAAATTTTTTAGCATTTTGTAGAGGCAAAACTTAAAACAAGCAGAACCGAAACTTGTCAAAGACTGCAACATGGGAAAATCATGTGACCGGATTTTACTCTTTGATTTACAACTTATTTAGTTAATGGCTTGTATTAGTTTTTTTACGCAGCGCTAAAAGAGAGATTTAAAAAAGGGGTTCCATAGGCGAACTATCAGCAGGCCGACTTCAGTTTAACACTTCACTGCCCGTGGACAGTTACGACTGTAGCGCCCCTAGCGGATTGTGATCTACCTAACCAGTGTTTGCCTCTTAGGAAAATAAGTTGCTGAACCGAAAGCTCAGCCATCTTGGGAATTAGCTGGCTAGAATGCCTGCCGGGTGGGAAAACTTCTCTGCCCGTTCTGAAAGTTGTCTGCCCCAGGCAGATGGTCCAGCCTTAATTTCTAACACTGATTCTAACGAAATTAATTCCACGCTAAATATACACACTAGGTTCCAAGATATCTAGGATACCACATGTAAATACACAGTTTGATTTTCAGGACGAAGTGTAATGAGGAACTCTTTGTTTGATTCCTGAAATTAGTTTTTGATAATCTGAGAGTCTTCATAACGGCTTCTGCTGTAACTGTAGCATGCTTAGTAAATACACCAATCCATAAAAGTGGTGGTTGAGACAGAACATTTCAGCAACGATTATATTTGTCAAGGTTTTTTTCTTTAGTCAAAATGCCAGGGCTGGCTGGGAGACAGTTGTTGGCTTGGAAATCCACGCACAGATTGCTTCCCACAGCAAGCTGTTCTCTGGTGCCGGCACACAGTTTGCTGCACCTGTCAACAACCAGGTATCCTTCCTTGATGCAGCTTTGCCTGGAACTTTGCCTGTAAGTATAGTATTGTATTGTATCACAACTATGCTTGATCTGTACCATTTACACCCCTGGGTGAAGAAAGAGGTTGGATGTAAAATGTGTTAACTATGGAGACAACAAAGCCTTGTTGGAATGGGGTTCAAACTCATGATTTTTAAGCCACAGGATTTTACATCGTATATGCACTATTTGGTCATCCTGCTATGCCTGTACAGAGAAAATATTCCAAACTAAGTCACTTTGTTATTGCCCAGGCACTACCTCAACATTATATTTTTTCAGGAAGGTAAATAACAGTGTCTATGGGTTTTAAGCAAAAAGGTGTATAGTAGGCTTGTATAACTAGCATTTCCTTTTAAATCTACAATAAGAATTAGATTTCATGTTTATAAATGGGTTGATATACAGCCACCAGTCTTTGTCATATGTTCAGTTATCTATTTATATCAAATGCATGTTTCCCATTTATAGGTCTTGAACAGAAGATGTGCAGAGATTGGCGTGATGACAGGGCTGGCCTTGGGTTGTCACATCAACAGGGAGTCCAGATTTGACAGAAAGCATTACTTCTATGCTGATCTCCCGGTAAATCTTTGTTTCTTATTACAATGCTTACTCATTAATTTACTCATTAACTTTCTTCCTCCCTCCCTCCCTCCTTCCCTGGGAGACTTATGGTCATAATCATACCCTACCACTGAGCTCTGTCTTTTGATCTCATTCCATTCATTTATCATTGGTCTGTGCCAGGTAGTTTTTGGCTTTCCTTTTTTCTCTCCAGCCAGTTTATTGTAAAGTTATTACATAAAATTTGGGTTACAATGTCATAATATTATGAAATTGACTTATCATTTTTTTAGATTTGTATAGGTTATAGGTTACAATTTGATCACGTGTAGTTTTTTTTAATCCATGTCCTTCAGGTCCTTATATCAGCTAAATAAATTTAACTAAAGAATCTGAAACATTATGCTTTGTGGTAGATGATTTTAGGGATAGATTCAGATTGTCTTTATTTTGGCTTAACTTGACTTATGGGGAGGGGTGGGGGTAGCCTTCTGAACGGATAATAGTGAGATGAGTCTTCCATACCTGACTTGGATGGCTTGAGACAAAAATGACAAATAACTTATTCTGTTTTCAGCAAGGTTATCAAATTACTCAACAGAGACAGCCCCTGGCAGAAAAAGGGGAGATACCCTATTATTTTTTTGTAGCGAATGACATGAAATCACCGACCAAGCTGTCAGCACGGATTCACCACATCCAATTAGAACAGGATAGTGGCAAGAGTCTTCAAGACCCAGAACAGAACATGAGTTTGATTGACTTAAACAGAGCTGGTGCGTAAGGTTTCTGATTAGAGGGGGGTGATCTTTCCACAGTGATGCTGTATGTCCATGCGTTCAAAGATAAATATAATGGTAGCGACAAAGATTGGTATTAGCATCACACTTGTAATTCATTGCAAATTGCATGTTGAGGTCAGCAAAGGGACATTGAGAACAAGACTCTTGTTATTCTTGGTATAATTGTTTTCAGTACGTATGTTTTTGTAAAGTGACACAGGTTTTGAATGGCTTTTATTTTTACATTCATGTGTAGTAATTTAGTAATTGTGTTTTTTTTACACTTTAGGTATGGCCCTAATGGAGATTGTAACAGAGCCTGACTTCCGTTCAGGTGAGGAAGCTGCTGCCTTTGTAAAGGAGTTACAATTGATCCTCACAACCATAGGGGCTTGTAGTGGGGTGATGGCAGGTAAGTGGAATTGTTCAAGGTCAACCTGTCATTGCATATTGCAAGCATGTAAGGGTCAGGTTTAGGTAGCCTTCTGAGTCCACAGGAAATAGGAATTTTTTGAATTTTTGTTGATGGTATATAGTTGATTTAAATTCTCAATCAATGTTTGAGTTTGCCTAAAATTCTTAATCTTCCCTTGGATTTTTTTAATAATAAGAGATGAAAGTCATATGGATTTATCCAGATCTGTGTTATCTTTTATCTCCCTAAATCCATGTATACAGTTGCATGCTTTTGGCACTAGCATTTTCCAGATTGTAAAAAAGTCCACTTTCATCTAGGAAGTAATGCATAATGCCTTATACAGATACAGGACTCTCCCTTAGTTTTATTTGTTCCAGAGGGAGCAATGAGGGTGGATGCCACTGTGTCAGTCAACAAGGTAGGGGAGCCAATCAGCACAGGGGTCAGGGTGGAGATCAAGAATGTCAACAGCATCAGGGGTGTGGCCAAGGCTATTGGTATGTCCTCTAGATGGCAGCACATATCCCACTAAGGATTTCATCAGTTGTGCTATGCATTTACAGTTAGTTACAATAGTATTTTCTGCTAACAAGAACTGAACTGTGGAGGTAAAAAAAAAGGTGTATTGTGAAGCACTGAGATCTTAGATGTCGATCTTAGATGTTGTTGGAAGAAGCTGTTATTGTAACTTTGGCAGTAGGGATATTGTAACTTTTTTATATTTGGGAGAGATACACCTTTTTTGGTGAAAAGGATGACAATATTTCTCCTTTTGAGCATTTTCTGGTTTTTTGTCTGTGGCAGAATTTTTTATGTTATTGTAAAATTTCACTGCTTTTCTGCTTAGGTGTCATACCTCATCTTTTTTCTTTAGGTATTTAGATGTCCATATCCTTGATAAGAAAGTGAAATTATCATTCTATACACTGTGTATTTAAAAAAAAATATTTCATTAAAGTATTTTGTCTTTTTGTCATTTCGCTTATACTATAAAAAGATTTCATAGTCAATGGGTTTTTATCTTTTTTTTTTAGAATATGAATTCAGCAGGCATATATCACTTTTAGAAAAAGGTGAAAAAATAGCCAACGAAACAAGAGCTTTTGATGCAGAAAATGTGTAAGTTGACTTCTTTTGATATGTAACTGTATGTTTGTGATGTAGAAACATCTTTATCAAGGATATTAACGCCATTTGGTGTGAAATTGGTGACAGTTGTTGGACAGCCTCATGAGCGTTGTGATTTTTTTTTTGTTATCATCTCATTTTCAATCAGAAATATATTTAAAATATAATCAGTTGTTGACATTTACAAATGGTCAAATGTTGTAGAATATTACTGAATCTTTGGTTATTGTCATGTTGTTACTTTTTCTAATCCAAAATTGGAAGATGTAAGTTTCATCATCACACAGGTATACGTTTATTCATAAATATTTCTCCAGGGAAACAATATCTATGAGAGACAAGGAAAAGGTGCACGACTATCGTTTCATGCCAGAGCCAAACCTCCCTCCTCTACGAATATACGACAACCAGACTCTGTCGTCAGACCTGTCACCTGATCAGGTGATCAATGTTGATGAGATCAGGAGTTCTATGGCTGCAACTCCTGAGGAACGAAGATTGGCACTGCAGGCAAAATATGGATTATCACTTGAACACTGTCAGGTAATGTTGGTAAGTAGGAAGAGATAATGTCTTGGCTTAAGAACATTTAGGCTTAGTAAATTTTTTTTTCTAAAGTGGCAATATTTATCTGTAGTTGTATTGGTATCAACAAGCATTTTGTTTTGCTTAATGTGGCCAAGTTAGTTTAAAGTGCATTTTCATGAATAAAGTTTGAAACGGTCAACAACAAACAAAAAGAGTTTATTTTACACACATTCTGGATTCAGAGTTCCGTGTCTTTTGCTCAGTTTCAATATTGTTAAGTTCTCAAAAGACAAACGATATTACCATAAATCAACTTACACTTATGATTATCTCTCCCAAAAGCTTTTGCATAGAAAACTTCTCAGTGTAGAGTGCCAAGCCCATGAACTGATTTAGCTCAGCTTTTCACACATTAGCTAAAGAATGGATCCAAGTTGATGGCGACACAAAATATTGGTTTGTTTTTTTCCTTTCAGACCTCAGAGGGCACAGAAGACTTCTTCACTGCTGTGATGAATGCAGACACAACCCGTGACATTGCTATTGTGTACCAACTTTTATTTTCAATATTGCTCTCATTCACAAATGAACACAAGATCCCTGTAGATAAAAGGTAAAGCTGAATTCATGTTACCAATATAATGATAAAATTAAAATTGTATTCATTTTTGGCAAAATTTTAAAAGATGGCAAACTGTAAATTTTTGTGGGAATATCCTTTGGTTAATGCTTTGTGATGTCCCTTAAACTAATTGACACATTTTTTCTCCCCCAGCCCTACCCAACCTGCAGCCCTACTTTGCATCAACTTTGAGTAGAAATCAAAACTGACATTTTGCCATTCCTTGTGAAAAAACTCTAAGCTCCGACAGTGATTGTTTCAGGTTTATAGCTAATGAAGTTAAGACAGTACTGCCTTAGTGGCTAAAAGACAAATGCTTGACCATTACTAATTCAGCCAATGGCACCATCTAAATTCACTCCAGATAAAATGATTTAATGGCTCTCTTTGGCATATTTTAGCCCTGTTGACATTGTTAAATTTGGAGACACTGTGGACTTGCTGTGCAGCAAACGCATCACATATCAAGTTGCAAGGAACATTTTTCATCAATATTTTGAGGCGGCAGACAACAGGCCCGTGGAACAAATGGTGGATGAAGAAGATTGGTGGATAATAACAGATAAAACATTGATAGAAGAACATTGCAAAAAACTAATGGCCGAATCTCCTAAAAAGGTATGGTTTTCTGAAAGAAGAAATGTCTTTTTTTGTCATAGATTGAGATATGACCATAATTGAACATTTTGAATGTAACAACAACTATCACGTAAGAAAGTATTCTACTCTTCATCTAATGCTGTCTCTTGCATCTATCCGTATTTACCTCCATTCTAATTTCAAGTTAAAATAAGCTTTTTTAATTTAAATTAAGTCAATTATAACACCTTTTTTTGGATTATTCTATTTAAGGTAAAAAATCACAAGAAAGGATATCGGGAGTGTGGCTTTCATAAAGCAATAGTGGTGCGAACACAGGGTAGAGCAGACCCAGTCTTGGCGAGACAGGTGGTGGAAGAAAACATGGGAAAATTTGTCAAAAAGAAATGACAATTCTGGAATGTCACAATACATTCAGCAGAATTATGAAAAAGTGTCCCGATTTACAGATACAGTTATGTCACAGTGCATTCTTTAAAATTGGTACTTTACGCATTTTAAAATCTGCATTGCCTTTATATTGAAGCGTTTTTGTGTTGTTTATGATATTTATTTAGTATTGTTGTAAGCAGTAGATTAGATTTAATTCATTTGAAGACAGACACATTGAGTATTATATATAATGACTTTGGAGATATGAACACTGACATATTGAGCTATGAACACTGACTAAATGAAAATCTTAATGTGGTTAATGGTGATTATCTGATAGCAAGAATAACGGAATCAAAAAAAATTACATTTGTCTTACATAAAAAAAAGCAGCAAATGCCCATGAATAAAGTTATTTGCATTAATAATAAAGTTATTTTGTCTTTATTTTAAGAAGTGAAAAGAAAAAATAATAAAATGTAGTTAACTTATTTAAATAAAAAATAATCCAATAATCCACAGCACAAGTTATGCCCATTATTCTTTGGTATGTATTTTATATGTAGGTACATATAAAGTTGCAAAAAGACTTATTTAGTTTTGGCATTTGAACAGCATAATAATAAATTTTTAAAAACGTTTTATAGTTAAGTTTTCAAAATTAAAAAATTGCCAGAATGACCCCTTATGACAACTGTTTTCAAGAGTGGACCAGGCTTGGGGTGCACTATCGATGATTCTTTAATAAGTCAATGATTTCATCCTCCTCATTTTCTTCTGCCTCTTGTAGGGCAGTCCTGCCTTCGTTGTTGCAGACCCTGGTGTCTGCCCTGGATTTGAGCAGCAATCTGACCATATCCTCACTATTATGACTCACAGCATGCATTAGAGCTGTCCACCCATCACTGTCTTGTGCATTCAAACTGCATTTTGCCTAAAAATATGGAAAGAGGAAATGGTAGGCAGCTTTTAAGTATTTTAAAAGAGGGACAGATCAAAATTATCCTAATGTGTCACAGAGCAGGGCTTCAACTAATACAAAATTACACAAGAAAGGGCTATCCAGTATATCTGTTTACAATAATTTAGCACTGATGTTTCATCAATTTAAGGAAAAATGGCAAACTGGTATCTTTATTCCTCTCTTAATTCTATAAAACAGTATTAATCACCTTGATTAGCACCTGAGCAATATTGTGTTCTTCATTAATAATGGCCAGCATAAGTGGTGAGAGCTTGCTGCTATCTGCCACTGCCCTGTCCACTAACTGTGGCCCCTGGGGGGCATCGACCAGAAGCTTGACCATCTGGCCATACCCGTTTCTAATGCTGATATGAAGTGGAGTCTCTCCCTGTTTATTACACAGGAACATATCTGCTTTGTCTGCAATGATAAATATAAATAACAAGCTTTAAGAAATGGTATTTGTACATAACTTGATAGGCACAGTTACACCATAAGTCATGCATTGCAACCGTGCATTCAAATGTAATTGTTTCTTAAATGCAGCAGGTAAACTATATTAAGCATAGTGCACATTGAATAATTATCAATCAGAGTGGCTTCTTATTTCACTTTTGTGACATATACATCCTGCTTTATCATATTATTGATGTAATGTAAGTTACAGTGAGAGGCACCATGAAATTCATCATGTTTATTAATAAAGATATAAAGTTAAGTATAACAGACAATACAATAACACTTACTATTAATCAGTATCTTTGCCATGTCCCTTAAGTCTTTTTCTGCAGCAAAACACAGTGCACTCTGTTGTGATATCAAATTCTGGTTGACATCAATGCCATGCTGGGCCAGAGATTTTATCACCTACATTGTAAACATTAATTGTAAACATTCATCTTTTATTTCTTATACACATTGTCAAGCACTTTTCAGGTAACATTATCTTAATTTTGGCTGTAAGGTAATACTCTTGGTTTAGATAAATTGGGCTGCAAAAGTTAGCTGTGTCTTGATAGTTTGAAGGTGTAATGGCCAAAGAATTCTTTGGTACATGTATGAATGTCCAGGACACTTGATCTCAGTTAACAGCAATGTTCTTAACAGTGAATGCCTCTTTTAGTGAGCTTTAGACTAACAATCTTTTCAACAGTTCTGCTTTGGAATAAGTTATCTTCAGGTCATTTGTTTTGTTAAAATTTTTTATCTTATTTGGTCAAATACACAATATACAACTTTGACTACTGGAATGAAAAAGTGATTTGATACAGGTAGGAAAAATGCATGGGAATCAATTCATTAAATCAAAGCGCCATATATTAATTGTTTCATTCTCAATGCACTGTTTGCAGAATTAGAAAGTGCTGATCCATGTACTAAAACTTCCAATTCAAAACATAGTAAGTGATATTGCAATGTAAAAAAATCGAAGGTCATACACACCTCCAACCTGTTGTTTATTACTGCTTCTTCAAAAGCTGACTCTCCTTTTTCATCCTTGTAATGGATGTTGCATCCTTTGTCAATCAGCCAAAGTGCCAGCTGGTCATGCCCTATTATATTATATTACATGTATTGATATATATATATATATATATATATATATATATATATATATATATATATATTACTGTGAATAAATGCCATTTCCGATAAAAATGCTATTTTTGTATGTAAGTGCTTTTAAACAAAATTCTAAATTCTGAGATAAAAAAAAATTTTAAAAAGAGGACTGAAATAAGGAGCAATAAATGTTAAAAAAGTAAAATCTAATCTTGAAAATATTCAGCTGGCTTGATTCTAGACTATGAAGATTTAAATTACAATAATAATGCGTCATCTACTGCAAACTTAATTTGAATAGTATACACCTTATGCATTCTCTGCTCACACATACATTCTATGGTCATATACAATGTAATATAAACCCATACAGGAGTAAGCATATTGCTTTAACCAAAATTGGGAGATTTAAATATATTCATTATGTTTATGCTAACAAAGAATATTTTGGTCTTATTTATCTATTAGTTTATTTACCATTGTCATTACATCACAAATTTTTTTTATTGAAAACTTTTGTCATTTACCTTGTTGTACAGCTAAAATTAGGGGAGTCCAATTGTAAAAGAGGCAGTCAATGCTGACCCCTTGGTTGATTAAAGTTTCTACTTCTGTCTGGTTATTTTCTCTCACAGCCTTGTGAAGCTGCTGCTCTGGGTTGCTCATTGTTCTCCTGTTAATATGTAACATGCATGATCAAACACTTTCATCTACAACGTTGGATCTAAACATTATAATATAGACAATAATATGAATCAGTCATATTGTAGAGATACTAAAGCCTTGGTTAGAATTTAGAAACTAGGAAGGTTTAATTCTTGTTTTTCAAATAAACGTTGACGGTTTGTCCCTTTTGCAGTATCCCCCCCCCCCCACTCTATTACTCTTTATTCTGCATTTTTATGAGAACTTAGATATTTAGTTACTGATCAATGTCTTTGTGGGTGGGGACTACAGAAGTGCCAATTGAAAGTTTTTGACGTTACCAAGTTGTCGTTTTTTTACCATTAGACTATAATAATTAAATCAGAATTTTAGGAAGAGAGACAATAGTTTAGGGTGCGCCATCTTATATAAGATTGATTGAATTCTTTTCAGAGAAAAACGATGAAGATATTATACATGTCACATTATTTAATTGGAAAAAAGTACTCACTGTTGCTCAGCACGCCACATGTAAAAGGGCATCATACTGTGCACCGATTATACTGTAAACAATGGCGGTGTCTGTCTTGGCCTACCTGTATTTGGTCTTTGCAGTCGTTATTTTCGTGCTAGGTTTAGTACAGAATAGCACCATAAAGTTGCCACAAATTTTGCAAGATACCCTGCTGTATGGGAAAAGCAGAGGGAAAAGAAATGAATGGACAGTTATGCGTTATTTAGAGATTCCCAAAAGGTTTGTTTCCACATTGCGGCCGATGGCGTCGATCACCTATGAAGAAACTTTTTTTAACCAGTACCTTTCATTTTTTTATTTGATGTCTGTTTTCATGCAAGTATAATTAATGTATGTATGCCAGTTGATATTGCTGTCTAGCTCTCCACTTCTGATTAAGACTTTTTTCAATTTCCAGCTATTTCGTTATTGCTGTCTAGTTCTCCACTTCTGATTACGACTTTTTTTTTTAATTTTCCAGCTATTTTCGTTACTTTTATGCAGTGGGCATAGTTGCTAACTCTGCCCACCTTGCCTTAGCAGTACAGGCATATGTGTTTGGTGTGCCACCCCCAGCAATTTACCAACAAGTTGTTAGTGCAGTGTCAGCAGAGCAGGTCACCACTGGTGAGGGCATGGATGGGGGGAGGGGGGAGCTTTGATATACCCCTCTTATATACAGTAGTTTTCTGAAATATCCCTAATGAAATCTTATAGGATCTTATAAGATCCTATAAGATCCTATAGATAATTGGGCTAATTTCCTATAGAATCGTATAGGATCTTATAGGATCCTATAGGACTTTTTCGTAAGGGATATTTTCCGTAATCAACAGATGTAAGGATTTGTTGAGCAGACTTGTTTGATGAAATAATTAAGAAGCAACACATACACAGACATACACACTATATACACACTTAAATTTTAAATCGGAATATTCTTTGATTTAACTACTGAGAGTCAAAAATGAAAATAGGTTAGCACTTGATCAGTCCAAGTCCAAGGAAAATATGCAAAAAGTGATGCATTCTAATTACTTGGTTGTTACATTTGATAAAAGGAAGGTCATTTATTGTTGTTATTGCATTTTGGAATCTGTTTTCAGATGCATTGGGCACTCTTCTTTGTATCAGTTTGATGTTGATCCAGGACCTGCGCCGTCTCTACGAATGCTACTTCATCAGCGTGTACTCCAAGTCTACCATGAACCTGCTCCACTTTCTTCTGGGCTTCTATCTCTACATTACCTTTGGTTGGACAGTGCTTAGTGAGGCACCCAGCCTCAACACAGCTCCTTGTAAGAAATCTTCATCTTAGTCATTATGATATATACATGTGCAAGTATAAGGCTGGTTTGAGTGAGACCCCATTTCCATAGAAACCATTGGGTTACATAGATCGACCCAACTCTGATGGGGCTCTGGCTTAGTGCAATCAGCTTAACTGAATGACATTCTTCGTCTTCTTTCCAACTTACTTGTATAATAACCAGTTTTTCTGTGTTTTGATTAACACCAGTAGGGGGCATGTCATTCAGTTAAGCTGATTGCAGTCAGCGAGAGTCCCTGCAGAATTGGGTCTGTGGGATTGGGGCATTAATTTGACTGTAGGTGTGTGTGTGTGTTTATGTGAATTTGTATGAGCTTTACTGACTAAAATGTTTTTTTATCATAGTGTCCTTCAGTTTGCTTTAAGTCTGTACCTAGCATTTTATAAGGCAAAGTTTCATATTATTTTACAGTGCAACATCTCCACATTGGGCTCATAACATGGTACCACATAGTGGGGGTAATTATGTTTGCCTTAGCCTCATGGCAGCATCAAGTGGCACATGTAACATTTGCTAACCTTCGGAAGACAGAGGGTAAGATATTGTATAGTACAAGTATTAGTGCACTGGTAAATTACCTTGGGAGCTATTTCAGTGCAAAAAATTATTTTTTAAAGTATGTATGGTAAGGTTGATGACAAAAAAGTTTATAGTTTTATTCTTGAAACATGGACAAAATTCAATGCTCGAAATTATGAAATCACCATTGATGATTATTTCATTCAGTTTGCTTTTTCTACAGTGGAACATTCCATTTTGCTATTGAATTTGGAATTTTCATCAACTGTGATTAGCTTCAAAGTATATAGAAAACATGCAACATTACTGTATGTGCTTGTCAATGACATATTTCTTTGTTAAAATTTCAGGGAAAGTCCGTAATTATGCTCACCGCATACCCCGAGGAGGTCTGTTTGAATATGTATCCAGTCCTCACTATCTTATGGAGATTATCATATACCTGGCCTTTGCCACTGTGGTTGGGTTGCGTAATATCTCTGTATGGAGTGTGTTTGTGTTTGTATTGCTGAACCAAGCAGTGTGTGCCATTTTAACCCAGAAGTGGTACCTGGATAACTACAAGACATACCCAAAGTCTAGGAAAACTCTTATTCCATTCATATACTAATGTGATGTTTCTTCAACTGGAAAAAAAGAGCAGAAGAAGTAAAAAAACTTTGAAGGAGCAGACAAATATGTCAGTTAACATTTCTTCCACAGTGAGTGAGTTTCTTTCCTCAGCCAGGAGCATTGTTTTCACCTCTATTTGACTGAATGTTATAGGCAGAATTTGTTGACTTTTTTGAGGGGGGGGGGGGGGGGGGGAACCCACAGGAATGGACTGGGGCCATGGTAGTAGTTCAAAAGTTCATTGGTCCAAAGGTTCATTGGCCCGAAAAATGGAAACATTTTCATCAGTTTTGTAATCAAGGGTTCATTGGTCCGAAGGTTCTATAGTGAATATTCGGACCAATGAACCTTTGGACTATTGAACCTTCAGACCATTGCTACGGCCCCAGTGGACCATGTAGCAAAGGATAAAACTTTGCAGATAATCCATTGATTGTTTTTGTATCTGTTATAGTTTGGTAAAACCTTTGGTGTGCCATTTTGATTTTAATCGAAATAACGTTATTCCACAAGGAGGATGTTTTTTCCCATATTTTGTATCACTGAATCCCAAGAATCATTTTTTGCTTTATCTTTATGTTGACAATGACGTTTATTGTATCACTTGTTTGTAATTTCATTTTTGAGCCAAATGTTAATTCCCTTCAAGAAATGTGCAGACCATTTTTATACATTTTCTGCAAATATCAGGTAAGAAAATTAAGGTGTTTTTTCAAATAAGGAAAAAATGTTCTTTTCTTCTGATCCTCTTCAACCTGATCATGTCTGGCATTTAGTCTTTGCAGCAATGTCCCTCGCTTACCTCTCAATAAAAATGCGTGAATACCTATAAAGAAAAATAGAATGCAGTTTCGGTGTTCTGGATGAGGTATGATGGCAAAAAACTGAATTTTATCCCTATTTTACCTTCTAGTTCTCTTATTAGCCTATCCAGATCTATAAGTGACAAAATGTAAATAGACCATGTTTTTCGAAATGTGTCACCTCAAATTCAAGCATATTTTAGAAATGCTAATGCAGACTAAAATGCAACCAGTTCTTATTGAGAGCTGGTTGTAGAGTTAAGATTCAAGAGGATGCTTGAATCGATTTTTCGGTAAGAACATAAAACTAGAAAAAAAATGCGTTCATGCTTGCGGGATGACAACACAGTTAGTTGAGATCCGGATCTTTTTTTTTTCCTAGTGTTGAGTGTTGTATAATATAACTGAAATGTACTGCTTGCTAAACCTGCTGGTGTTAACATGCAGATACGTACTTGCTGCGTTCCATGACGATATCCCTGAGTGCAGCGACCTCTTTGAAGGCGCTGTTACCCTCAGCGAAGATGGGTGGAATAGGGTAACGCTGGCGTAAGCTGCCCACGCCTTCTATGTTTGGAAGGGTGATACGGACACCCGATGCCTTTACTCTCCTGCAAGTAAACCGCACCAGAAAAATGTCAGATCATGTCAGAAAAATGTCAGATCAATGTCATAATTAATAAACACAGTGCTACGTGCAACCCGTTCTCTAATTAGCATAGCTTATTTGAAGCGAAAGTAAATTAAAGCAGAAACTTTCAACTTGGAAACGACATTTTAAAACGGATTGCCCGTTTGTCGTCCGTTTGGACTGTAGACTAGAAAAACATCTAAGAATCAGACTTCCGAATTCGGAAGACTTTTTTTGGCCTCCTAAATAGTGGTTTTCATATGTTTTTTTTACCCCCCCCCCCCAAAAAAAAAAAAAAAAAAAAAAGAAAAAAGAAAAAAAAAAAACACGAGGGGAAAGATGTAAAGCGTGTTATGGCATACCTGACATTTCCTTTTTGATCCAAAACGCCAACGACATCTTTAGCAGTGTCCGCTGGGTCTTTGTCGTCACTGTCGGAGCCTGCGAAGAACGACTCCGGAGTCAGGTAGTAATAGCCGTTTACTAGAAAACAACAAATATATCAGCATCAGTATCAGAATGTCCAAGTCACTTAATTCATACATAAATGATAATATGCTTAGCTCTGTTTATTTGGTGTCTGATTCATTACGACCTTTCGTCAGTCAAAATTCAACGTTTTATTTACGATGTTGTCCACGTGGCAAAGCTCTCCCTGATGCAACGCACTTTCTTTTTACCTAGCTGTAAAAGTGATAGCAGTAAAAAATATACGTACGTCTAGTTCCGTTATAAGCCTTTGCCGCAGTCAGCCCGCCATTTCTGCCGCCAGAAAAGATACTGTTGTCCCTGAAACTCTTAATGGCGAGGTTATAGGGGTTCCATTTCATGAGGGGGTGCAACCAGATGATCTCCAAGGGAACTGCGTATGTCCAGCGCTGCACGTAGTCCTTGCATTTCTTGTATTTTCCGCTTCCCTGGAAATGAAACACGATGCATGTCGAGATACCGGTATCTTGTCTGACATTTTCCCAGCAGTTTGTTCCTTGCACAACTCGAAGTGCAATACCAAAAATCAAAAAACGTTTTTTTGAACAATTTCAATTACAGAAATTGAAAACATGAGCATTAAACTGAAAGAAGTGTGTGTGTGTGTGTGTGTGTGTGTGTGAGAGAGAGAGAGAGAGAGAGAGAGAGAAAGAGAGCAATAGAGAGTTACTAACCGTGCAGTGTGACATCCTCATTGGCGCCACTTTCGGCGATGTCGTTTGCGCCATAAAAACGGTGGTGTCAGAGCCACTGCGCAGTTTAAGGTGATAATTATTGCCAGCTTTTATCTTGTACCAACGGTGGTAGTAAGCAGTATTCAACTAAATTTAAAAAAAGCATTAAGTGAAAAAGAATCCAAAATTGTGAGAATGATGCCACTCTTAAGCATGTATAATAGTATACAGTGTATAATCGAATAAATGGATAACTTACTGGCTCTCTGCTAATAAATATGAGGTACAACTTACTGGCTCTCCCGGGTTTTTTGGAGTTGCCGTTCTGGAATAAACTGGGTAACCGAACATCTCGTCAGTAATTTTACCAGGATAATTGTTCTTACCTAAAAGAAATTGCAAGCCAAAAATTAACAAATCCAGATCCTCTTATTCTCCACACTCGACTCCCATCGGTGTTCTCGCAAATGGTCAGCTAATAAATCGCCTTGCACTGCCGAAGGGAATCTCATCCCAAGTATCAGATCTAGATAGCTACCCTCATCTTTTATTGGCATTTGCACACAAGAATTGCCGATGGAAAAGAGAATTCCTTAAGAGACTAAACACCCTTAGTCAAGGCAGTGGTGAGAAAAACGGGGCTGCGAGTAGATTTTTTACGCTAGCTGCCTAATTAATGACATTTTATGAAGCAGTGACAGCGACAGTAAACAAACAAAATACACCGGCTTATTAATTCGCATGTACAGCAGAACAGAAGTTGTTGATATTTCTTTTTTAAGATACCTGGGATTTCAGCCATGATTTCGTCCAAAAATCCGGTCTCCCTGGTGGTGAACCCGTCTCCGTTTTTCCAAGAGTTCCCTCTGGGGTCTAGCTGGAACCTACAGACAATACCGTGACACGTTATATATCCGTGTGTGTGTGTGTGTGTGTGTGAGAGAGAGAGAGAGAGAGAGAGAGAAAGAGAAAGAGAGAAAGCGTATTGTGTATTATTGCTGCGAGTGCAGTAATTCAAATGAGTTGCCAAAAACCACAGAGGATTATACATAGCGCACAGTAAGAAGGAAGAAAATACTCGTTCAAATATAATTTTCGGGAAATAAGAAACGATGCTCTTTGGTACTTATTTGCCAGTTGAAATACGTGTTGGCATTTGGTCAGGCTTTATGTAAAAATTGACTTCAAATGCTTCTTTAATGTCTGCTCAACATACCTTGTGTAACGTTGTGAAGGCATTTGGTCAGTTCTGTGTTTGTAGGGGATGCGCAGGTGCACGTCATCCACGGGACGGAAGAAAGAGAGCGGTATGTGTCGTTTGACGGGATGGCACAAAATACGATAACTCCACTGGGCAAATACGGGGAGAGTGCCATTCCTCATTTCCTAGAATGAAAAAACCACACCAACGATAAACAGCGGGTATAAAGTAACCGGAATTGGTCACTCGTTGGACTAAGAGAAACGACTCATGTTTTACATGCCAACATGATGGGACGATAAGGAATAAATAAGTAATAAACGAATAAGTGTTTTTTACCTGTCAAACCATAAATGTATATACTGTATACATGTAAAACTACGACATTTAAAGCAAAGGCCCAAGATTTATCAAAGCCGAGTGAAAGATATAAAAGGTAAAACGAATAACAATTGACTCATAATATAAACTTTGATGAAAAAAAACGCGTTTTAAATATAATTGAAATGTAATGCCAAAGACAGCTCACCAGAATAGCTGTAGGCAGGAAAGCATAATTCTCCGCCACGTCTTTCCTTCCGGTGTAAGCGGTAAACCGAGCTTTCTCGAACAACTCAAACCACGTGGTGGCGTCAATAAAGTGACGATCACTATGACAGAAAAGGGAAAATTTCAAACTTCATATGGAACCAAAATTGGTGAATAATGAAAGCAATTCACCAGAGTGGTTCGGAATAATACAAACTTCAAAACGGTATGTAGGCCTACTGTTGTATAAGACACTACGTTGGAGTTAAAATAATTTTCATAATGGTCATCAAAGGTCTCTGATCTATGCGTGGTGTCGATTTTCAATTTCTTTTAATTTTTTTAACAGTTAAAGAAATTGAAATGTTGTAAATATGACATATGCCGAACGGTAATCAACCACAAAATGCGACTGAGGTTTTTAAAATTGAAAAAATAATGTACATTTAATTTCTTGGAGGGTACTACTAAATCACCTGCCCCTATCTCACCTGGCAAAAGGTTCGTTGATGGTCTTACTGTTCACGTTCCAGGCTCCTTCCAGGTAACAGAGAGCTGGTCGGAAATAATTCCTGTAGTCCCGATGAGTGGAATTGCTCTGAGCCCACGCCTTGTAAAATTCGCGCAATTCTTTTATCTGGTCGTCGATCGTCTTTTTGGCGACCACTTGTGGCGGCAAGTCAGGGAACGGAATGGATTCGGTCGAGTGGTAATTCATGGACTTTGTGTGTGGCATCACTACTTTGTAATCGTTGTGGCGGGTACGGAACTCGAGGCCGTTCAAAACGGCAATGAATTCACCTGTGGTGTGATATGGATATGTTAACTAATATATACATGGCTGAACAAATGGATGAATAAGAGAAATATATGATTATAGGGGGAGAGATCGTAAATGAACAATGATTTACCACCGTAAACCTACACGTAAGGATCCATATTTTTATGCTTAACCAACAGCCAAACCAGGCTATGTAATTTTGTGTTGATATATTCGTTAATTATAGCACGATAGGGTTATTTAATAGTGCAAATTTACTAAAACGCCTCTAGTTGAATTATAACACAAATACTGTAGCAGTTTAGCCTTCTGCAGTCTAGACGTGGCAGCCGGATAAGGTGGAGGTAGGGGGGCTTAGCTTCCCACTTTTTGCAACAACGTCAGTCAAAATGAAGGGATAGGGGCAATTCCATAACACCAATTAAAATTCAACTGCTAAATGCCACTGTCAGAAATTCATTTTGTTCATAGTTTATTTATCATATTGTTCCTATACTACGTACCCATTCCTGGTGTCCGGTCCAAGTTTGCATGGTTATGCATGGAGAGAATAGAACTCCCGCTGTGAGTATTCGAATGGTACGGTCTAGTGCCCTCACGGAAATGGCGTAACTGAAAAAGACACAGTCTAGTGTTTTATTTTTGGTATCCATTTCTTTTCATTATACGTCTATTTTTAGCTTTATAAAGAAAGTGAAGCATCATTGTTTTTTTTAGTGAAAAAAAACGTGGCACATGTGGAAAATGCCGAATAGCTTCATAGATGAAAAATATCTTTTATTTTGTCAGTACTGTATTTCATCGTGTTGTTTCAACGAAGAAGTTCCTTATAAATTTGTGTTCCATATAGTTAAAACATCATGATTGTTATCGATTGCGAGCTCCTTTTTTCTTTAAAACTTGATGCCGGGCAATAATATCTTCATTTGCGATAGATATGTATACTATAGCTGTACCGCGGATAAGCACCGACTTGGATAAATTCAACGTGGGCAATATATTCAATTCTAAGTTACTACATATACATACAATTTGAACCAAAACCGGAAGTGCAACTGCTGTCAACACTAACACCAGCACCAGGACCATCACCACCACCACCACTACTACTACCACCACCACCACCACCACTACTACCACCACCACCACCACCACTACTACCACCACCACCACCACCACTACTACTACTACTACTACTACTACATATATACTGCTGCTGCTACTACTACTGCTACAACAACAACTACTACCACTACGTACCTGTTTGATACCAGAGGAACCCTCGGTTCTGGTCTTTTCCTCCAAGAACTGCTGCTGCAGCATAATCTGCGTTGCCAAGGCGTCCACCTTCTTGTTCAGTTCATTGTACCGCGTCTGCCAGTCCGCTGTCTGACCTGTCACCAGGGACAGCGTCAACGCAAATACCACCATCAACATCTTACGCCAAAGAAATACGAAGAGAAATAAATTTTCACTATGAATATGATATATTTTGAAATTTAAGATCCATGTGGTTGTCTTTACTTAAATTTGACGGAGAATTGTATAGCGCCAGCAACACGGGAAGTAGAATAATACATCTGTGTATTCAATTGGTTTTGCGCTATTGTAAACGACTGACACTTTTGCTAATAATAATAAAAACTGTATCAAATGAGTAAAAGGATAGGGAGTTATTTAGAGTAGGTTAAATTTCTTTACAACAGCACTAAAAGCGGTAGTTTTTTTTTCACAATATTAAGTAACGATATTCAACTGAGTTTACCCTTTATACGTTTGCCCAATATTTGAAACTAGCAATTCAATTAACGCGTAATGAGACAAACGTAAATAATATCTAAAATTTAAACTGATAAACAATTCCGTGAAACATTCAAAAGACGATACGCAGCTGAACACAATCAATAAATCATGCCATTTCCACAAGTAAGATCCGGAACGAAATGGTTCAAATGCATTTCCGTTTTTAACCAACATTCTGTAATTTAATTGTTTTTTATTCACATGTACTTTAATGTAGTTCACCTTTAAAAATTATATTTTGCAATTTTGCGAATCAATTTCACCGTATTCACCGTAGATAATGTGCAGTTGTCTTCAATACGGAACTAGAACCCACGCAAGCAAGAATCGCCGTAAATAATCAAGACTCACCAATGCGCCATTTGATAGGTTTGAACTTTTTAACATTTTCGTTTGTACACACAGGTGAGAAGTCAATATCAATTTTAGTTTTCATAAAAAAACTGTAGGATGGAAATTATGCACTGAACTGATTTGTACATCGTAAATAAATTTTTGGTCACCAAATGTCAATAAAAAAACTTTGATATAAAAAATGAATAGAGTGAATCTTCCTTACCATGACGACTCGCAGGTCTATCTGCTTGTGACTGTGCGACGACTTCGTCTTTCCTGGGCTTATCACTGCGCGCCCCCGTACATCCCTTCATCACGCTCTTGGCCTGGGCACTTAGTCACATCTGCCATGATCACAGGGACGCTGAGGAAAGTGCGGGGTGGAAGCCGTGGAACAAATCTTATCACATCTCACGAAGTAACTATTTTGAACCCAGGCAGTGTTGATATCAGTTTTGTTCTCACGTGGATTCTAGTTTTTGTCTCTATGTGATGGTTTATGCACTCATAACGCAGGCTCATTATTATTTTTTCTTAAAGCGTGAAGCATAGCGCCATAAAAAACGTTACTTCAGATTTTCGCATTTTAAATTATTCATTCGATTGTTGTGTTCACTTTGCTGTCTTATCATTGAGGCAGTTCACAAGGCGCGCAAGCTGTAGGCCTACAATGCTGGTATTAGGCTCCGTTCACATGAAAAATCTATTTTCTAAAAATCTATTTTCTATTCGCGGTATCTTGTGATCACTCCGAGCGCAGCCGAGAATTAATTACAGCTTTGGAAGTAGCTGGCTCGCGCTGCCAATAATTACGCCGCGGGGTATTCATGGCACAGACCGTGATCACAAGATGCCGCGAATAGAAAATAGATTTTTTCATGTGAACGGAGCCTTATACTTGCGTGCAACTGAATAGCGACTCCTATGGAGTGAAAAATTGTTTTCAAAGTTGACATGTCCTTGACAAACAAAAAAAATTGAACGATTTGTTAGTACAACGTAAATCATATCTATGTATACGGTAAACAGACTGTAACACTATTGCCAGGCGTTACTGTAGAGAACATGCAGCATTGAAATTGATCAGAATACATTTTAGCCGTAGAAGGTGTCAAAGACTGAGGTATATAAAACGTCATAATATTTACAATCTTGTCTGCGAATCTAGTCTTGCTTGATTCAAAGCTTACGGATTCAGTTATAAATCTGTATTGGAGCTTTAAGTGCATTAGATGTTACATGTACCGGTGTCAAAATCAGGACAACTACACCCTCATCGCTGTAGTTGTGGCTGAGCACAATGCAATTAAAAACATATGGGTATTTTTTTTAGTTTAGAGAAAATATAAAGAAAAACAAATTCGGTATGTTTTTAAAGCTTTGATAGCATTCAACGATAATTCACAGGGAAACGTGCAGACTCTTTATCGATATAGACAATTTTCGACTTGTAGGATAGAGCAAAGTAAGCATAGTAAGCGGTTACATGTAGTTCTTTACAAATAAAAGTGGAAAGGGCAATTGGATTATATATTAAAGTTAAATTCGTCATACATTTTGTATTATGCAGATTTATTTCTAACACGACAACAATAAATGATTCTTGTCACCGTTGACCATTTGAATTCTGCAGCGTCTTACCCCATTCAATTACTGAATGTAATGGAGCCCATGTGCCCTCTTGAGGACAACAGGGCTCACGAACGCTGAGGCCACCGTTTGACAGGAATAGTAACCAGTGTTCCTGGGTGAGTGAGTGTCCGACCAATGTTTGTCGTCACTTAATCTGGAGACCATACGTTGTTCAAAAGTGGTAATAGCGCAACCTGTCACGTGGAATCAAAACCCAGTGGAGCGTTTGGAGAATGCACCACTTTGTGGGTAATGCCATGACGTACAAAGTTCTCGGCTGCTTGAAAAGGAAAATCGCTGGCCTAAAGGAATTCCATTTTCGTTCAGTTTTGAATGAGGGTAAAAAGTCATCAGGATTCCGTTGAGGGAGAAAAAATAAATAAATGAAGTGAACTTGATCGCCAGGGTCTATTCAGAGAAGAAACCCGCTGAAAACACAACAGAAGCATGGATGTACTTTTAGAAATGAGACGCCGATTTCAACGTCGCCAATCTAAGAATGCAGAGAAAAAACATCAGCGGCTTGGTCTTCGCAGACAAACTGAGCCCTCGTTCGCGGATCCAGCAGATAATTTTCAATCAAATGAAAACTCAGTTGGAGGAGAACGCCATTTGTATACGGCCTCTGTCAAGTACTGTTCTCCCTTGTGTATTAAAAACAGGTCCACCACGATTGCGGGGGAATCTCTCGGACGGTTCACTATTTCAAAGAAAGGTGAAAGTAACAGCTCTTTGATCAACAACGACTCGATCGCAAGCTCCGAAAATCAGTCAACGCCACAATGTATTTTACCTGCCGGTCAAGCCGGAGTTAGATCCCTGAGTGTCTTGTCTGTTTCATCCGGGCAAAGCACAAGCAGTAGTACCAGCAGTGCTACAACATTTCCTAAACACCACTATCACAGCAGAAATGAAGACTCGAAGAAACAAACAGTCAATATTATAAGGGAGATTGGTGAGTTGATGAGAAAATCTCGAGCAGAGCGACGACGACGTTTAGAGAAATACTGGAACTACTTGGTGGGTAGTGACCATTATTATTATTATTTATTTTTCTTTAAAGGTTTGAAAAAAGGAAACAAGTACTGATAACCTACTGGCGTGCGTTTTCAAACTGATTTTATTTTAATTTAATCCTCTTTTTTATCAATAGTATAATTTGCGGGGTTTTTTTTCGGCTTTTTTTGTCTGTGGTAGTTGTGCTTCAGTTTTTTTAGGGCCCATGGTTTCCCTGTTACTTTATCAAATTACTTACTAGAACGCCGTAAAAACACTTCTATGGAAAATGAGTGAAGTCTTTGTTGTATTTACTGTATTACGATCACCAGCTGCCTTGCAGTCAGCCGTTTTTTGCCAAAAAAAAAAAAAAAAAATAGTGTTTTTTTTTCGCTGAGGTACATGTAAGTAAGGCCAAAGTTATATTTGTGAATGCAACCAAAGAGTTTAAAAGAAATATTATGCATATCTTTTGTATTCAATTCTATTGTATTTTCCGCTTCACCATTGATTTTGCACATTTTTATTCATTAATGAGTTAAATTGTCTTTCAGTTTGTGGTTTTATTCATTCTTTCGTTCCTTATTTTGCTCACCAATTTTTTTCACTGATTCATAATTTCATCAATTCATTCATACATTCCCTCATGATCATTTGTCTATTTATTTACGTACAAGGGGTTAACTAATAAAAAGTATGCTGAAACCAATGCCTTGCTCGCTTTTAAATGTTTCTTTTAGTTTTAGGCGTCTCGTGGCCGAGAGGAGAGGGTAAGTAACGGCACGTAGCTCTACTTCGCTAAATAATTACTGGTAACGCTATCCGCACACAGCGTTGAATTACATCAGTTTATCTAGGTTGTTAACGCACAGGCATGCGTAGACTGCTAAAGCGCGTCTATGGAATGAACTTCTGCATTTTGCATTGTAAATGTGTGATATCCTTTTATATAATTCTATAAATAAACATTCTATATATAAATAATATATATAATTCCTTATTTTGAAGGCTTTCTGAATCCAAATTATCTTGTTTAGACGGGACAAATATTATGTCGTATTGTGACCCAACAGACCCTGAAAATATTTTTTATGTCGAATTTAAGTCTTACCCTTTTCTACAAAGAAATTTTAGAAGTCAATATATAACCCCATTTTAATATGTGACATGTCCTTATATGGTATAGAACAAGAAAGCAATTGCCTACTAGAAACGTTATCAGAACACTTGATTGTGTTGGGCACTGCAATTGGTTCTGTGAGAAAAGTTTACCACCTGTTCAATTGTACAGTGTTTAGAGGCCTATGGGCGTCCAATGGCTGATGGCAACGCTACTGCTATAGGCTATTACTCTTCACTTCCTCATCATTGCCTCTATGCAGTTACTGTGATGCTGTCAAGTAGTTCTTTGTCCATTCATATCGGCTATAGTTACAAATGTAATGATCCAATAATGGCTTTATCAGCCGGCTATTTAACTTGCTAAAGTCGGTAAATCACACGTGAGTGTATACCTTAGCAATGCATACTTTCTTATCAAAAACACACTGTGAAAGAGAAGCTGTTTAACCCACTAGCTCGCTTGAAAGAAATCACTTCATCCAGAAGGAAAACATATAATATATAAGAATAACATAGTTAAGGCTGGACTTTTTTTAATGTACGGCTCCAGTAAAAACGCAGCGTGGGCTAATTAAGGGAGCACAAGTATTTGGATGTAATGATGAAAACTGGGATAATTATAGAAACACACGTCACATTTCTAACAAGGCAGGTGAAAAATATCAGCTGAGAGACTTACCATGTTGCCAAGTGCAATGGAACACTACAAGCGAGGGGAGTTGTCTCGCGATGTGAGCATTAAAGTAGCTCTTGGGACCTCCCTCGCACGCTCGTCCTATCTCGAGATACCGTCTGCCTCGCGCACGCCACAGTACGTCAAATCGCGTACGTCTTCCACGTCGACTTCGCCGTCTCCACGTCATGAATTGGGTAACGTGGTCCTCACGTCGCTAAACACAGACAGAAAGGAAAGAATACGTAGATTTGGCGGTGGATTCAGACGGAAATTAAAGAAACATGGGCCGTGCAATATTGTAACTCCTGGTAGTCCAGACTACCGAGAAAGGGTCAGCCATCTTGATATGTATTTTGGCTTAATAATATACTTATTTCGTTAACTATTCTATAAAGCATGCTTATTCATTGATATATGTACATAATTTATTTTGAAGACAATTTTTGTTGAAGAAAAATGTTATTTTCTTTTATCTAACTCCATTAAAATTTTATCATTTCCATCTTGTTTCAGCCCATAGAGAAGTTTCTAAGAGTGGCAAAATCCGTGAAAGTAATAGCAGGGATATGCTTAGCATTAAAAAGGTGAGGAAATATTGTTACTTGATGAATAAAATCACTGCGTGAATGTTCTGCTTGAGCCTTTTTCGCCACTTTTGTGAAGACGGTTATTGTTTGGAGAGATGCTTTTTAGAACCACACAAATTTCACTTCACTCACTTCCTGACTCTCTCTCTCTCTTTCTCTCTCTCTCTCTCTCTCTCTCTCTCTCTCTCTCTCATATTTATCACGTGACCGTCTACAGATACACCAAGGGAGGACCGACAGCCGAGTGGTCCTTGGTGGAGATGCAGCTCAATCTTCAGGCAGACTTCAACAAACTTCTCGCCTTCAATCCGAACTCTTATGGGAAAGTACAGTTTGTAAGTAGTCATCTTGTTGAGCCCAAAATTCCCATTTTTTCAAAATGATTTTGACGTAGTTGAAACATTCAATACTAACATTAATTTTTATTTATATATTTTATTAAACAATAATTGAATTTTCTTAAATCCCCAACTTTTTGGGCCGCTGGCCTATGATGAATTTTATTTAGTACAAACTGTGGCTTGAAATCGTTTCAGAATGAAGCGGTTTTTGTTTACTTTTGATGACAAATCTAGCGAAATACTTATTATGTTGTCTCTCACCCACAGCAACGGGGCAGTGAAAAATTAAAACAAATTCTCACTACAGATCCGCGTGAAAGGACCATGGAGATGATACAAATAGTGAGTAGCGGACATTTACACACGTACATGTACTTTTCCTACAAGTGTATAAAAAATCTCATGAAGCATGAATATATCTGGACAGTAGAAATACTAATTTTTGGACGGGTATCATTTTGACATCAATTTTGTAGTTGAAAGATAAAACTTGCTGGGAAAATTCAAATTCGGTTATGTGCACTTATCACTTAAGATAAAACCTTACTTCTCGTGGTATTTTAAGCATAATGGGCAGGACTAACCGGTGTAAAGGAAATTCGTAACCAGTTACAGTTGTTTTCTTCCTTTCACAGGTTTTAGCACTGCTGAGGTGGAATGCTTCATTCCAGGACTATCCTTACCATACACAGATACTGCTTGCCAAGTGCATGTTACATCAAAGGTAATTCGTACCTAATATTACCTACAACGTAGCTGGTGAAGGAGGTAGTAAATAAATGACAGTTCTATAAACGAGGTTGGCCGCAGTGTCATTTTCGTTTTGCATGTTTTAGCTGAAAACAATCCTTGTAACACTTCTAAAAATTCATGTATCTCATCATTTTTTGCATTTATGACAAAACGATATAAAATATCATATATTTAAAAAGACTAAAGCAAATTCATGAACACTTGAAGACAATGCTAAGAATTTTGCAAAAGAAAATAATTATAAATATATATAAAAATGAAATGCAAAATTATTAACAATTACGTTTAAAGTAAATTGTCTTTATAAATGGACCATCCCATACGTCAAACCCCTTAGGTATGAGACAAGGCGCATCATTGTCAGAGAAGGCCACCCGCCGTTCGGATTCTACATCATCCTTTCCGGTACGGTTCTCATTAACGTCAGGGAAACAGACCCTCGCACAGGGAAGACCTTCGTCAGGACGGTGCACGAAATGTCAGGAGGGGACGCCTTTGGGGTATGTTGCGGGTCTGACCAATTTTTTAAACCAACATTAAATTCCAGTTTTTCTAAGACTTTGCTTATATCTTTTTAAATGAAATATCTATATTGAACGTGATAATACCTACTAGAGATATTGATTATTGAAAGATGATATGTTGTGCGTCTCCACTTCCAGGAGATTGCACTGATCCAGAATGAACCTCGCACTGCCGCTGTGATATGTAAAACCGAAGTGGAAGTACTGATGATCATGAAAGACGTACGCATTATTATTATTATTATTATTATATGGTTCATAAGCATTAATTCATTTCCCATTTAAGATGGTAGGACTTCTGTGTAGCTGTTTGTCGAAATGATTTTGCCAACACACTCAGCTAACGTTAGGCTACAGTCCTATCACGCTTACATATACCCCCCACACTTTCTGTCACTTTATAATTATTTTCGTCAGATTGAAAAATATTAACTCCCTATCTGACCTACAAAGGAAGAGTTCCAAAGAGCACATAAATCTAACATAGGAAATACATGCATGCAATTCTTTGGTCGAACTGGTCTACAGTTTACGTTTATTTGCTGCGTGGTTTCAAGAAGTGTCTTTTTATTACTTTTACAGGACTTCGATGTTATCATCAAGAAACCGCTGGAGATGCAGAGAGAACAGCATATAAACTACTGCAGACAGCACGATCTCTTTAAACACTTTCCCTGTGATAAGTTCAAAGATAACGTCAATCAGTTCTTCTATCAGTACTTCAAGTAAGATATTAGCGTTCACTACAGGTTTACTTTAAATTAGTTCTACAGCTTGATATGTGCGCTACACAACGTATTTTAATTAGAATTAACCAGTGATTTTGTTGTCTTCTTTTACAACATGTAGCATTGATAATTATTTTGATGTGAATATTTACAAACCGACCAAATAAAACAAAGCCTCCTTTTTCAGGAAAGACACCGTGGTAGTCAAAAACAGCAAGCAATCGCCATTCATAGTGATAGTTAAGTCTGTGAGTAAATAAGCAACCAAGTTATTCATAAAACAAACGCCAAAATTATTGTCAATATCATGCCTTTTTTTTTTTTTTTTTTGTAAGTTAGTTTGGTTGTGAACAAAGCAGTGAATGACTGCAAGTCTGGTACTAACAGCGTCAAATAGAACGCCTTTGAACCCACTGTTTTCAATCTATGTGAATATATCTTAACCTATACGCCTTTCTCTCCTTCAGGGAAAATGTTTCGTAGTCAGTGATTTCGTAGAATCTAGACAGGAAAAGAAACGGACACGCAGATTAGAGGACAAAGCATTAGAGCAGATCTTTCCATTAATAGTTGAGCAAAAGAGACGAGATGAACTGCCAAGCGACAACAGTAAGTTTACTCGTCACATTCACAACTCATTGTGTGCACAAAAACTTTTTTTGGTCAACTCGTTGTGTGCACAATTGCGTTTCAACCATTGACTACATCGATTTTAGTCAATTTTCCGAACATGGTTTGGTTTTTTGACACCCAACTTCTGTTGTAGGAATGTTTTAAATATAAAATGCATTGGGTGTAATCCGGTCTTTGGTGAACGGTAACGCTATTATTTCAGTGACCACACTGGGCGACGAAACAGACGAGCTGCGGGAAGTTATGAAAGCCAACCTCAGTGGAGGGTTTCTGGATCCACTGGAAATGCACAAGAATAGACGCCATGTACGTATTAATAAGATACACTGTAAGTCTCGGTGCGTTTACCTAAGGGTTGACATATTTAACCCCTGGGACTGAGCCAAAGTCTCATCCTTATCACCCGTGACTGTCAAATCATAGTTAACCTCCATACGTTACCTTAAGTTCCTCATTGAGCAAAGAGATTTTTACTATGCTATGCAATACCTATAGGTAGCTGTTTGGAATATGTAGGTTATGAACTTGTATTATTTTACTATTATACTCTGATTTTGAATCATTTCCTATTTTAAAGAGCCGGCGACAGTCTGGTATGGGACGGAGAAGTTCGACCCTTAGCAACATATTTGACATATTTGAAAGAGAGAAGAAAAACCAAGTTACGGTTAGTACAATGTTGTTTGCGTAAAATTTGGAATATTTTTGTGAGGGGTTGACAGGGTTCTACAAAGAAATCTTAATGTTACTTTTAAAGATGAACAAAATTACGACGCGCTTTATATCACTATATCACTGAAAAACTCTAACAATTGCTTTTAAGAGAGTTTTTCGAGAAATGTGTAAATGGAGACTCTATAAAGTATACGTATGTGGATTTTTTTCTCATTTTGATGAGGAAGGCAACATAAAATTTTGGAATACAGCAAAACACGTGCTCTTTAAAGTGTCTAATTTTAATTCCAAATTATTTTTCTCATTTCAGGATTCCCCCTCTGCCACTTACTGGGGGCGGCGCCTGTCTCATATCAGACCTATGAAGACACCAGTTGTATCAGCGCACAATGAAGTTGAAGACAGATTGAAAGGTTTGATTCACGCACACAAATACACGAACACGCACACACACACACACACACACACACACACACTTTCACAGCAGACATACACACACACACACACACACACACACACACTGTTTGCTGCAGGTTCAAGATAATCGACACACAATAAAATTCAATACGCATAAATTAACCCGTTATAACACAAAGATGGCTATGTTGTAGCGTTTTGTCAGTCAGTTTCCTTTAATATTCAGAGATGTCAGCCCGCAGGAGGAGTTCAAGGAGAAGATCGACATTGTTCAAGTCCCCTGCACTTGAAAAAAAGGTACATGTATGAAATAAAAAAACAAAAGCGCGTAATATAGAAAACAAAAACAGAGAAAACAACAGTTTGTTCGTTTTGGAGGGCACTGAAGAGGATATATGAATGTACGCATATTCATTATAGCTCATATTAAAATTGAACTGCAAGCTTAGTTATTCTAAAATCGACATTTTTAGGTACGGTATTTTAATATTTAAAACTACAAAGATATACATGTGACAATTTATATTTTAGGAAGAAATCGTTGACATTAAAGGATTTGCACAGATAGCCGAGCTGATATCGGGTTCCGTGTTCGTAAGTATAGAGAGGCCTAGGTGAATATAGGAGTGAAAAAGGAGACGCGATCTTCTTCAGCTAATCTATATTTAATAATCATGAAAACAAACAATATACAAACAAATTGTCAAGCGAAGTAATGCAGGCATGCGTTACCTGTGTCTCTCCGAGTCCCCCCCCCCCCCCAATCTACTAGCGTAACTAGTCTTCTGAGATGGGTCGGATGAAGATTTTGTGTTAAAGTAAATTTTATCTAAAACTATCAACATACCAGTATATTAGGAATAAAGTTTAAAAAGTATTGATAATTATGCAAAAAGACAGCTTTCAACACTTTAACAACAATCCTATTTTCTCACAATGGTTTAAATATAGAGACGGACTGAGCTTATATGGCACCTCATGTAAATTCCTTTTCCAATTTTTTCAGTCACAAATAAATCTTTGTGATATACGATGCGATATTTTTTAGGGCCTAGAGACTATCCTTCAACAAAAGACATCCATTAATCTGGCATTGGTGAGTGACGGGGCCGAGTGCATCCTCATTTCAAAGAAACTTTTCCTCAAGGAAGCCAACTCAAAGGTGCTCAGAGTCGTTAGCGATTTGGTAAGTCAGACCCTATTGATCTAGGATTCAAAATGAATAATTATTATTTTGCATCCTCGAGTGAAGCGTCTATTTTCTAAGAGACTTTCAGTTTAAGCCATCCTCTAACTTAAAACGCAAATTTGGTCGGTTAGTTTTACTATCACGTCAGCCCGCAATGATAGAAACACTGGGAAATTAGTTGCTCTTGGATTAAGGTAACACGACTCTAAATTTAGCTTACGATTCAATTTTATTTCAATTAAGGGCGCAGAGGGCGTGTCACTATTTAAGCCTATATCTAAGAGCAATTCTATTATCTTAACAGTATCATCCCTTTTATTAGGCTTTAAAGGCCGACATTAAGAAACTGTTACTACCCGCCTCTCTGTGTTTCAGGTTCAAAGTTACCCAAGCCAAGACTACGTGAGACAGCAAGTTCAGCAGCAGCGGTCCTGGTTGACCTACAAAGGTCAGGTGGTCAGTGAGGTGCTCGAGCGGTGACGTCACGTGACGGAGGACGACTTTGTTTTAGCAGTTTTTCACGTGTGGAATTTACAGCTTTCAACCGCATGAACCGGCCATGCCTGTATTGACTGTAATGTGAGAAGCGCGGAGTCACGATAAGAGCTTCATCATAAGTAAAAGATTAACGCTTGGCTATCAATATGTCTACCGAACAGAAAATGAATGTGTTTATTTCACCTTGACTAGTGACATATTTTCCTTGGACGATTGAGTGTTTGAGGAAATACGGAAATCATTCAAATAATTTGATTATATTTACGGACGAATGAGCGAAGGAATAAATGTATGTTGATTGTTTATGAAAGTACTGATGTGTTCTGGATATCGAAATGCATTTTTTTATTTATGGAAAATATACATGTTTCTTAGGACAACAAGCACGATGCAATGAATGGGATAAGTCTTTTAGAACACTTGAAAAAAGACGTTATCTCTCATAATGCAAAAAACTGAAAAAAAATCAAACTTAAAATAAAATCCATCTTAACCAGCTAGGTCACTGGGGAAACCACAGACCGTCCACTGATTATCATGCGATCTGAATGTAAGGTAATGTAAAATCAACGGAAGATTAAGTGTCCAGTGGGCAGCGTGCCTCCTCCCTAGCTTTGTGGCACCTCCTACATGTACTTAAAAACAATCCAACAACAAGACGAGAGAAAAACTAAAATTCCCATCCCCGTGCCCCGCCTCGTCTTGGCTACTGCTATATGTTAACCGAACAAAGCGATCTCGAGGCAACATTTTTATCCATGAATCCCCTCCCCAACCCCCATCAAATCCTCGATCCACCAGTGAGTGCAGGATGCCTTTTTTGTTTGATTTTTCTTCTGTCTTTTTCAAAATCTACCAGACACGAAGATGCGCTGACTCATTCGATTTGCCAGGAATTTTGATATCAATCATCCCAAGTATCCAAACAAATTCTCAGTTTAACAAAAGCTGTGAATCTTAACAGGTTATGTTTCAGGAACGGATCTAATTTATATTTATATACAGATTTATGTTGCTGTTCATTATCATTCCTGGTACCACGTTTCACGGAATTAAGACTGATCAGGAGGGGGGGGGGGGGTAGAAAACAGAGATGTAATGAAATGTCTTTGGCAACACCTGATCGACACAAACAAAATGTAGTTTGCACTTTATCGTGTACAATATGGAATTTCAAACTTTTTTTGTCTCTATGACATTAATTATTTGACAAATACGGCACAGTGACATTATTTCCGACAAATGATTTAGAAGACTCTTGGAGAAAGCAAATAAATGTAAAATAGTAGATGATAATGTTTAAATTTTCTTAAGCGTACGCGTTTTATTTATTAAGATCTGCGTGCTCGAATGCGTGGATGAGACATGAAAAAAAGCGCAAAAAAGGTGCAACTGGCGTTCTTGTTACAATATACCAAATAATGACTTCTTCAAAGGGAAAAAACTTTTGATTCAATTAATTCATGATTTGTATGACCCAAACAATCCCAGTGAATCTAATTTCAACAAAACACGAGAAATAAAGTGATGAATGCTATGATGGGAATTTTGATAGAAATCATTCCTAGTATTCCAAAGTATAAAACGTAGTATCTAACTGCATCGGTCTTAAATGTCAAGATAAAATTAAATATATGAAAAATACGTTTCTTCGAACAGCAACTCCAGGTCGTATGGCAATCTCACACCCAGGTGTCAATATGTTTTGTGAGGTCTCGTCACTCCTGCAAAGGCACGATCAGATCAGGTTCAGTTTAAACCAGAAATATGTTCAATTGACGTCATTAAAGAAATATTCTTATACGACCCTTAATGTGCCTTTGAATTTCAAATCAATTCAATATTTTAGTAAAAATTAGGCAATGTTGTTACACCAGTGCGACTCTGGTTAAAGTTAAGAACTGGTTTAAATTAAAGGCTTTTTTTGGAAAAATTCGAGTTCGTTTAAGTTGGAACTGTTTTTTGTGTTCGAGAACACGCTGTCTCTTGTATGCTCACAGTCGTGGGTCTGATAAGGATCGTTCCTAGAAACAACCTTCTGAGTAAATTGAATGTTAACCGAAAATGTATTCCCAAGGTTATTAATGTGTATAAAAAGCATATAATAATCAACACATATATCACTCTTTCGAACTAAGTGAAGGAAAATCACATTCAAGCGTTAAACTTTACCGACAGAGGGATATTACAGTAAGTTACAGTTGTATTAAGCAGTTAGTATTGGCATCGTTCGTTTTACTAGAAATATTCGTAAGTTATACTTTATAATATGATTGTTTTATAACAGATATTGCCTCATGTGTAAGACAGAGAGACACTAAATATAAGGATAAAATTGCTTTTGTCATCTAGTTGATATTTTTTTTAGTTAAGACGTTACAAATAAAAAAAAAATGCCTATGTATCACACATTCTGGAGAGCACAAGTAAAATCCTGGATCTGCCAGCCAATATCTTGGTGTCTATTCTACCTTCTCAAACTGCGGTGCATCTTTCTCCAGGTACTCCGTCATGCGTCCGCTGATTGTTGGAGTAGCCATCTTGGCTGTCTTTGTAGCGATCCACTTGGATTCGGTCCTGTCCGTCTGCTGCAGGGAGAAAATGAAGGGGAACTGGTGCCGTGATTGCCAAAAGCAAACTAGCGTGTGGAGACTCAAGGCATACTGCGGAGTGGGTGGCTGTAACGCCTTTGGGTGCGACTGTAAAGGGGGGTGTAGAAAGTCGCCACTAGGGAAAGTCTGCGTCTCTTATAAGTCTGGTGGTTTTTGGTTGATCAAGAAGTACGCGTGCAAGTGTGTTGGAGTTGGGGACGCTCCTGTTGAACAGAATGACGAGCAGCAGAACGACGCAGGAGATGAGGATGCATTGAGGACTTTTTACGAACTGGACACCGATAGGTAAGCACATGTAAATATGCAATGTACAAAGCTGCACCCGCACTGATTATTAGTCCAACGTACACAAAGGCAAATGACGTTTAATTTTCAAGTTTGTCAAAAATACTTGTAGGTTGAACGTAAATTATTCTTCCATTTTAAAAGTTAGATCTTAAACGCGATACTGTCTTTCAGCCCCCCCAAAAAATAAAATAAATAAAAATAAATAAAAATAAATAAATAAATGAATGAATGAATAAATAAATAAATAAATAAATAAATAACAATGACAGTTGCAACAATGATCGTCTGGAATACTAGATGCCTAATGATCGTCTGAAATACTAGATGCCTAAACACCCGGCAAAAAGTATTTTAATGTATGTAATATGGTAATATTTAAGATTCTCTCTACATGATTTTGATATGCCCTTCATACATACAATAATACATTTTTATTTTATGTTCAGGGATGGACACATTTCGTCTGCGGAGGCCCAGGACGCCATGCGTGAACTGGGGATCCCCGAAGCCGAGTTCAGTGACCACATGTCCCGCATGGACAAGGATCAGGACGCCAGAGTTAGCATGGAGGAGTTTGATGACACTCTTGCCATGTAAAGCTTGTCTCGGAGTACATATCGCGTTAATTTGACTGAAACGGACTGTTTGTTTCCCCTTTATTCTTTATGCTTTACACACCGATACTAGATTATTTTAATAACTAAGTTTAATTTAAAAAATAGAATCACTTACATATTCTAATACTGGATTCTAAGTAATTATTCTAAATGATGTTTAAAAATTGAATCATTCGAAAATCAAATCATTCATTTCCTTGATAATAGACTGCAAATGTAAAGGATTCAAATACGTCTGGTCAATAAACAACATTTGAAATGAAAGTGGTTATCTTTTTATTGTGCACGGGTGTGTGCGTGTGCCTGTATGTGAGTGTGCGTGAGAGAGAGAGAGAGAGAGAGAGAGAGAGAGAGAGAGAGAGAGGTTGTCAGAGAGATTAAATGTTTATCAAATTAAATACGAAATAGTGAAAAAAGTAAAAAGAATTCTTGGCCGTTGCTTATTGCTCACTACGTTGTATTGCTATGAAATGATACTAGTTTTATTTGGAGTCCTTTACGTTATGTGTGGATTAATCACACGCATTTCAGTCTTTTCCCTTTGAATTTTTATGTTGGCCTTTACCATATGGTTCACACGATTAATAAATCTGAAGTCTGTCTGACTTCACATATGGAGAAAGCTCACTTTTTTTTACAAATAACACAATATACATATTTGTATATGTACGTTTTGATGCAGACTGACGTCTAGAAGCTTCGTCTTATACGTAATTCAGGAAATGTAACGTTATGCTTATGTAAGGCTTGCGCCTATTTCAGAGTTATTTAGACTAACAGATGTGAAGTTTTGAAGTCGACTTGTACAACAAGTCTTGGACATAATTTTGTCCATGGGTAAATGTTAAAATATGCTGAACTTTTATCGCCCACGCAATTTTTCATGAAATAAACCTAAGCAAAGGAATGCCTGACTCATTTGCCACATACAGTGAAATTGTGAAGGTGAACACATACAGAGTTATTCGCCAATTATCAAAAAATCGCCGTACATATCCATTCTAGGAACCGATCCACCAGTTGACCTTGAGCGCGAAAAGCTATTTATGGGATTAAGATTAGTATAATATTGTTGTCGTGCTGGTATTATCAGATACACGTTTGAGGAACAGGGGGCATGAAGAGAAAGTGCAACCGGGTGTAGATCGATCGAGTTACAGTAGCCTCAGTGTTGGTTTCGATATGTTCACGCCGGGGTGTGCATGTGCGAGGCGAGGCCTGGCTGCACGGGGTGAGTGGTGAAATTTGCGCTCTGCATGTGTTAGTATAGACCTATCTGGTACATAGACCTACATGTATTACTGCTGCTAATGCCACACGCCTACTGATCGCATGAATAATGGTCGAAAGCTTGTCAAGGGAAAAGCAATAGATTTTATGTCCTTAGATCATGAAATGAAACCAACAGATCTCCTTGTGTCTCTCAAACTAAATGCAATAGTATTGAAGACCTGTGCATTGCTAGCCTGTAAAGGCAGACCTCAAGATTTGCGTGTTTACAAACATGAATGACCTACAAATAGGTTGACCTAAATATGTTCAGCATACCCCGGTCTGGGCATACACAGATCATTAAAATTTGACGTAATTTCTTGTCATGGTGATTTCTTTACTGTAATCACTACATATGAAGTAATCATGAAGGTATTGTTTTAGTACATGTAAAACAGCAGAGGCCTACCAACGCAGTGATACTATAGTACCTGTACAGTGCATGTAAGCCTACATGTAGTTGCATACGTTACATTTGTAGGCCTACATGTGCATGTCTCAGTTTCAAACAACTCAAGTAGGCAAGAAAACCCGTAACGAAACTTTGCAGGTATATTTTTTTTGGCAGAGAAAAAATATAGCCCTTAAATACCTTTAAAGCTCCTGCATTCATGTGCAGTTATTTGAGTTATAAAATATCCCCACTTATTATTAGAAAGAATGTAGGCCTACGTCACTGTGTAGGCCTACGGATGTGAAACAAAAAAATCCCCTTGGATTTATTTATAATTAATTAGTTATCAATGATTTGCATGCATCGCTGTCCTTGATATGTTAGGGCCCCTTTACACTGAACGGCGTCCTTTCTGCGTCCAGCAGTACGGCCCCATTTGAGAGTTAAAAAATCATAATACTTTACGTGCCGACAACTGGCCGATCATTGAGCATTCATTCTGATACAAAATCGATACTTGTGCCTCCTTATTAAGACCACAGCGATGCCAAATTTCATGGTCGCAGAAAGGACGCCGTCCAGTGTAAATGGGGTATTAGTGGACTAAGCCCTTATCCACACCCATTCTTAAAGAACATCAAGAAAAAAAGTGGTTATATTTTGTATTAACAACTTTTGCATTAACAAAAGGTCATGTAACTTGAGGGCATTGCTCTAATATTTAGTGCGCATGCGCATTGTAACGTGCTTTTTTTTAACCCTTGAACTGTGTTACCTACAGTGCTGTTTACATAACAAAGTTGCGACACAAGTCAAAAATTATAAGAATTGTACTAGTAGCAGCTTATTCGAAGATCAAGACAATATGTTTGGGTATATTTTCGTTCATCACCAGAAAGGTAATCGCCTTTTCAATGTGTTTTTATGCAGGCCTACAGACACAGATGTGAGTTTGAGTCTGTAGGCCTACGTATAGCCGTCACCTGCGTCTATCGGCGCTATGCACTTTCAATGATAACACGATTTATGGAAAACACTTTTACTTTTTGTCTTCAAACTTATAAAACTGATGAATATTCATAAAATACAGGTCGAGTTCGAAACTCAGGTCATTTTTTCAAAAGCTGTGCTTTTTTATTTTTATTTTGCTTTTTTCAGCATATGGGCAACACTGATCACACATTTCAAGGAAAACCGATAGGCCTATTGTCTTTAAACTCACAGGTCTGATCAAACTTACTTAAGCACAGGTCGAGTTCGAAAATCAGCCTGATCGGACCATTTTTTAAAGTTATGCTCTTTTATTTGTTTTTGTTTTTGTTTTTTTTTTTTTGCATATTTTATCCACCATTATACAGATAACATGAAAACCGTGTCATATTTTGGTTTAAAACTTGTAGGACTGATTTATAGGGCTAATATACAGATCAGTTCATTTTTAGTGAAGATATGCCTGTTTTGTGTGTATGTGGATTTTCCTCAGATTCAATTCTTAGGCGTGTTAACAGTCTCATTATTGAACTAATTAGATACTTGAGGGTGTTCTTATCAATTTTCTGCATCTTAAAAAATTGTTAGGTGATTATATAAAAATGATGGTTAACCTGTTATCGTGTAATAAAAATTCAAAAATGGAAACAAACTCGCATCATTGCATTTTGTCAGATTTAATCCTTCACTATGTTCAGAATCTCAAATTGGACATAAAGATGTTCTATTGATATTTTCCGATCTCAACAATTTTCTTAGTTGACCATATAAAAATGAACGTAAATGGATTATTTTGTATTACGTAAAAGTGTTTAGAATAGAAATAAACTCATTTTAATACAGTTATCTATTATTTACATTTTGGCGTTTTCAGGGTATGACTTTTAAGTTCCATGGGCCTGAAGACATTTGCTAGTCACATTCTCTAAATATCCATGACACCTGCAGCTCATAATTAAAATTGATGTATGGTGATTAAGCTGTTAAGCATTATATAATATTGCATCAAAATTGAAAGAAAAAAAAACAACTATTTTAGGCACTGCCGCCATTATGACTTTTAAAAGAAAACCACATCACTTTCTCTTCTCAAACTTACAGGAAAGAAACATAGGACTAAAATACAGCTTCAGTTAGAAAGCCAGTCTGATGGGTTAATTTTTCTGGAAGTTATACTGTTTGTGAAAATATAAATTTTCACATTTTGGCATTTTCAAGCTGTGACTTTGAAGTTCCATGGGCCTGAATACCTTTGCTAATCACAATTTCTGAATATGCATGATACTTATATTTTATTATAAAAAATTGATTCGTCATTATGCTGTTAAGCATATGTAATGTTGCATCAAAATTGAAGAAAACCTATTTTGGGCACTGCCGCCATGAAGACCATTAAGGCAAAACCATGTTACTCATGATTCTCAAACTTATAAATAAAAAAATAGATAAAAAAATAAATATGTAAATAAATGAATAGAATAAAAAAAAAATAAATAAATAAAAAGAAAATAAAAAATAGGACTTGAATGCACCCTGAGTTAGAATATCAGTATAATTGACTTCTTTTTCTCGAAGTTATACATTTTTGTGAAACTTTCATTTTTTTACGTATTGGCATTTTCAATGTGGGACACGGGCATGAAGCCGAATGAAAAATCAAAATTTCAAGATTTCCATGTTATGTATAGTACATAATTAAAATTGGTGGTAATTATATCGTTAACCATTATGTAACATTGCATCAAACTGACCAAAAACCCTACTTTGTGCACTGCAACCACAAAAATTTTGAAAAAAGAAAATGTGTTACTTATTATTTTTTAACTTACAAGAATTATTCTAAGGATTGACAAACAGCTCAAATTAGAAAACCTGCTCTATTGGATTATCTTTTTTATTGAATTTATGCAATTTTCTTTTTAAATTCTCATTTTTCTCATTCTGGTATTTTCAAAGTATAGGTACACCTGAACACTCACGGGCCTGAAGCCTTATGCTTGTTACACATTTTTACATCAGTATTACCTGTTGCACATTATTAAAATTTGATATTGACTTTGCAGTTAGGCATGTATTCTTGCATCAGAATTGACAGTAGCCTATTTAATATTTTTTGCTTTTTGTCTGTAGATTTACCGGCTTTGCTGCTTTGTTAATTTTTTTGAAGGCATGCATGCATGAATTAGTATGGCACGCACCTCGTTCGTCTGTCACTATTATCTGTATATCATCCATTTTTACAGAAACATGAACATATGCTTTTTATAGAATTCTAGCGTTGTACCACATTGGCGATTTGAAATGCCCGATTTGAAAAAAGAACACCGTTCAGAATCAATTAAATTATTTTTAAAAGTATTAAAAATGGCCTGGACCTACTGGTATCTGCATGTATGTGTTACTAAGTACGGACTATTTCCATGTGTCAAGCGTGTTACCAAGTTCTGGATCTGAGTTCTGGATCTGATTTAGTCTTGACGATTTATACTATCTATTTCAGGCCTCCGCGTTGTTCTTATTTTCCTTCGAATGAGCGCAGCAGCATCCCAGTCCGAAGTACACGGCGACAGAAACAACAGTGACAGCCTGCCCAGCTGTGATGTACCACAGCAGTTTTACCAGAGAATCAACGGCCGAGTTGTGTGTGCGAACTGCTTCAAGTGTCCCCCAGGCTGGGGCGTGGACAGAGAATGTATAGACTTCAATGACACCACTTGTAAACGGTGTGAGGAAGGGAAGACCTACTCGTTAGAGTATCCGCACACCAGAGTTTGTGATGTGTGTAAGGTCTGTGAGGGCCAGATCGTGGTGCGGAGGTGTACTGTTTACACTGATGTTCTTTGTGGACGGTGCAAACCAGGTGTGTAACCATATACTGTTTTTAATGCCAGCCAGAAGGTTATACTCGCCCCCATGAACCCATCTGTGACGCTTTTAATGTCCACTTTATCGAATCCCTGATACAGCAATAATGATTTACACTTACAGTCACTAGGATAAATCTTATATAGGGCCTAATTAAATCTATCGATCGGTGTGTTTGTGAGTGTTTGCATGTGTGCGTGCGTGTGCTTGTGGTGGGGGGAGGGGTTAAACTTTTATACAAGCAGCGAATTAAATAACATGTAACTTACAAGCTGAATAAAATAAGATTTAGAACCAACGTCTCCCATATTTATTCCCCTTGAAAGACACTTGAATGACACTAGACATATGCATCTATTTCATGTTAGTTTCAAGAGCAATTTTCTTTTCTCTTCCCCAGGGTTCGTATTGGACGATAGCACACTTGAATGCGAGCCTGTCGACACACACAGGAGTTGGAGAGGAATGGTCAGTGGTAAAACCACGGTCATTTCAGTGACTCAAGGAGTTTCAACCGGTGAGCTGTAAATTCATGTAATGTGGAGGGGTACATAAGATAAGTCCAGGCCCAATTAGAATTTATTCTCTTCCAGAGGCCAGTTGGCAGATCACTTTTTTTGAAAGTTTTTCGCTCTCAGTTCAGATATGTATCATGAATTAGCAAAAGAAATATTTGTGAATAGTCTATACTGGTATCTTGTGAAGAAAAATCTCTCTGCTGTAGAGCGATTTTATTACATAGGCTACTTGTACCGGTACATATCATGTCAGAGTACAGTGGGGTGATGTACAAGTGTGAACTAATACATCTCATCACTATTTATGTTTTTTTCAGCTGCTGTTACGAGAGTTAAGGGATCTCCAGCGAGTGGAGAACTTGAGGACGCACATGTACTAGTATATGTATCAGTTCCTCTGGCACTCCTAATAATAGGCCCACTGGTGGCGATTCTTTGCTGGAAGAGAAAGTGGGCTTGTAAACTATTAGCAAAAAGGGTCAGAGACACACAGCGTCAAGGACTACTGCACGAATGTTCCGAAGTGGCAAATTCGGAATCAAATTCGGAGACCCAGGTCACTCCAGAAGGAGTCGCAGTTTCTGTATCTTGCCAAAATAATGCAGGTAGTAATGAGGTTAGTTCAGACACACCGAGTGCTGACCAAAGTGTCCTCCTCGATCCCCTAGGAGAAGAAATATGAACTCTATGACCAAATAATAACAGCCTGAATAAAATTCAGATGTATATTTGGACTTTTACATCAAGGCGACCCCGGTCAGAATGCAAATTTTCGCGAAAACTGATAAGTGAAATCAGTGATTTAAGTTCAAGTTTATTTCTGATGACTGGTTCGACCTAACTCTCTGGGGGTTCACGCTAAATTGCTGTCAGCGTCCGGGAGCAGAGCGCGCACAAAAGTAAATTACCCCCTTACAGCTTTTAGTAGGCGGGAGAGACATTTAAGCCGGTCAAGCTGACAGCAATCTAGTGAGACTCCCCAGGGGGATAGATCGATCTAAATATCCGTGGGTCTCATAGGTTTAGAATCTCAGCTAACACAATATTTACTCCAGACCGATTAACTAGATCTGAGAGTGCGTGGGCAGCAGGCGCCTTTCAATTTTCACATTAACTTTTTTACAAAATTAATTTATTATTATTATTTTATGTTATGAATAATTGATGATAATTTTTTTATGTTATGAATATTTTTAATGATAGCGCAATAAATGAAAGACAGGTCGCTGGCGTTGTCCTTTTTTTAGCGATATACATGTAGTTTATCAATTTCTTTCAGTTTAAAAGCACAGCGAGTTTTGTAATTGATACGCATAACACATAATATACATGTATTTTCAGATAAGTGTTTTAGTCAACAGTCATGTTTGTGGTCAGAGCTTGAAAAGGAACGAAAGAGACCCCCAGCTATCTAAATAAAATCATACGAAAATTGCAGACGAGATGAGTGCCTCGTCTGATTAAAAAAGCGGAGTCTTGCATTTGTGGCCAAGTATTCCTCGATGGACACACATAATCTACACGACATTAAAATGTTATTAACATTACATGGGGGAAAGTAACGAGAAATGGCAACGCAGTTCATTTTTATACAGAAAACGCGCCCAGCGTGAGGTATACTCTGTGCTTGTGTGCAATGTTTCATTTCGTTTTGGAAACTTTGTAACTATACTACGCAAATTAATGCTTACAATTTGTTCACATTTATCTTATCTAACCTGCAACGTAAATTGTCTTCTTTTGTACATGTATATATTCTACATTGTTACTTCCCTCAAGCATGAGTTTTTACTGATGATCTAGCACCGCTTGTTCGTCCCGAATCTCTTATAAAAAGAAGAGAATAAACTCACGAAGACCACAAAATATTTGGTCCACTAATGAATTTTAGCATAATTTTCGATTCCTCTTTGCAAAATCATTGACAGGACCTTGTTACATTAAAATACATGTGTATAATAACAACAAAAAAAAATTAAGGCCGTTAAAATGCACCACAATTACTTTCACCACTGACCTAAAATTATTGTTTTTCTTAAATCTAGTCAAGTAATATATTAAGGAATTGGTCATGAAAACATAAAGAACTTGATAATGAGATGGGTTCTTTTCTTCTGTAGGATGAAGGGGAACAGTGAACATTAAACACTGACAGCCACATCGAAATTCTCTGTTGAATCCTCTTTTGATGATATTTCCCAAGACAGTGTATTTTATTTAGGTATGGTTAAAATACTTTTTTATCGAAACTTTTCTTGTAATGTTTGATGTTTTTCGGAATGACTTACCATACGCATATCCGTCTAGTGGAAACCTGTCTAGTCAGAAACCTCGATTGAAAGGTAAAAAAAAAACATAGTTTTCTTTTTTTTTAGCAAACTCTATAAATTTTCGTTACTCATATTTACAATTCGAAACGGCCGGGAAACGCTTAAAAATTTAAGTATGGCAAAGCAAACGTCAATAACTAGAGCGTGTAACACGGCTCCTGAGGGTATGAAAAAATATCTTTCTGTAGCGCCCAAGTCTTCCATAGTATACCTTAAACAGAGCGGGACAAGGAGGTGACGCTTTATGATTGAATAAATTACTAGCAGCTTAAAAGCATCACAGTAGGGCATCATGTCTGGGGACATAGTTGACGAATACAAGGAAGGTAAAACTGTTTTATGTCCTGATGGAAACGGGGTGTGTGTAACCCTTAAGGACACGGACGATATCACCGGCTGCCTGCCTTTGAGCAGACTAGGGGAGATAGTACGGAACTTTTCCAAATTCCCCCTGCGAAAAGACGACATATTTCTAACGGCCAGTATGAAGTCAGGTAATACAGTGCATTAAGTTTGATCAACTGAGTGCCAAATTCGATAATTTTGATTACAAAGGGCGAGCTGGTGCGCTACATTTAGCAAGAATATCTGTAAAGCATTTCTGTTTTTAAAAGTTGGCAAGTATCTTATACATTGGCAAGTAGATGGCGGTGGTGGATCATAAAGATGGCCCTGTCAAGTATTAGGAAATGTGTTGTATGAATGTAACCCAGGTCATACAATCAACGGCGCGGAACGCGTGCCTTTACGCTAGCGCGGTGTTGTCATGTTACTTCCAACGAAGGTGGCACGGTGTAAGTGACACTAGGCTTTCAGAAAATACTAAAAAAGTTTCAAATATTTAAATATTTAAAAATAAAATCTTGAGATTGCATTTTCTTTGTAGCAGTCATTTGGTTCCAAGGCTAACTCTTATTTCAAAAACTCCACCTAAAAAGATACCGATTTTTAAGTTATTATTCTAATAGAGATATAGTGGACGCTTGAAATCTGTACAGTTTAAAGCTTGGTAACAGATTTCTGCGACCGATTTATTTCCTTTTTCTATCGTTCCAGTTGGAATAAAACATATGTTTGTCTTTGTTGTTTGATATGACACCTTGAAAGACCAATGATATTGACGAAATGAGAGCAAAAGCATCTTGTCTTGTAATTTTATAACACATTATATGAAATAATAACTCAAACATGGGAAAATGTAAACTTTGAACATTTTGAGAGACCAAAGTAGGATTTCGAAGCGGTGGGATTACTTTTTGGTAAAAAGATGTACGTGTCTGTCCTGAATTTTACCTTTTTGATATAAGTTTATATAAGTATTTTGTCAATAAATGGAATAGTTCTAAAATCATTCAGCATAAAGTTTGATACTTAAGACTGACAGCAGGACTTTTGAAACCGTTGAAAATTATTTTTTTCTTCAAATTTACTACAAAATGGACCAAAAACCTGTCTTAATATTTTGTAAGGTACACATGCATAATATAAAGCGCAATTCTAGAATTTACACGATGTTGCAAAACTTTTTTGATGAACTGATTTTATGAACGCGACGCCATCACGTCAACGCAACCGAGTAATCATAAATATTTACCTATACACCGAGTAAGTAGTCCGGCCCTTGAGTCTTATGGCTGTTTAAATAATGTTCGCCTGGTTTCCAATTCTCTCCGATCAGATGCTTATTTTCCCAAAGGCTTGTAAATACTATAATTGATGAATATTTAAAGCTGAAACAATATCTCCACACACCTTCAGGGTAATGTATTTATATGTTTTGCGTGTACTTCAGATTAAAATAGAAGGTAAAGAAACTGTCCGTATGTCTTTAATGGTAGATGTTAGTTTAATATACATAGTATCTTCAGGTACCCATCTTGTGTGGGAAATAGCAACCATGTTAACCATGGATGTAACAGAACTTACAGACCTGCCGAAACAGGCATCAATGATAGAGGCAATAACTGACGAGGCACTTGAAAGTTTGCCGTCTCCACGTGTTCTGAACTCCCATTTTCCTGAATGGATGTACCCCAAACAAGCTCTTCGGGTAGGTCCAAACTTTGACACACAGGAGCACACACACTCACACTCGCACTCCCGCACGCACACAGCGTCACGTGCCTACAAGCACATACACATCTACATTCACTCTTGATAAATATCCCAAAACGTACGGTGAAAAAAACTTTTGACATATACCAAAGCAAACTATTTTTTACAAAATGTTTATACGCAAAAACGGATGACACCTTTTATGGGCTTATGATATCCATTACCAACAATATATGTGAAGTGGTAAGAATATAACCCAAAACCATTCGCAGACACGTCATCACCAAGTCAAAACTTCCATCAAGTCTTTGCAAAAGCCCATGTCTTTGGGGGATGTAACACTTGTTAAATGGCATTATAATAATTCTTTCAGGAAAATAAATTCCTCCATGTTATTCGGAACCCCAAGGATACATTCGTGTCTTTATACTACATGTTTTACGGTCTAAAAATATTTGACTACCATGGCACTTGGGATGGCTTCTTTGAATTTATGATGGCACGCCAAAACAAAGGCCTGGATCCATTAGGTATGAAAATATCATGAAGGGATATTTAGTCTACAGGTAGCAAACAGGAACCTGTTTCATGAAATACATTTTTTAGTACATGAATGACGAATGATCATTACCGTTTACAAGAAGTTGCTAACTAACGAAAGCTACGTATCTGGCTACTATAACAGTTTATTCACGTGTAACAAGATTTTGTTAGCTATACCTGGAAAACCGTATTGAATTACGCAGTGACAAGAGGCAGGCTCTCGAAAGCATTTTACTATTATATTTCTGCCACTTAAAACTAAAGTAATTATGCAGTCTCTAATTGGGAGGTATGGAATGGCATGGGTAATGGGTAAAAGACAGAGAATCTGTACTAGGACTAGGCTCGCCTCGCCCAAAATAATAGTCCATTGACCCCATACATTAGATATCGTTTACTGTTCTAAACATTTGCGACTTTTCAATTTCTTGTTCAATTCAAAGTTTGTTTATAGGGTAATATGTATATTCCAGAATACAATGATTGGCCAGTCAATGTCCTGTCCTGGTATAACCTTTCCAAGACCAATCCTAACATTCTGAACGTTTACTTCGAAGACCTGATTGAGGTAATATACTGTAGACATTTGGTGGCTAACAACCATTTTATTATCGTCATGTCTGCTTATGACTTATTTTTTAAAAGAAAAAATGGACATTAACATCATTTTAAAACCTGAATCACAATTCCAGGATCCTGTTCCACAGATAAAGCGTATTGCAGAGCATATAGGTTTTACAAAAGACCAAGCAACGTACGAAAAAATCGCTCAGGCCACGAATTTCAAGTCTATGAGTCAAAACAAAAAGGTTAGGGGACTTAACCTTCAATTCAACACTCCTACATCTAAACATTGGAAGGAAGATTCCGTTGGAATGTACCGAAAAGGTAAACATAACCATTAATTATAATGTTTTATTGCAGTTTCCACTGTATACAGGAATAACGGGCAAATCAATTAGTTTCGATTTATCAAATTTTAGTGAAGAATTCTAATAAGAGTGGCAGAATGTTTCTTTTAGTCATGTGCATGAAAGTTTCGGGTTCTTTGTAAAAACACAAAACAGATACTTTATAAGCCCCAAAGAAAACGCCTACAGTGTATTTTCTTTTTGCAGATGAAGGCCAACGACTTCATTAATTCATTCATGTTCAGTATATGCATCAACTGATTACTTCTTTATTACCTAATTTTCCGCATTTACTTCTTCATACTTCACAAGCGTGTGACGAAAAGGTTAGAGTTAAATACGGCTAGTAATGTACATGCTTTTCACAATGTTTTGACGTCAGTCATGTTTGTTTTTTGTTAGGCAAGGTCGGAGATTGGAAGAACCATTTTACAGTGGCACAAAATGAGCGATTTGACGCCCTCTATCGGCAGTGGACACAAGGCACAGATCTCAACGTCCGTTTTGAAATATAAGACTCATATATTGTACACCTTAGTGCGAAAATATTTCAATCATCGGTATAAAAGTCTGTACTAGTGCGATAATTGTGTATTCATAATAAATATGTACCATTGTGACACGACGATGAAACGACGGATATGCATATTCCTCCCAAAAATACTTTTTGTCCGTGGGTCATGCAGTGTTCCTGGTAGGACTTTCCACAATGGCAGCTTTCTGTAATATATTCTGATAGGAAACATTACTAGAAAGTTACGCAGTCAGAATGACAAACGGCAGAAAAATATTATACGTATGACTGATATACGTCATTGTTACATGTGCATAAGCCACTGATGAACTACCTCAATCATCTTGGTCAGTCAACATGAGGAATTATCTCTAAAGATCTGCTGGGTGGGATTTATTAGGAATAATCAATTATGCTAACCTCAAACAATCAAAAGGTGAACAGGCATATTTTAAAATTGTTAAAGTAGGGTGGATAACATATCTTTGTTCTACATGTATGAGGGCTGGGAAGATATCGATATCATAAACTGAAGTCAGCAAATAAGTAGATGTAGATGAAGAGAGACAGCTTGGGGGATACACTGTATCCACATGGTGATTGTCTGCAACCAATGGCAAGAGTACGCCAAAACCCGTTTCCAAGCGGTCGCAAACCAGAAGTAAACGGGCTTTTATTAGACTGCTTAAGTCTTTCTGACATTTCAAGAGATATTAACATCAACTATTTTTTTTGAGTTTTTATCATTTTATCATTTTATAGGTCTGAATTGGGAAAGAAAAAAAGCTTTGCAGGATGTTTGGACAAAAATGAGATAAGGATATTTTAAACGCTAATATTATACCTTTACTAATGTGAACTGTATTTCGGCTTCGCAGTGTCTTTTTAAATAAATGTGCACTTTAATTTTAATTTGGCAGAATAACTGTACCCAAGCCAGAAAATCAGTTTCAATGTGTGTCAGCTACTTCATTTTCGAATCTCCATATAAGCATATACATGTACCTTACAACTCACCCGCTTTAATTTAAATTTAGCGCACAAATCAAAAACACGCATTACCATCACATTGTAAATTGTGCACGTTTTCCCCAAAAAGGCGTGTAACGGAGTTATGCGCTGTTACTTAGGCCGTAAAATTTTCTATGCCGGTTAAACTGATATCTTAGACATAGAAATAACATGGAATTTTTTTTTACCGACCCTGGGCATTTGTGCTCACAAATCTGATGCTCTAGTAGGCAAATCCTTTTATGAGGTTGAATACGACATAGTTTAAGAGAAAAATCATAAAAATATCCGTGGATAAATTCTGTCAGCGATTATTCGTTCTGGAACCGCACTCGCTAGTCTGACACTAGCTCTGATCCCAATTTCTCTCCCAAATCCCGCAAAATATCGCTGGATTTTATGCAAAGTTGTGACATTTGAGCTGTCTCGAATCATTCCCATTTTATCTTGCCAGTCTGTAAGTCAACATGGACGCCGATACTGCAGACGTGTACAGAGAGGGAAAGGTGGTGAGATGCCCTGATGGAAATGGAGATATTATTACCCTCAAGGACACAGAGAATATCAACGGGATAGTGCCATTTGACCGCATTGGGGAGATATCGCGCAATTTCTGCAAGTTCCCGCTCCGCAAAGATGATATATTTCTTACGGCTTTTGTGAGGTCGGGTAAGTGCTTGACTCGGTTTTCTCTGCTTCATACGTTTTCAAGATAAGGTTTTATGGCGGTGTGGCAGGAATGGTTGTCCTAAGAATAGAATTCCGGTGTCCCATTTGCCTAGAACAGAAAAAAATCAGGCTAAGAAGGGCGAATGAAGTACATTATACTGCGCCAAGTGGACTACCATTCCTGTCGCAACGGATTTGATGAAAAGGCGAGCAATTAAGAATATATCCAAGTGCACGTAAAAACGGGTGCCCTTTAATGATGTCTTAATTGGTCAGTTTATGATTCTGGGTTGAACTTGTGGTATTGCAATTTGATTTTCACAAGTATTTATTTTTTTTGTTTCAAATTCACAAGTATGACTATTAAAACAGGTGTTTTTTCCCATTCATATTGTCCACGGTATGGTGGGTATCGTAAATAGCCTACTTTTAAGTGTACAGAGGTAGGTTATCAGACAGTTAAAAGACGGTACTGATGTCACGGTCAGATCATGGGTAACTACCGATAGAGACTTGAGCAAATAAAACGTTATATTCGTCCAAGGCAGAGGTAACAAGACGCTAATTTAGACATCTCACTCAAAGGTACTCACGTGGTGTGGGAGATAACAACAATGTTGACCAAGAACATGACCGAACTGACCGACCTACCAAAGCAAGAATCCATGATAGAGTTGATGACTGATGAAGCTCTTGAGAGCCTCCCGTCTCCACGTGTCCTGAATAACCATTTCCCTAACTGGCTCTACCCAAAGGAAGCCCTGACGGTATCGCCTCGTCTTTCTCTTTATTTCATGTTTAAAGCCTTTATTAAAATCCCATAAGCCACTCGCGTACTAAACAAAATTTTACCCACTGAGAATAAATGGTACGTGCATTCAGCCATATCAATAACAGATTGAACCCAAACGACGAGTTTCGATGCTTGTTTTACTTTCCAATTAAAAAAAGGCTCCGTAGCATCAAACAACAATTATGGTGAGCTTCCAGAAGCATTGCACTTTAAGTTCTACTTTCAGAAAAACAAATTCATCCATGTTATTCGCAATCCGAAGGACGCCCTAGTGTCTTATTATCACATGGCACAGGGCTTAAAGAATTTCAATTACAGCGGAACTTGGAGTGGATACTTTGAGTTCGTCATGGCTCGCCAGAACACAGGATTAAAACCAATAGGTACGACTTAAATAAGAAGGTTAAATGTTTAAGATGTTACCCACTGAAGACTACTTTAATTCTAAAGTGATTTAAAAAGGTGAATATTTAGTGGTTTTACTGTTCATAACTGTTAAATGACTTACTTCATGATATCTTAGTAAAGAATGTAATGAATAAACAGTAATCTCGTGATATTTCAGACTACAATGATTGGCCAAGTAATGTTCTGCCATGGTACAATCTCTCCAAGACAAACCAAAACATAGTAAATGTGTTTTTTGAGGACTTGGTGGAGGTGAACATTCTTTTTACAGTATAATAACAATAACGTTATTAACCCAGAAAAAATAATCTACTGGAGACTAAAATATATAATATAAAAAAATTGTCACTGGATATTTGGTGACGGTCAAGATATCATACCTGTTAGAAGAATCTAGAATGAAATACGGAATTTCAGCAAAGCTTATTATATACGTAGTGTGCATCAGCATTATGTATAATTTTATGGGAAATTCCATAAATAAAAGATTTATGAGACATTCTACATGTATCTTATTTGTAGAACCCAGTTCCCCAAATTAAACGTATTGCGGAACATATTGGTTTTCCCAAAGACCAAGACACGTATGAACAGATAGCCAAAGCCACCAGCTTTAAAGCAGTGCGCCAGAACAAACGCGTCAAAGGCTTAAACCTCCAGTACAACACTCCCACGTCTCAGCCCTGGAAGGATGGCTCTCCCGGGATTTACAGAAAAGGTATAAGTGATTTGGATTATTAGATTCGTCTTGGTACAACTGAGCTTGAGGTTTTTGTTTTGGCTTATTGAATTATGGAACTAATATATTTTGTTCTTCAGTTTGGGTTCCAGTTGCTCTTAAACCTGGGGCCACAGATTATTTATTTATTTATTTATTTATTTATTTATTTATTTATTTATTCTTACACGCTTCTGTTATATTTTTCTTTATTAGGCAAGGTTGGAGACTGGAAGAATCACTTTACAGTGGCACAAAACGAGCGCTTTGACGCCCTCTATCGGCAGTGGACACTAAATACAGACATCTGCGTCCGTTTTGAGATTTGAAGGAAAAAAAAACAGTAGTTGTGCAATAAATGGTGCACAGATACGAGTACCTTGCGTACCTTACCCATAACATATAAAACAGGGGATTTTCTTACAAAGTGGTTTGTTGCACCGGGTTGCGTCTTACCGTTTTTCTTCGTGTGCTATGGCAAAGGGGCTACGGAGCTTTTTGATACAAAATAACCATAACGGATTCATATATGGGCAGTTTATTGGTATAAACACAAGATGCTTGTACGAATTTTAAAATGGACTATTCAGAAGAAAACGGTGACAAAGGTTTATTTTATGCTCACCGATTTCCAAAAAGCATACGATTCGATCTCATGGAGATTTATAGGCGTAGTACTAAACTTGAACAAAATCTAGTTTTGAATAATGGTTTTAAATGGACAGTCATTCAACACTCTTAATTCTTAGAACTTTTCAAGGACACCGATAGGGACTCCGCGTTTAAGGAATTGGCAGAATAATAGGATCGTGATCAAAGACATAACTGACGCCAATTAATAATATGGTGATTTATTTTATTATTAAAAAATTAGCTGGGAAGTTTACTTTAGATTTATTTGGAATGGAAGTAAGCTAAGGAATTGGTGTACAAAGTACCGATTTAGAATGTGTGGATTTTTAGAAAAATATGCAAGTTGAAGAGAATGCACTTTGCTGGATAGACGTGTGGAAAAACGAAAAGAAAAAAACTGCATTGTGGGATTTTGGGATGTTGAACAAGAACGACAGCATAGAAGTTGTTTCTTTTTGATTTTGAGAAAAATAAAAAATGTCAATTTACAACATTCTAGTGGTTATGATGTATAAAACTCAAAACTAAAAGTTAAAAAAAAAACAAAAAAAAAAACAAAACAGTTTTGTATTTGTGATGAGTAGGATGGTTGTGTGTGTAAAATTAGATGTTGTATAATTTGTAAAGACTTGAAAAGGATTTTCTTATGAGACAAGCCATAATAGTTACTTAGAGCTCTTGAACTAAAAATGTTTACCTACAATAATCTACGACCGTCTACAAATATATTGATAATATTCAAAAGTGATGATTTTGTTACACAGTAGTAAACGTAGATTTATGGCTGTGTAACAAAATCATCACTTTTGAATATAATCAATATATTCAAAAGTGATGATTTTGTTACACAGTAGTAAACGTAGATTTATGGCTGTGGAGGCAATACTTGCCCTAGCTATGGTCCTTCAGTTCAGAAGTACTCCTCCGGAATGTGACTCCGGACTCAGTCGACCGGCCATCAGCCGCTTCTACATACACAAATTCAAATCACGAATCTACCATCTAAACATACCGGTTCTTCATAAAAGGACGTGTGAGTAGATATATAGTCCACCCGACCTGTTGCCGTCAGTTGGAGCAAGATGTAGTCAATTCCACTGCACTTGCCTTAACACGAAGAAAAAAAAAAAGAAAGAATTACACAGTTATTTTGATTATATATCTAATCAAGGAAGCATTTACATTATAAATAAGAACTTTAAAAATAAACTTACATGTTTTATCGACAATCTCCCATCACCGAGTACGAATGTGCTAGTTGTGCAATGATTTATGTCAATGTGGAGGTACGTCATCTCTTTATACGAGAAGTCCACCAACGACCAACGCAGAACGGCTGTGGTTCAGTCTGTTAACTGTACTAGTGCGAGTTCAGTCTGTCTGTCAACATGGACACCGATACTGCAGACGTGTACAGAGAGGGGAAGGTGGTGAGATGCCCTGATAAAAAGGGAGACATTATTACCCTCAAGGACACAGAGAGTGTTACCGGGATATTGCCATTTGACCGCCTAGGGGAGATTTCGCAATGTTAAAACATTAATTTTAGGCGACGCGTGTCACACAGTCGTGATTATGAAATAGTCAGAGCTTAATCACTGTGTTTACCCGGCAAGAATAAAGCTAACCTGAACTGATTGTTAATTAATGTGAGATGGCACGTGCCAAACAGTGAAGTTAACCCGAGAGATTGTAATCCAGATTAATTTTCTAAGATTGTTTTAAGTATGAAGAAGGCTTTTGGTTAAGTTTGGAGTTTAGACCGTAAACATTTACTATTTTTGTCGTTTTGAACAGCTCAAAACTTTTGCCGCGAATTCCCGATTGAACAAGAATTTCAGGAACCGACTACGATTATATACGAATCTGTTAAGAACTTCACGAACTGATAACGATTCAACCACGAATCCTGAAATTGTTAATTCCTGGCGATTCGTGGGATTCGTGGTCGGTGTGAAATAGGGGTATCAAAGTTCTTGCCACGAATTTCTGTTGGTCAAGAATTGCAAGAACTGACTACGAATATATGCGAATCTGTTAAGAACTTCACGAACTGATTACGATTCAGCCACGAATCCTGAAATATGTCAATTCCTGGCGATTCGTTAGATTTGTGGTCTGTGTGAAATAGGGGCATTACATGGGACCAAGTTGAATCGGAATGATGGGACTGAGCTACCCAACCTCTACCTACCACTTCTAAGTGAGGGGCAGGCAAGGGGGGATCTGACCAAATAGCACACCAGAGGGGTTGACAGGTTGTCATACTTGTCACAACCTCATTCCCTGATGAAGTCTGACTGCAAGCAGATGAAATATTGGATGGTAATATCAGACAAATATAAGTAGCTATAGACAAAAGAATATTCACAAATCTAGGTCAATTAACGCTTGGACGATCTTTATTTCAGCGAGCTAGGGTTAGGCTCTTTTGTTAGCAGAAAGTAAGACACGATAATTACCCGACATGGCGCGGGATGATACTATTGTCAACAGAAACCAAACAGCGCATGGATGACAATGTTATTTCCATGGTTACCGCGCCAGGCCGTATGAACAACCCGCAGATACCCGCAGAGTAAGTAAGGGGACTTTCCGGCAGGTCTGTATAAGGTTGAATACGACATAATTTAAGAGAAAAATAATAATAAATATCCGTGTATAAATCCTGTAAGCAATTATTCGTTCTGGCACCGCACTCGCTAGTCTGACACTAGTTCTGATCCCAATTTCTCTTCCAAATCCCGCGAAATATCGTTGGATTTTATGCGAAGTTGCGACATTTGAGCTGTCTAGAATATTTCACATTTTATCTTGCCAGTCTATCAGTCAACATGGACGCCGATACTGCAGACGTGTACAGAGAGGGAAAGGTGGTGAGGTGCCCTGATGGAAATGGAGACATCATTACCCTCAAGGACACAGAGAGTATCAACGGGATAGTGCCATATGACCGCATTGGGGAGATATCGCGCAATTTCTGCAAGTTCCCTCTCCGCAAAGATGATATTTTTATTACGGCTTTTGTGAGGTCGGGTAAGTGCTTGACTCGGTTTTCTCTGCTTCATACTTTTTGAAGATAAGGCCTCGTGGCGGTGTGGCAGGAATGGTTGTCCTAGGAATAGAATTCCGGTGTCCAGTTTGCCTAGAACCAAAGAAAAAAAATCAGGCTCGGAAGGGCGAATGAATTACATTGTACTGCACCAAGTGGACTACCATTCGTGCCACAACGGATTTGATGAAAAGGCGAGCAATTAAGAATATATCCAAGTGCACGTAAAATCTGGTGGCCTACAGATGTCTTAATTGGTCAGTTTATGGTTCCGGGTTGCAATTTTATTTTCACAAATATTTCATTTTTTTTGTTTCAAATTCACAAGTATGACTATTAAAACATAAGTTTTTCCCTTCATATTGTCCACGGTAAGGTCGGGTGTCGCTTGCAACTATATCGTAAATAGACTACTTTTAGGTGTACAAAGGTAGGTTATCAGAAAGTGAAAAACGGTACTGATGTCACGGCCAGGGTAACTACCGATAGAGACTTGAGCAAATATAACAAAACAAAACAAAACAAAACGTTATATTCGTCCAAGGTTGAGGTAACAAGATGCTAATTTAGACATCTCACTCAAAGGTACTCACGTGGTGTGGGAGATAACAACAATGTTGACCAAGAACATGACCGAACTGACCGACCTACCAAAGCAAGAATCCATGATAGAATTGATGACTGATGAAGCTCTTGAGAGCCTCCCGTCTCCACGTGTCCTGAATAACCATTTTCCTAACTGGCTCTATCCAAAGGAAGCCCTGACGGTATCGCCTCGTCTTTCTCTCTATTTCATTTTGAAAGCCATGCAACCGATCCTCATATCATTTAGTGCTCAATAAACTTATTATTATTATTAAAATCCCATATATCACTGGCGAACTATACGAAATTTTACCCACTGAGAATAAATGATACGTACATACAGCCATAATCTCCATTTCAATAACAGATTGAACCCATACGCCGAGTTCCGATGCTCGTTTTCCTTTCCAATTAAAAAAGTCTCCCTAACATATAACAACATCGAAACAAAATTATGGTGAGCTTCCAGTAGCATTGCATTTCAAGTTCTATTTTCAGAAAAACAAATTTATCCATGTTATTCGCAATCCGAAGGACGCCCTAGTGTCTTATTATCACATGGCACAGGGCTTAAAGCATTTTAATTACAGCGGAACTTGGAGTGGGTACTTTGAGTTCGTCATGGCTCGCCAGAACGCAGGATTAAAACCAATAGGTACATGTACGACTTAAATAAGAAGGTTAAATGTTTAAGATGTTGCTTAAATTGTAAGTTGATTTTAAAAGGTTAAGATTTAAGTGGTTAACTGTTCATGACTGTTACATGACTTATTTCATGAGATGTGTGTAAAGAATAGGGGAGACCGGGGCTAGTTGGACCCCGGGGTTAGTTGGACCCCCATTAATTTATGACAAAGTAACTATGGAGTAAAAGAATTGATCACATCATTTTGTAAAGTGACCGTATCTGAAATAATTTAGCATCTTAAAGTAACTTTATTAAAGAGCCTTGATGGGGGGCCAACTTACCCCGGGGTCCAACTAGCCCAGGTCTCCCTATTAAAATTACAGTAATCACGTGATATTTCAGACTTTAATGATTGGCCAAGTAATGTCCTGCCATGGTATAATCTATCCAAGACGCACCATAACATAATGAATGTGTTTTTTGAGGACTTGGTGGAGGTGAACGTTATTTTTACAGTATAATAAAAATAACGTTATAAACCCAGAAAAATTAATCTACCGGAGACTAAAATATACAATATAACCACTGGGTATTTGGTGAATGTAAAGATATCATACCTACTGGTACATGTAGAATCTAAATGTAGTGTGCATCAGCACTATGTATAATTTTATAGGAAATTCCATAAAAAAGATTTATGAGACATTCTATCTAATTTGTAGAACCCAGTTCCCCAAATTAAGCGTATTGCGGAACATATTGGTTTTCCCAAAGACCAAGACACGTACGAACAGATAGCCAAAGTCACCAGCTTTAAAGCAGTGCGCCAGAACAAACGCGTCAAAGGCTTAAATCGCCAGTACAACACTCCCACGTCTCAGCCCTGGAAGGATGGCTCTCCCGGGATCTACAGAAAAGGTGAATGGTTTGGCTTATTAGTTTCCTCTTGGAATAACTGAGCTTGATATGTTTCTTTCGGCCTATTGAATCATGTCCCTGATACAGGTACATTTTGTTATTCAGTTTGTGTTCCAATTGATCCTAACCTGGTGCCACAGAAAAGGTTTGCATTACCCTAATGCATTATGCACACATTATAAACAAACAGAATACATTTCGGAAGCATAGTTTGACTCTGTTTAGACTTGCATGAACAGGTGTGGGATCAGGTGAAAAGTAATTGGTACCCATCTAGAATATATGAAGGAAAAGAAAATCCATCGGGACCAAGGAACAAGATGGACGATGCACAAACGAGCGCGCTTCACAACGTCACAACTACATAGTTCATATTAACATGCCCCTTCCACGTTTGACAAGTGTAGAGATAGAAGTAATGTCTGTGAGTGGGGAATATAGGGTCTACTTGTCAGATAATTACTGTACCGGTATATATCGAAGGACACAATGCGACCTTCTTTGTAAATTGGAGAATAACAGTCAAACCATTCTGATTACAAAAAAGTGTAGTTATTTATTTATTTATTTATTCTTGCACACTTCTGTTAATATGTCTTTTTCATATTTAGGCAAGGTTGGAGACTGGAAGAATCACTTTACAGTGGCACAAAACGAGAGATTTGACACCCTCTATCGGCAGTGGACACTAAATACAGACATCAACGTACGTTTTGAGATTTGAAGGAAAAAAAACAGTAGTTGTGCAACAAATGGTGCACAGATACGAGTACGTTGCGTACTATAGTACCGATATTTCGCCAGTACTATAAATGAAGAACATACATCTTTTGGGGGCCTAAAAGATTTATTCGTATATTCTTATTTTCCAGTTACAATGCATTCTCTTTTATCCTATAGATCATCATTCCAATGTCATGATGTATCACAAAGTCTTTCTCCTACATTACCTTATTTGGTAATGTAATAATTCCTCAGCTCTTACACAATGTCTATGATTATCCCTTTTTCCATAACTTTCCATCATTACGTCATTACCAAACTATAATCATTCTCTTATTAGGCAATGGTATGTTACCTGACCTTAGGTCGCCATTTCTATTAATACAGATTTTTCATTGTATCATCCTGAAGGAATGATAACTATTCTCCCTTATTCTTTTGTTATTATTGAACAACACATGCACTCTTTAACTCTCTTACTTACACTGTTTAACCTCTTAACAAATGTATATTGTATCAATTATGAAAGGTACAATGTATTCATTACGATCACAACTTTGTATCTGTACTTTTAATCATTTTCATTACGATAGTACTTTACCCATATTATATAAAACTGGGGATTTTCTTACAAAATGGTTTTTTGCACCGGGTTGTCTCTTACCGTTTTTCTTCGTGTGCTATGGCAAAGGGGCTACGGAGCTTTTTTGATACAAAATAACCATAACGGATTCATATACTTATAATTCCTTGCTGACACCAATTAATAATATGGCAATTTATTTTTTTTATTAAAAAATTAGCTGGGAAGTTTATTTAGATTTATTTGGAATGGAAGTAAGCTAAGGAATTGATGTACAAAGTACCGATTTAGAATGTGTGGGCTTTCAGAAAAATATGCAAGTTGAAGAGAATGCACTTTGCTGGATAGACGTTTGGAAAAAAGAAAAGAAAAAACTGCATTGTGGGATTTTGGGATGTTGAACAAGAATGACAGCACAGAAGTTTCTTTTTGATTCTGAGAAAAATAAAAAATGTCAATTTACAACATTCTAGTGGTTATGATGTAGAAAACTCAAAACTAAAAGTAAAAAAAAACAGGTAGTTTTGTATTTGTGTTGAGTAGGATGGTTGTGTGTGTAAAATTAGATGTTGTATAGTTTGTAAATACTTGAAAAAGGATTTTCTTATGAGACAAGCCATAATAGTTACTTACAGCTCTCGAAACTAAAAATATTTTACCTGCAATAATCTACGAACGTCTGCAATTATATTAATTATATTCAAAAGTGGTGATTATTTTACACAGTAGTAAACGTAGATCTATGGCTGCGGAGGCAATACCTGCCCTAGGCATGGTCCGTCAGTTCGGAAGCACTCCTCCGGAATGTGACTAGGGACTCAGTCGACCGGCCATCAGCCGCTTCTACATACACAAATTCAAATCGCAAATCTACCATCTAAACATACCGGTACCTAATAAAAGGACGTTTGAGTAAATAAATAGTCCATCTGACCTGGTGCCGTCAGTTGGAGCAAGATGGAGTCGATTCCACTGCACTTGCCTTTACACAAAGAGATGTGGAGGAATGAATTGTATAATGCAAAAAAAAAAAAAAAAAAAAAAAAAAAAAAAAAAAAAAAAAAAAAGAAAGAATTACACAGTTATTTTGATTACATATCTAATCAAGGAAGCATTTACATTATAAATAAGAACTTTAAAAATAAACTTACATGATTTATCGACAATCTCCCATCACCGAGTACGAATGTGCTAGTTGTGCAATGATTTATGTCAATGTGGAGGTACGTCATCTCTTTATACGAGAAGTCCACCAACGACCAACGCAGAACGGCTGTGGTTCAGTCTGTTAACTGTACTAGTGCGAGTTCAGTCTGTCTGTCAACATGGACGCCGATACTGCAGACGTGTACAGAGAGGGGAAGGTGGTGAGATGCCCTGATGGAAAGGGAGACATTATTACCCTCAAGGACACAGAGAGTGTTACCGGGATATTGCCATTTGACCGCCTAGGGGAGATTTCGCGTAATTTCTGCAAATTCCCGCTCCGCAAAGACGATATATTTCTTACCGCTTTTGTGAAGTCGGGTAAGTATTTACTTTGTTTTAATCTGCTCCATACTTACTAAGGATGAAGTTGTAAAACTAAACTTTTTACTGGGTACAGCACAAATTTGATTCAAGTGCTTAAACGCTTAAGTAATTCAAGCTGACGCGCACTGCGTCACATCTGCCCCAATAGGCATAATTTGTGCATTGCGCCAGTTTTATAGGGGAGACCGGGGCCAGTTGGCCCAGTTAAACACTTTTGGCCTTGTAGAGCCAACTAGGAATGAGTTAAAGTAACAAAACCGGTTTCAAAGTAAGCCCCATGAACTAACCTACGTGTGCAACATCATTATTTTTCAAATATAATGCCAGATGATACACAATTAAAAAAAAAAGACGTCAGGGCGGGCAACTGCCCTGGCAAGTTGTCTTTTTCGTATATAGGCACGGTTGGAGACTGGAAGAATCACTTTACAGTGGCACAAAACGAGCGATTTGACGCCCTCTATCGGCAGTGGACAAAAAATACCGACATCTGCGTCCGTTTTGAGATTTGAAGAAAATGACTGTGAATATATATTGTAGCGGTTTTTCTTCCCTCTTATTGGCGGTAGCGTAGTCAAAGATGATCGAGGGAGGAGCCGTTCAGATGAATACACCGATGCCCGTTGTTGTTTTGTGGTCCGGACACCGGCGTTAAACAAGTGACAAGTTTTTAAAATTTCATAAACGTGATTCAAACTCCAACTGTAAACTGTAACAATAAAGCGAAAGAATAACGCAACATCTCTGAAGTCAGTTTGAAAGTCAGTTCCTCACAATGTCCACACAGTGAACAGAGTTACACACGATCAATTTCACACTTAAGTCTTAAAGATCAACTGCAATGTTCTCCCTTTAAAAGTAAAGTCAACACGTTTACTTAGTCCACTTGGAATGTACGTACACAGTTCCTCTCCTTCACTACAGATCTGGCTCACTGTACCTATGGCAAAGTAACGGGCTCGGTATCTGAGACTCGACCCTCAGGAAAGCGGGATTGCGAAGGTCAATAGACCTTTTTCATCTTTTGCGGAAATACGAAGTGCGCATGACAGGAACCGCGCGCCACAGGGGTCATAGTGGTCCTCTGCTGTTTCCAGCATGTCAATGCTAGGTGTAGATGATGTACAAGGTGCGCATATAAAAAGGTCGTATGAAGCGCGCATTGCTTTCTGTCAAACTAAAAAGGTGGCTGAAGCACAGAAATGCGTAAACTGTAGGCAAGAAACAGCTATTTGGACGGAGAATTAAGCAATTAAATATTTTCTCTCTCAGTTTAAATACGATGCTCTTTACAACTAGACTTCACCTAAGCGTCCGAGCCTTGGCTGTACTTTCAATAGTGATGACGAACTAAAGCTTCGGAGTTTAGTTTAAATGCTTCCTATAATAAAGATATGCGAAAGAGACTCGTTATCTTATATATATAAAATAAAAAAAGCCAGTAGACTCGTACACAGCTTTCAAGAGTGTGGACAGGTGCGCAGGCCTACGTCTTCACAATTTTGTACATGTATATATGCAAGCTGTGGCGATATCACCTCATGTACCGGCAGTGTCAATTCATTACGATTTTTATGTCTTGTTTGAAGGATATCTTAAGAGATTTTTAAAGTGATAAAATGAAAAGATTTTCTGCATTGTTTGACTCGTAGCTACTGTGTATACAGGTAAAACTGACACGCAGATCGTTCGTCGGTGAACTGATTAAATCGTTTGGTACCTGATAAGGCATCAGGTGTTACTTGTTCAATTGTTCGGTAAGGCGGGCGGCCACAACTACGACCTTTCCTCTGTAATTAAAACCTTTTAAGTGTTAAATAGGTGAGACAGGAATTCTCGACTCTTTCCCAGACGATAATTAAAGTTTACCGTGTCTTACTCTAGTATATGTACAAAATTTACGACAGGAAAAAAATGTCAGCCTTTCGGTCTGACAAGTATGAAAATTTTGTCAAACTGAAACAAAAACAAAATTGTAGCAAGAGGCCAAATTATTTGATTTTTAAATGTTTTCATGCGTATTTTCATCGTTTTCAATCACAGACAATTCTTTCAAATAAAGTGTTTCCCACACATTTCATACTTTTCAACTATCTAAGACAGTTAAATATACGTAGGCCTACTTTAATACTAAGCATATTTGTATTACTTTACAAATACGTTGTTGGATTATGTTTATTATCCATTTTGTCCTTACCATACATGTATTATGTACGTGTAGCTTACAGAAAGGCTTTTCTGCATTTTTTGTATTTTCCAATTCTCTTGTCATTGAGTTCAGAAATAAATAACTTTTTATTTCGCCAATAACGCGTTCAACAAGAGCCGATGTACTTTCTTCTTCGTATGTCTCTGTTTATCTTGATAATATGAGCCCCGTTTGTACAAATCAGTAATACGTATACGGGACTGAATACGTAAAAATAAAAATTGTATTATATTAACGTCTCACGTTAAAAAAAAATAGAACCCACCCTGCTAAGGGTTTCTAGAGACTTANGAATATACGTAGGCCTACCTTAATACTAAGCATATTTGTATTACTTTACAAATACGTTGTTGGATTATCTTTATTATCCATTTTGTCTTTACCATACATGTATTATGCACGTGTAGCTTACAGAAAGGCTTTTCTGCATTTTTTGTATTTTCCAATTCTCTTGTCATTGAGTTCAGAAATAAATAACTTTTTATTTCGCCGATAACGCGTTCAACAAGAGCCGATGTACTTTCTTCCTCGTATGTCTCTGTTGATCTTGATAATATGAGCCCCGTTTGTACAAATCAGTAATACAGTACGTATACGGGACTGAATACATAATAATAAAAATTTTATTAACGTGACTGTCGTCTCACGTTAAAAAAAAATAGAACCCACCCTGCTAAGGGTTATTAGAGACTAAAACCTGTGATGGGCCTACAACATTTAAAATGATCGCTTATCAATAAAACACACACAAAAAGGATATTTCATACAAAACTTTTCAAACCTTCTCTTTGTTGTTACACAAAAAGTCGTGAAAGTTCTTGAATTTTTTGTAAGTAGAATCCCCGTGTAAAACTTCACAGCTTTTACTTTCTTTTTCCATAATTTCATGCTTAAAGTCTTTTCTTAATTTTTATTCTTCAATTTTTTCTTCAAATCTTTATAATGTTTTTTTTTTCTCGCATTTTTTACCCCCGAGTTCTATTTGCCGATAGTTCGTTATATCCGTTGTTTAATTAAGCATTTCTGTTTTCTATTAAAGCACCGTTGATCTCCTAATATTATAGTTTTTCTTCCCGCCTTCGAAATGTTCAGCGCAAACGCGGTGCCCTGCTTTTGATCCAAACCTGATATATTTCCTTTCTTTCTACCATATTTTTCATTCTAACGGGTTTGTTGGGAACTTATTAAACCTCATGTGTCGATCTCGCTTACTGTTATTGTAGTAGCGGGACAAAAAGCACGTAAACCCATCCATGGTTTTTAGCACCGCTGTAAGTGTTTCGACGTAGCAGGGCTCCTCTACCCACAATGCAATTTCAATATCCGGAAAAGATGAAAAAGGCTAATAAAATGTTTTTGAATCATTCCAAAAATGTTTCAAACATAAATTTGAACTTAATCAATGATAAATTTGGTGAGGAATAGTGAACATTTTTTCCCCTTTGCCAGCTTTTAGCTAAATTTGGCAGTACTTGTCAGAGGCCACATCAAACATGTATTTAGAAGAAAAAAACTCACTTTAAAGACTCAAATACGAGGCAGAGATGTTGCTTGTGGAAGAAATGGCGGTACAGCCGCAGACAGTGAAACTTGTCTTCTGTATCTGCATCATTCAACTTCTTCAGGTACTCCAACTCCTTCAGCCCTGTCTTGTGCCTAGAAAACATATAAAATTTAATAATAATCAAAACACCAAAACCTCAAGTACAATAACTTTAATGTATCACAATTACAAATCCAATGACAGTTACCATTAACAAGCAACAAGTTATCACAACTTTATATCTTAGACTACTAGGCTTATGATTCTTATTTATACAGATTTCTTTCTTTTGTTCCCTCCATGTAATGAGACCTTATAGTCCAAGTTATCAGTCATCCTTCTTCCTAAAAATCGATCTATTAAAATGCATTAATATAATCATAAACAGAATATTAAAAAAACACAAAAAGACCTGAATTTGAATACACATTAAATTCTCAATTCAGTAACATTTTCATTAAATCTAAGCAGATAATCATTCTTTGAGCAAAACAGGTCTATGCTTACATGTTTAATCAAGATGCATTTAGACCTAAGTTTGAATACAGACTAATCCCCAATTCGCCAATATCTTTACTTAGGTAGATTCAAGTTATTTCATTTTCATGAAGTAAAACAGAAGTATTCGTATTTAAAACAGTCCTTCAGAGGGCAGCACTTACATCATTTCATTGTTCCTGATGATCTTGATTGCACACTCATGGTTACCACGTGCCTGGTCACGCGCACGCACCACGTTACTGAACACGCCCTGTCCCGTGAAGCCATACACCTGGTAGCGTTTGTCCAGCGTCTCACCAATACGCACCCCTGAAAATGGGTCAAGAATGGCGTCACAAATAGATTCCAAATAATATATAGCTGACAGTACTGGAGGTCTACAAAAGTGAAAAACAACTATAGTGTTAGATGAGTAAAAAAGAAAAGGTGAAAGGGAGCTTTTCTGTTCACTTTTTCAGATTCTTTTCTTTCTTTCTTTACTTTCTTCTTCAATGAATTAAGTATGATAGCTTTTCTGTTTACTTTCTTTCTTTGTTCCTTCATTGAATTAAATATAATGAATTCCACAAAATGGATGGATTAGACCAAAATGTAAGATGCAGTGACTGTTTTTTTTTTATCCACAAGCACACATCTCCCTACAGCTTTATGGCCAGTGCACTAAAACTAGGTGATGTTTGAACGGCCTCTCAATTGAACAACTGCCTAGGACGGAAAAACAAATTAAGTTCAGAACACCAAAACAGAAGAAATTCCTTACTGTAATATCCCTCAGCATCGTCCCAGTTGTCAGTCAGAGATGGGTTGTCGTTGCCAATACCAGACACCTGCCGCATCAGGTTGGGGCTCTGAAAGAAGGAAATTTGCATTAGTTCCTTGTCTTCTTTATTTGCTTTGAGTCTTAAAAACTGCACTCATAGTTACAGTTCTAGTTTCATCAAATTCCAATAAGTCAACGTAGCCAAGTTTCCACATAGGCATATGTAGAACTTTGCAGGGTAATCGTTCTGACAACTTGACTTATATGTGTGCAGTAGGTGAACAGTAGTACAGTATGCCTAAAAAGTCTTATACAAGTAATTTTTAGCAATTTGTAAAAATAAGGCCTCAATCAATTCGAGCAATAACACAGAGACAGATATTTTACTCACATTGTAGTCCTCGTTGCTAAATATGTCCTCCTCTGAGAACATATCCAAGCCATTTGAAAATTTCTTTTTGTTATCTTCTTTTTCTTTTTCTGTCTCAAACTTGGATTTTTCTGGAGTATCTTAGGTAAAGAAAAAAAATAAGATTATTATGATATATTTTGAGTGACGAAATAACAAAGGCCATAAACAATAAATAAAAAAATTCACAATTCCTTTTTTTAAAATATTTCTCTTCCTAGCAAAAATTAATAAGCTGTAACAGTTATGCATTCAAAGTTACAATAACACATTTTTCAAACATCAGCTATAAATGAGAGGATAGCAGTGTAGATGGAATGAAGGGGGGAGGGTTTACTTCTATGTGGGGGCTACAGCTATTATAATACCTTTAACACTAACCACATATACTGACGAAGATGTTTTGTCAGACAATGAAGAATTGGAGTGATTTTTAGCTGTCGTGTGAAGAATTCCTCATTATAACCTTCATATCTGTATCTGACCTATTATCAGCATCACATATAAATACAAAAACTACCAATATTCACCTCCGTTCTCTTCAGTTTTCTCCTTATAGCTGGTCATCTGCCTCAGCTTCTCGTTAATGGACTCCTCAAAGTCATTCGACGAGAGGATCATCCTAGCATATTCTGCAGCATCGTCAGCTGCCTGGTCTGCTACGTCACTGACATCACTGTCAGGGGAGGCTATTCCGCTGGGCATCTGAGAGTCGGAGTCAGCTCTGCTTTCTTCACCAGGTGGCAGTGAGGCGATGTCGCGACTGTCTTCCTGGGTCTGGAGTTGCTGGAATTCAAATTCAATTTTGATTTAAACCATCAAAATACAATGATATGTGGTTTAATGACAACTTACCTGTCATCACTGACTATTAGTACACATTATGCAATTTACATCCTTGCATATTATAAATAAAAGTAAGATTTAAAATTAGATAGAAGAAGATAGATAAAGAAAGAATGAACAGATTTACATTAATCTTAGAAACATTTTGTTGACTTGTGCCTTAATCTTTTCATGTGGTTTTGCTGAAACATGTTATATACTCATTTTTACATAAAAGAGAAAATTTACAATCCGACTTTATTTTCAAGTTGTTAAGAGGTAAATGCAGGAGAAGCAGCTGCCTTAAGTTTCTTTATTTAATACTAACCAAGAGCAGTTTCTCGCGTTCCATCCTCCGCCTCTGTATAATCTTTTCCTCGTCCTCATCATCTGAAATCTCAATGTCCTCAATAATTCTGAAATAAAAAAGGTTTATCTGATAGGATAAATTTAAAATCAGCAACACTGTGCTTAATCTGGTAAATGAACTTACAAAATCTTTATTCTGTACTTAATCAATGATGAACCAGTCTATAAATATTTTACACAATTTGTAGCATAATTAGAATGTGCTTCATGGTTTGACAAAAATTTACTTGGAGCAATATCATTACTATTTTTATTGCATTCACTAATGTTCCTTCACTAATGTTCCTATTTTTCTGAAGTTATAGTTATTTTATCCAATGTTACATTCACCAGAAAGGAGAAAATGACGATTGTGAAAAAAACTTACTCTTCTTCTGAGGACTCTTTGTCCTGTAGTGCCAAACCCTCGGACAAGCTGCCCTTGAACTTGTCTTCTGCGCTTGGGGTGTGGCTTCTGCGACGGTTCCTGTCACGTGACCTGCTGCGATGGCCTGCACGGTCTCTAGCACCTCTTCTGGGAGATCTGAAAAATATAAACACATGTTAATAAACTGGTTCATCTAATGGAGAAGAAAATATAATTCAGTTACAAATTCAAAACCGGCACAAGTAATATCTTAATATTACATGAACACGTCTGGGCAGACAATTTGCTTAGAGTCATTTTGCTGCAGTGGTCAGTTTTATCAAATAATGTATGTTAAACATTTATAACATACAATCTTCTGAGCCAGGCGAATTTCATCAGCCATTTTCAAAGTTTCAATGATACTTACTCTGAACAACAGCTCAACTTTCTTCTGTAATATCAAAGTACCTACCAGGCACCTTCTTTGGGGAAAGAGCCTACAGTTTGATGTCTTTAAGGAATCCCTTAACAGCCTCTACCTGTGAAGTGCACTCTCCCCACCCCTCCTCTATCTTACCTCTTTTTCAAATGGCAAATTGAAATTAGACAGAGTGACTCTATTCGCTGAGATTTCTACTCCATCTATAACCTCACTCCCAAAAAGAAAGTGTCTTGTCTGAGAAAACAGCTTCGAATTCAACTAATATTTGAAGAAACTTGACGATAATTTTCTCACCTCTCTCCCCTCTCTGCCAGCCACCTCTCTCTGGACCTCTCCCTGGCCTCTCGGCTCCTCTCCACCCCTCTCCTGGGCCTCTCCCACTCCGCCTCACGCTCTTTCTCAGACAGCTCTTTTCTGAAATACAATATAGTTCAATAAAACCAGAGATAAAAATGAACCTTTGAAAGAAAAAAAAAAAACTGAAAATGCAAGTGTTGAAGAGGAGGGAGGGGTCACACAAATAACACCCAGATATCTGGATTTACAGATTAATCTGAAAGATCTTCATCTCCCATAAATCCAATAACTTTGAAAAAACCATCTTACAGTAATTTGGACTGCACATGCACAATCTTTGAAATCTCATTTCTGGGGTAAGGGGTTGCTCAAGGCAGGAAACCACCAACAACTTTTGGATCTTACTTAAAAAAATCTATCTTCCTCTGTCAAAGAACAAACCCTTCAAATTTGATAATGTATTGATGACTTCATCATCAGCTAGCCTGACTAAGCTCATAAAATAAATGACTTCTGTTTAGTGCTGGCAAAGTTTCTGCATATTTTGCCTTGAGTATTGTGGTTTTTGAAGCAAGACTATTCATGAAAGATGGGTTTGAAAATAAAAGACAGGTAAATTTCACACACATTTTGTGGTGGCCAAATCAGATTTTCCCCACAAGACTTTCCTTACCAGAAGTGTTAGAATGCAAAGGACTGACATATTTTCAATTCCACAGTACACATTTGATTTTCTATTTATTTCTATTCTATGAAGACTGACCTGTCGCGTCTGTCTGGTGACCTCTCCCTGCGGCCTCTGACCTCAGTTGAATTAGACCTTCGTCTTGACTCTCTTCTATCAGGTGTATTGGACCTTCTTCTCGACTCTCTTCTATCAGGTGACTTAGTCCGCTCTGATGGCCTGTCTCGCCTGCTGTTGGGCGACTTGCTCCTATGGCGCGGCGGTGTCTTACTTTTTTTTCTGACTGGTGAGCGACTTTTCTTTCGTGAAGGGGATTTTTCCTCCTTGAATTCCCTGAATTTTCTCTCTTTGGACTTGCTTCGTTTCCCTCTGGATCCACTCCTTCTTTCTTTCGATCTACTTATCTGTCTCTCTTTCTCTCTTGATCTACTTCGTCTTTTTTCCTTCGATCTACTTCGCTTTCTATCTCTAGATCTACTGCGTTTTCTGTCCCTGGATCGACTTCTTTTCTTTTTGTCCCTGTTTTTATCTCGCCTTGCTTTGGAGGACGGTTGGTCAAATTCACCTTCTTCAATGTCATTATTGGTGTCATTATCATTGGATACGCTTTTGGCATGAGCATGACTGGTCTCACTTTTTTGGTCCTCGTCATTTTCTGGCTGGTTTCTTGCAGCCAAAAGGCGTTCCTCGAGGAGTCTGTGAACATGTTCCTCGTGGTCCACCTCACCTTCTTCCTCACTGAGGTAGCCTGATGCTATCAGAGACATAGCACTGACCTTTTCAGGGTCACCCTGACTTTGACCTTTGACATCTGACTCACTTAACGAATCTCCATTTTGTAGAGACTGTGCCTCCAATTCTGCCCTGAGATCTGCCTTTACTCTTTCTAAGTCATCGATTGGGTTTTCTTCCAACTTTTTCCTTTTCTTCCTCCTGGAATCATCTTCTTCGTCATTGGTCTTCTCATGCTTGTGCTTTTTGTGTTTGTGTTTTTTATGCTTCTTGTGCTTGTGTTTGTGTTTATGCTTTTTCTTCTCCTTGTGTTTGCTGCTGTGGGACTGGCTTCTTGAAGTTTTGTCTTCTTCATCTCCAGAAGAACTTCCACTGTCACTGAAAAGTAACAAATAAGATATAAACCCTAACAATCAATATACTAATTTCACCACATCAAAGTTAGGTAATTTGCACCAATAGACAGAATGAATGTTGCATCAAACAGAATTTTGTGCCTTTATATACTTATCACAATACTCATTCTACACCAATTTTAGTACTTATGCAGTATGCCCCCCCCCCCCCTTTACTTATATACATAATGTCTCTGCTATTCAAATAAATTTTTCCCCTGATTTTTCAGTTTTCAATTCCTTATATTATTTTTATGTTGTTTATTTTGGACAATAAAGACCAAAGTTGAGGCATATGTACCCAAGGGATGGGTTCCTGGGGATAAGCTACCCTTGACAAAGCAATTAAGTAACAGAGGCTATGACTCCCCACTGACACCATCTATTATGATATTTCTTAAATTAAGATAACTTTTTAAATTGATTTAAAAAATATAAAACACACTTACAGTTATTTTATACAAAAAGAAAAGAATCTTAAAAAAAAAAAAGATAAGCCCACATGCCGTAACACAGCTTCACAGCTATGCCGTGACCAGGATTCGAACCTGGGTTGTCTCGGCCACAACGAGAAGTACTAACCACTATACGATCACGGCTGGTACTGCGGGCTGAATGACAGAGTGCCAAATATTGTACTAAAACCCAAATGATGCCGAAAAGAGTTTCCTATAACCATTACTACCAGCTGTATTTAATAAATATATGTGTGTATTAAAAACTAAACGACAAATTATTTCACCATGATTTTGATTTTTAAAATTGATATCCGTAAAGCATCAAAAAATTTCAACAGTTCGATTTGATGTGCTGTCTAACAAAAACCACGCAATCCAGTGGTTTTAAAAATTTGTCACTGTGTTCTCTGTACATTCCTTATATAAACCTATATACTACATACCTTAAAACATCTTCGTTAAGCTTATAATCCACAAGTGATTGAGCGCTTGGTAGTCTTGAATCGGTCGCCATTGTAGAGGTCACCGTGTGCCTTTCCGTGAACCAACTTTACCGATCTCAGATTTTAGTTAAATTTTTATTTAACCTTAATTTCTCAATAAATCATCTATATTTCATTTGCAAATTTTACTAAGAATAAAATATTAGCAAGTTATATCAAAAACGTTTTGCTTAAACAAATATTTGATGGGGAAATAACGTTGAAAGCACGTTTTTGTTTCTGTTTATTGATTACACATGCCTAACTCACGAGATTTTTCGTGATAATGACGTCGAACGATGCGGATGACGTTGTAGTGGATGACCTGGGTTGACCCACTTTGACCGGTCTCTAGTCAGCTATTTTTTTCCGAAATCACTGCAGCGTGACAGGGAAGGTCGATGGTACAAATTCTTGTTCGGATCTACGAAATTATACTGGATTACATTATAAAATGAAGTTCACGTTTAAGGAAGAGAATACATTTGGTAAGTTAATTGAAAAGGAAACCCCGTTTAAAATGGAAATGTCAACTTTGTGGTGGGAATTCCCCCTTGTTTGTTTAACAAGATTTGCAAGTACATGTATAAACAAATAAATGAATAAAATGCAGTTTCTGATGAAACATTTCATTTGTAGGATTTGTCAGTTATTTGCTTTGGAATCATTGTACATACTAGACATTAATGTTTTACAGAGTTCAGAATTTTAAACTTATTTATTTATTTATTATTATTCTTTTAAAAGCAGTTATGGCTAAATTTTACTTATGATTTTAAGGAAATATTAGAATCGGTGAATTCTTTTTTTTCACCTTTTTAAGATTTACCTAGAATTAACTTAGAAGATCTTTAGGGCATATATATATATATATATATATATATATATATATATATATATATATATATATATATATGATCTTTGTTGCAGTATATTTTATATGAGCTGGTAATCAGAAATTCAGGGCAGATTCCGAATAATGATTTCTCACGGTTCTGTCACACCCAGAGGCCATCATTCATTTAAAAGGTCAATTGTGACATGCAAAATGTATAATTTTTTCTGTGCTCTAAAATATGGCACAAAGAAAGTGCTGGCAAGGTATTTACTTAAAAGGATAATAACTGTTCATTTTGGCCAAAAAATGAAATTTCCTGGGGTAAAGGAAAAGTTTCCCATAGTTACCAATGGTTAATGAATCCATTTCAAAGTTAATTAGTCCCTGTTTTTTATTATTTTTTTTTCTAAAAAGTTTTTTTTATATAATAATCTCGAGCTATTATTACAAAAAAAAATTACTTTGAATTTAGATGAAAGGGGAGGGTTGAGACAGATCAGTTTGGAAAATGCGCCTCTGTATGTCTTTGGGTTGAAGTTAATATGACAGTTCTGATGACTTGATTTTAGAATAACTCTTCTTACTCAAGAAAAAAAGGGGAAAAATAGTGTGTGCAATTTAAGGATATCGTCACCCTTTGCCCAAAAATTCCTTATTTACTGCCTTACATACATTCTTTTGGGTAATCTTTAGTCTTCAGTGACTAAATTAATTAATATTTACACATATGCCTCCTCACAGGTGATGTCACAATCATGATTTTGAAGTTAAAACTGAAAAATTGGTTTCTCAAATTTCTTTTTACCTGAACACCCACCATCACCGTTTCATTGCTGATTTAATGACAATATTTAGAACTCCAAAACCCTGTCTTACTTCAGATTTTCAGTTCAGTCTTAGTTCAGTTTTTATCGTTCAAAAATAATGCCCTTGTTTAATGAAAATGTATAATGAGGGGCTCATAACTCCATAACAAAAAAAATTTGAACCAAAATGATGGCAGGGGATTGTAGTCTTTTATCTCATGGACAACTCTGCCAAATTTCATGATAAAATCTTGTTCAGGGATGAAGTTATGCCCCATACCGATTGCTCTCTCACCTCAATAGAAAGGTGTTAAATTAATGATTAAAGCTTTGAGTTGGCTATGCTTATAGATTGCAATGAAAAAATATAAATGCCGATATTTTATATTTTCGAGGGCTTTTTCATTGTTTTAAATTAATCAGCACAAAGATATATGCATTCCTGAATAATTAGATGCAGGTAAAAGCTCATTTTCGGTACATTTGGATGATAGTAAAGGGTTACAATAACCTTGAAAAAATTTTGATTTCCTGACAATGACATGCAGAATATTCAGAAATATTCAGATATAATACAATTAGACATGGTTTTCATGTAAAATTGTTCTGCATTGAAAAAAAAAAGTGAATAGTGATGAATTATTGTAAATTATATTTTGTTTCAGAAACCCGTAAATGTGAGTCGGATAAAATACGTTCCAAGTATCCTGATAGAATTCCAGTGAGTGAACTTTCTTGACTTTGGCCTTATTGATGGAAATCAGTGTTTTGGAATCATTAAAAATTACAAGGGCATTTCATTTTGATATATTTAGGCAAAATACAATGGCAATTTATTGTACAATGGTGCTTTTTAGGTACAGTAAATGACCAACTTTTTGTGGGCACTCTTTATAACTGTTTATGTTTGTGCACAGTGAGTGAAAATTGCTCCATGATTCTTCTAATGTGAAAAAAAAAATTATCAACCACAGGCAATAATGTACTGGAAGATTTAAAAACCCTTTTTTTTCAGGTTGTGGTTCAGAAGGCTCCAAGAAGCAACATCCCGGAGATAGACAAAGAGCAATTTCTTGTCCCCAGTGACCTTTCAGTGGCTCAGTTTATGTATATCATCAGGAAGAGGATTGAGCTTCCTCCCGAGAGGAACCTCTTCCTTTTTGTGAATAAAGTTTTACCAACAACAAGGTGATCATAAATATTAATTAAGTGCTGTGTATCTTTGTTGAGTTTATCTGATTTTTTATTACATATATATATATATATTTTTTATGTACAAACACGTATATTTACTGTTTTTTATTGGACCAGTTTATATATAATAAGAAATGTTATTTATGTTGGGTGGTTTAAGAATTCCCTTGTTGAATGAAATGGAGAAATTTTGGTATCCTACAATTAGTTGAAGATGAGTGCTTATAGCAGTCCTCAGCAGTTAATAATTAAGGTATTGGTCTGAAACATGTATTTGTTGTTTTGATAATACACACTACAAGTGTAATACACGTACATTTGCTTTAGGGTCATCTATTTTTATTATCATTTTTACAAGTCTACCAAGAGTATGTAATTTTTTCAGAGACCCACCCTATCCCCTTCAGAGAGTACAGGATGAAAAATTAAAAAAATGATCATCATAATTTTTTGTTCAAAAGCGTAAAGAGGACATTAACACACGCCCCTTAATTCCCCCTTAACATTTCATATGACTTTAAGCAAATGAATGTTAAAACATCTCCTAAAATACATCTTTTGTTTCTTTCAGTGCCACCATGGGAAGTATCTATGAAGAACACAAAGACGAGGATGGCTTCCTTTATGTAGCTTACAGCGGAGAAAACACATTTGGCTGAGACGAGGCCCAGTATTCTCCATGGCCTGTTTTTATATGGCACTACACCTTATTGAGCTTGTGCCATCTTATGTAAGCGGCCTGCCACCTTAAATTTTTAGCAATGAGCAAATGTTATTTTTGTGGAAAAAGGAGATATTAAACTTGGTCTTTTTTTAACTTGACTATTTTTTTTAATCCTTTCAACACATTGCCAACCAAATGCTGCAGCTGACAGTAGACATGCAGTCTCAAAACAGACAGTGAGTTTACCTGTAGTGAGTTTTTTCTAAGTATTTGGGGAGTGGCAGATGTCATTCCGGCAACACTCGATCCTTACAGAATATCACTACAATTAAGATACTCAATTTTGCTTATTAGAACCTTTTACAGTGAGAATTAATGAAGTAATTTTTCTTTAGTCAACAGCTTAATATTGTTTTACCTCCAATATTTCAATGAAGATGTTCTGTTAGATATCGAGAGATTGGAAATAAAACTGAAGAAAAGTTACTTCATTCTTATAACATAACACAGCTGATGAAATTCTTCTCAGACTTTTACAGTGAATTTACAGACCTGGTTATCATCAATTTGTGGTAAAGTTTATAATTATAGGAAACCAAATTATAAGGCGCTCAGAAGACTTGACAGTGTCATTATCTCCCCTTAAAAGAAATTTATTAGTACTGGGAAAACAATAATCGAAGGGAATGTTTCAGTTTTTTCCCAAATTAAACTCTTTAGTATGAATTAAAAACCTAAGTGAAATTTATGAAACTTCAGGGAAATCTGACTACCGACCATAATATTACTGCAAATTTTCTTAAACGTAAATGTTAGCTGCATGAAGGCAAACTTTTTGACTTCCATTTAAAATCATGCTGAGACTCATTTTCCACATAAAATCATATATTTGCTCAAACAACTACAGTAGGTGAGGCAAAGACAGAGGTACCAGCAGTCAAAAACTCAACGGACATTAGTGCTCCTTGGTTGCAGGAGTGAGTGTGGCTTCGGCATGAACCAAAGGAACGGCAGAGAAGACACCGAGCTGCTGCGTGGGGGAAATTATACAAACTGAAAGCCCTAGGATTTTGAATTGAGTAAAATTTCACACTTATAGCTAGGGTGTTAGAAACAGTGGAATATCTCAGCTAATAACTGAAGCACTTAATTAGACTTGATGTTTTCGTTTTGAGAAATAAATTTCAAATCATGTGAGATATATACACTTCAAGTGTATCTAGAGCTGATTTTATGCAAAAAAGTCAGTTTGAAATCCAATTCATGTTTTAAGAAGCCTAGAAAGAATAGTTTTCAGTAGCATAATAATCTACAAAATAGAAAATTAAAACATTTTTTCAAAATGATTTAACTTTAATCATTTTACATGTTCTCATTTCATGAAATTCACAAACTTGAAAGCCATACAGCTAGGTGTGTGTGAGAGAGAAAGAGGAACCGGAGGGAGGGAGATGTACATGTAGGAAAGAGTCTGAGCCACTTCCATATTTGCAATACAAAAAAGAAAATAAGACATGATGACAACCCGGAAAACAGCACACATATATGATGTTATATCTTCAAGAATACTATAATTTGTTGTCCTATCCAGAGAACCAGTTATTTTTGGTGACAAATACAAAAGGTACACAAAAACAATTCTCTTTTGTTGAGAGAGGGGCAATTTCAGGTTTAACAAAAATATAACTTGAACAATTCATGATCATAACAAATAGTTGCTCAATGTGCCTTTAGAAATTAAGTTTTGTAAACCAACTTTAGAGATATGGGTCTTTATTTAAGTCAAAGCGGGTTGGAGGAGAAAAATGCCTGTGATCCAAAAGAGAAAAATTCAATTTTTTTCAGGATTGATTGATTGAATTGAATGGATTGATTGAAAATCCTCTCCCTCCCCCCCCCCTCCCCCCACGCGCGTCTCAATAAAAAATAGAAATTATGAAATTGGCCTGTTAAGCAAGTTACGAAAGTGCCGTATTAATTGATTTTTTAAAAAAACTGGATGAAAGGTAGAAAAATTTTAAAAAGAAAAAAATTGAATATAAACATTGTTGATTTTTACCTCTATATGTAGGTGCTTTATAATAAAACGGGATTAAATACTATACAATTTGTCCCATTCATTCTTATGAAAGAAAATGAGAAGGGGCGTGAAAAGAAAGTCAAAAAAATATTTGATCACTGCATGGCAAGATTATATTATATATAGTTGATGTTTCATACAAAGTACGGTACATGTATTCTAGTCACTTTGTATGAGCAATGGTATATAAATCATAAAATATACAAAAAAATTGGGTCAATGTCAAACATCCCATACCATATGATACTTCATTTATATTTTGCATGATGAGAAGGTACTGGTATATATAAAAACAGTTTATTATTAATGAAAATTTTAAGGGAAATTTAAAGAAAATTAAAAAAAGAAAAAACTTCAATTCATATATGTAGCCAAAATTACTTTTTTCAAGACCCCACTTTTTTGCCATTTTCAAATTTCAAGATCCCAAGATTTCAAGATTTTTGCTTAAAAATTTCCAGACCCCCCTCCCCATTTTCACCTCCACTCCCCCCCCCCACCCCCCCGACTTAAACCGTCCCATATCGATCTCAGAAATGTCAGTTTATAATTTTTATTATTTCAAATCATCTAAATATTATCATCAGATTTCCATGATCTTAAATATTAAAAAGATTTATCATAAATTTGAAGGGAAGCATGTTTTAATTTCTGTTATCGTTTACACATGCCTGACTCACGAGACTTCTCGTGATCATGACGTCGGACGATGACGTCATAGGGAAGTGTTTACATCTGGTCGAAGGTACAAATTCTTGTTCGGATCTACGAAGTTATATTGAATTACACTATAAAATGAAGTTCAAGTTTAAGGAAGAGAACACATTTGGTAAGTATAAGTTCTTAGGATATGAACATAATAGTGTTATGGATAGTATGGAATGAAATGAGATGGAAACCCCGTTTTACACGGAAAAAAAGGGCCAGGTTGGGATGGGAATTCCCCCTTGTTTGTTAACAAGATTTGACAGTGAATCTGTGGTGATTGTACAAATTAGATTAATAAATGATGCTTTCACTCTATTAGAATTGTGCAACAGTATGCATGTGCTACTATAAATCGTTTAATTGTTTTGGTTATGTTTTGCTACATATGAGGAAGTTCTAAAATTTAGACTAAATCGTGATGAAAAAATTATATGTAGTTTTTGTTGAACCATTTCACTTATCATTGACTGGTTTAGTTGTCATCGTGCATATTGAATGATTAATGTTTTCCAGATTTCAGAATTCTTCATTTGTAATAAAGTACAGCAACATAATGGTTAGATTTAATTAAAAAATTATATCATTAATATTTATATTTAAATTATAGTAATCTCACCCTTTTAAAATTAATCTAGAATTATCTAAGATGATATTTTAGGGCATATAACTGAATGACCATTGCTAGGGCCTTTGTATGAGTTGGTATTCTGGCCACAATTCCAAATAACAATTTCCTATATAGGGTTGCATGTTTGTTCTCCTGAGTCCATTAATGGTGGTCAGTAAAGTTAAATTGCTAGGATGATTTCACATGCAAAATGAATAGCAGTGAACCTGTTTTTTTGCTGTGCTGCAAAAATATGATACAAAAATGTGTTGACAAGGTATTTTCTAAAGTGCACCCAGTCTGATATTTAATTATTTGGTTATTATTTTATGTCATCTTATTCTAGTCTTAATACCTATATCAGTCCCATTGTCTGATATATGCTAAGCAAAGCACATCCTGAATGCTGATGCAAGTATGATCATAATTTTGAAAAAGGTTTTGGTGGCCTCTATGTAAGTGATAAAATAGACATTTTCTCAACTTAGGCAAGATAAAAGAAATTAAGTCATGTACATGTACAAGGTTTTGGTCCATTTGTGGATGAGGTGAATGGTGATTTCTCATTTGAATGGCCAATATGATCAGTCTTCTGATTTAGATGAAAGGGAGGGTGTGTTGATACATCAATTTGAAATATAGACCTCTGTATGTCTTTGGGTTTTAAGTGAAGAGTTCTGATGACCAATTTGATTTTAGAATATCTTTTCTTACTTGGGATGTAGGGAGGAGGGGAATAAAAATGTGTACATTTTAATAAGATTTGATTCCCTAACAGTGACATGCAGAAAAGTAAGAAGTAACTGATTATTTGAACTCTTGATATAATACAATTGTACATGCTTTTCATGTTCTGCATGAATGAATGAATTGTGATGAATTATACTAATTTATTTTTTTCAGATACCCGTAAATGTGAGTCTGCCAAAATCCGTTCCAAGTATCCTGACAGAATTCCAGTGAGTGAACTTTCTTACCTCAAAATTATGTAGTTCATTGTTTTGGAATAATAAAAAAAATTATATATATGAAAAATTTATTCAAATTCTATTCTTTGAATAGATATAACGTGATATAAACAATCTAGTAAATTAGTAATTTAATTTATTTTTATTTTACATTACTCTGTACTACATGGTAGTTTAAAATTGTTTTAACCCATTACTTATATTACTTTGTATCACAGGGGATTTAAATATTCAGTATATTAATTTTTTTACTATATTCAGGTTAAATATGCACATGATTGAGATATTTAGGAATATATGTTATATATTATGCAACATAAACCAGCTGTAATCTGCATTTGGGATTTGTGTATATCGTATATGTTTAAAACTGTTTTGAACATTATATGTAAAGTGTGAATGTTCTGTTCATCTGTCTGACAAAATGATGATATTTCAGCCAGCATTTATGTAGTTCAGTTGATTTTAGAATTTGCCTTTTTTGAAAAATCATAAAAGTTATAACAATTTTTTCATTATCACGAAGATGTACCCCTTTTGAGAAAATAATAATTAACCTGTTTTTGAATTGTAAATGTTTCATTTAACCATATATATATATCCAATGAAATATTTGTGAGTATCTTTCTCTTTTATTAGAGGGACTCAAAGATTATGAATTTAAAGTTAAAGGTCAAGAACGGACTTACGGATTATGATTCTGTGAAGTTTTGGTGCGACATACAGTACACATACATTGGTGATTAAATGGAAAATTAATTTTTTGCTCTTTGTGTCCCTTTAAACTTGGGTCTTTATCCAGAATCAGATTTTAACAACTTTTCTTCTATCCAACGCTGTTTTCAGGTTGTGGTTGAGAAAGCTCCAAGAAGCAACATTGCAGAAATAGACAAAAGGAAATTCCTTGTTCCAAGTGATATTTCAGTGGCTCAGTTCATGTGGATCATCAGGAAGAGGATTCAGCTTCCACCTGAGAGGGCGCTCTTCCTTTTTGTGGGAAAAGTTTTACCAACATCAAGGTGATCATTCTTTATTTTATATATATATTCTTCAAGCATGAGTTGCCCTTTATCTGATCTTTATTTTCATTGCCTTCCTTATGCTTGTATGATATAAAGCTCAAACAATTGTGATTTTAGTTTTTTGATTCAAGAGTCATGAATTGATAAAAAGAGGGGAAAGATACAGAGGTGGTGATAAGCACAGTAGTTGAAGTAAATAGAGTTCAGTCCCATGGAACCATAGTCTTGTCCATGTCTGATAGTGATCAGTATATTGCCTTGTAGCACCTGAGTTCTCAGGTGAAGTAGCTGTAAGGTATAGGTGACATCTTTGTCCCTGATCTTAAGGTGAAAACAGGTGACAGTCTTAAATCTTTGTTAGATGCTTGCTTCATCTTTTGGTTTTAAGCTTCTTGTGCCGGCTTTGCCTTGGTCAGTATCACTTTTCTGAGGTCTGCAAAGCAACATATTGTCCTCACCCCAATCTTATAATTGTATAAAACCGCTATATCAGATTATGTATGTTATTTTGATCATTCAAAAAAATACACCCAGATCTAAGCTAACAAAAATTATATAACATGTGTATATGATGTTGCAATCTGAATAGAGGAGGTATGTGTACAACACACAGAACATGCGTAGACTTAGGGCCGATTCCCAATGAAACTATCTGTCCACATAGATCGATCCAATTCCTAGGGGACCCTCGCTGAATGCAATCATATGAACAGATTAACAGTACTGCCCTCCTGGCATTGCTTATGTTGGAAACAAGAGGAGACATGTAAATCTGTTGATCTGATTGCATTCAGCAGAAGTCCATGCAGAGTTGGATCGATCTATGCAAAGCAATAGCTTCAGTAGTGGGAATTAGCCCTTAGTATACAAGAGTATGTGTACAACACCCTGTGTTTTATTACTACATGTCTACTCTACACAGAGTTGGATGGATCTATGCAAAGCAATAGCTTCAGTAGTGGGAATTAGCCCTTAGTATACAAGAGTATGTGTACAACACCCTGTGTTTTATTACTATATGTAGAGTAGGTCACACTTAACGGGGACACACACTGGTATATTAATACACCTGATAATTATAAGTTATCAGATCAGACCATACAGTACAGCAAGAAATATCAGATGTATTTGTCAGTAGCATAGAAGAGACATGCACTTAAAACAATACAGTACAAGAGAACTCTTTTTTATTGCAGAAATACAACCACAGTATTATCAATGTGTACAGATTGTATCACTTGATAACCAATAAATCATGTGTTGTTGATATGTTTCTGATGTTTTCATATTTATAAAATTGTACATAAGTGTTGGTAAATAAACCAAAGTGCTAACTGGTACACCTTGAAAGAAACTGGACATCCAAGAATATATATATATATATATATATATATATATATATATATATATATATATATATATATATATATATAATATTGCCAAATCTCACATGACTTTGAGAGAGAGAGAGAGAGACAGAGAGAGAGAAATATAAAACATCAAGACTTTAGTGAAAAAGATAAGTATTAGTAGTGTTACAGTTTTAATGTTTCTTTCAGTAGCTGCAATAAATTAGAGTGTAGTCTTACAGTAATTTGTCATCAAATTCAGACAAATTTAGTCAAAATAAAATTTAAACAATATTTTGTCAGTGAAACTGGCAATTTTGATTCACAAGTTACTTTGTAGTTTGCTTTGTATCAGAAGGCTTTGTTTTGATTAGGGTCTAAAAATGCTAAATCTTTAAAAAGGTAACATATTGGTACCCTCCACCAGGGCGAGTGATAGATTTTTTACAGATATTCACAGATATGTCTCTAGCTAGATAGATGGTCATTTAGAGCTCAACTCTATATTTTTCAAACACACATATTGGAGTGTGTTTGAAAAATTTAGTAAATTACTTTGCAGTATATCACTGTGCTTGGTCAGGTATGGTTTGAAAATAGCAGATTGGTAAAGCTAATGACAGAGTGGCTGCAGTAGGGAAGAAGGGGGAGGTTATTAACTTGATAGATGCGCACTTGCATGGAGATCAGGTCTTGGCAATGAGCCAGTTAGCCTCCCTGGACATATATTATGTCTGACAGCCAAAGTTAATACACATGTAGTCATCCTCTGGTGAAGGTGAATGCCCAGAGACAAATCTTGGGGTCACAGTCCAAGGTTTTATCTTGTCTCAGTCTGTTTGTATGGACTGAGAAACAAGGCTGATCTCGGCAGTCAGTAGGATATGGAAATAGAACCCAATGGTGATAAGAATGCTACATATCATAGGTGTAACAGCCTGGGGTGTTTTCGGATCAAAAAAAGACCTAAGCTTTAAGTCAAAAATTTTGGTCTCCTTAAGTTCAAGACAAGTGTATAGCAGTCCACAGAAGTTGAAAGGGATAACAACTATTCATGAGATTCAAAATCCCACAATAAATACATTGTAAACAACACATAGAGATACAATAGTTATTCCAATTATTCCGAAATCTGTGCATGCCAGTGGACCAGCGGCACCTTCATAGATGGCTTCCCCCATAATAATCTCTAAAGAGATTATTACAATAAAAACACCTAAAAAAATGATCGACTAACTTTGAATGTGGGAACAGATTCATAAACCATTGGAAAAGCATGGGAAAATGGCATTTACCACTGGAAAATACATTTTATGGCACTTTCCCCTCCAAACTGAAAAGTTGTTATCCCTTTAACAGAGTACTGGTCTGAAATAACCAGCAATGACTTTTTGTTATGATATACAGGTGTAATATTCTTTTTAAAAGGAAATATCTTGGATCAAAGTGACATAGAAATTTGGTCTATCAGTTTAGATTAATTTTAGAGCTAGCTTTCTTTATAAAACGGACCTAGTTCATATTCATCATGTTAGAAATTATTTCTGTCATATTGAAATTGTACAACTGTATGTAGATTTGCTTTCATTGTTTTTGGGAATGAGAAGAATATCACATAAACTATAATCAGAATTACCTTTGGTGAAGTTGTGTTAAAATTACTGATGTTGCATGCATGCATATCTATTTTATGTGGCATTTTATAAGCCTTTTCAAGCAAATGAATGTTCAAACACCTAAATGTGTCTGTTGTTTCTTTCAGTGCCAGCATGGGAAGTATTTTTGAAGAACACAAGGATGAAGATGGCTTCCTTTACGTAGCATACAGCGGAGAAAATACATTTGGCTGAGACTAGCTAATGGCATACACGGACTTGCAGGCTGGATCCTGTACTAACTGTATTCACAGGAAGACGACTGGATTTTATGGCTCACAGATGACCAAACTTGGCAGTGATTATGGACAAATCGGGGAAGGTGGTTACCTTCTCCGTACTGTGCAGTTACATGACACAGTTTTTTTTTTTTCCTTGATTGTTTGTACTGTCAATAAGTGTATTTTGCCAGAGATTTCTTATAAATTATGCTTGGTTAGCTAGGGAAGAAACATGTGCAACGTGATTGGTTATGTGGACATTAAGGAATCATTATATCAGCCAATGACGACCAAATCTTATTTTAAACTGACCAATCAGGAGATTAGCAGGATTTTTAATTCAAGCGGGGACATTCCGTGAATTTATTTGCTCATCATATATCATGATGGTGTATTAATTCAGAAGATCAAAGAAATTGGGATTTTATACCCAGTTTCGGGCAGCAAATCTACCTACTAGTACAGTACAGTAAAAGCTTTGCAGAGATAATTATTATTGAAGAACTGTTAATCCTTTTAGTTTTGCTGTCTCTGTTCTGCAATGTGATGTATTTAAAAAAATTTGAAGATAATCATAACAATTTATCCTAAGAGACCTTTCCTTTTTAAGTATTTATGTTAAAGTGAAAATCTGTGGAATATAAGCATTTGCAAGTGTAGTATTCCTTTGTTGCATTTCAAAGTTGAAGCCCAGGAAAAACCATATGTATTGTGACACAGTACAACACTAATGTGTCATTATCAGGTATTGTATGCTTGTGCAACTGCAAATATACGTAATGTGTTACAAAAGTAGTTACATGTAGTTATGTGTTATAAATCTAGTTTGTTAATGTTGACCTTATGTGAAAATAATGACAAAATTTTGTATGTGTTGACCTGATATGAAAATAATGACAAAGCGTTGTGTTTACCTCATTTGAAAATAATGATAAAAAATTAGTGTACATTTTGTGAACATGATAAAATTCTGTTTGTGTTGATCCTATGTAAAATTAATGAGAAACAACGCCACTTCTTAATATTACTTTAGTGTGTCTTTCTTCATACCAGAAAATAGAAGAATATGAAAGTGTCATCCATTCTTGAGGGTTAAAATATTAAATAGTTAAGTCTTGTCATCAAGTTTGTGTAGGCCTAAAGAAATTTCCCATTGTTGCATTTTATTTGACCAGCACAATTAATCTGACTGATTAGAAAAGTTCAACCAAATATTGGGCTCAAATTACAGGAGGGGGGAATCCAGAATATACAGGGGTCTAGTGCAAGTTTGCCTTGGTGATTCATCTAGAGTTACATATCTCCTGTTTGTGACTGTGGATGTCTACTGCAGTGGAAATCTGAGATAAGATTAAAGTCGTTATAAAACGGGTTGCAGTAGAGAAGTTATGAAATACCTGCAGTTTTCTTTTACATAATGATTGCTGCTACATGCAGTGATTTGAAAAGACAATGTTACTTGTTGACACAAAGCACAAAATGCTTTTTTTTCAAGTAAGAAAATAAGAAAGACATTTGGTACGAGTGCACTTTTAACAAGAGGTTATGACTACAGAAATTATCTTCTGCTGTGATAAAAATCTTTAAATTTGATGATGCTCACATCACCTGTGGCCCACGTGTCTGTTGTTTGTTTGAGAATTCCACTCCATGACTAGAACAAATTCCATCTGTTAAGTTTTGAGTATTGAAAACTGTAGTTTGATGCAAAACGATTTTTAATAATTAAACTGAAGAAGGCATCTGTTTTACAAGTTTTTTATTTAATATTTTTTAATTTAATTATTATTATTGTTTTTGTTGTTATCCTACAGTCCTGGATGTAATAGTCAAACCCATGTTTGACTATATTTGTATAAGTCACCACATAACTAAATTAAAAACATTGACAGTCAAATTTTTATCAATTTGGTTCCACGCTAAAATAAGTACCAACATCTTTATCTTTAATCATGTAATCTTTTTAAAAAGCATGACAAACATGAGCGTGAAAACCATTAAAATCGCATACAGAAACCTAAGACCCAGTAAAATTGTTAGTGGGTCTTGGCAAAAGTAATGCACATAACAAGGTTCGCATACTAGGACGTATTTCACTTTGGTAAATCTTGCGTGCGTGATTTTGGCTGGATGATCGTGGATGGCGTGTTCGATCAGAAATGTACCTGCTTAGTTCGATACAATTCAGACAGCAGAAAATGAGAATATTCGGAGACCGTTGCTTTGTTGTGCACGACGTTCATGCACTATGGTATGGCATTGACATACATGCAAAAATAAATAAACGATAAAATCGTCATTCTTCCTCGACTTAACTGCATTTGACAAACAATATCATTTCTACTTGTTTTGGCGTTTTTGTTTCCCAATTTTTTCACGTACTTCATTCTCATAAATATTACATCTTTAAGTACAAAGGTGAGGTCGATCTTATTAGACCAAAAATTATGCCATGTAACGGCACCCTCAATGACGAGAAGGACGGTTAGAGTCCACTAACTAAAGTCTATAAAAGACAGAGTTTGCTTGGAGAAAAGAAGAACTAAAAAATGTCCAGTTTCGTGGTAGAATTCGTCAGATCAGGTACCAAGTTTATTGCAGAATAGGGATCTGCTTGTTCACTGCAGAAACAAGAACCTCAATGTCAGAATAAACAGTGTCAACGTTGGTGGTTTTAGAGCGTCCAGTGGCCTGGTTTATTGCAAAATCTCCAACAGCGCTCGTCTGACTCTTTGGTGAAGAGTAATCGCCATTTTGGGTTGGCGTTGGGGACACAGCAGTATCTGGACACATGGCATCCATCTAATTCTACTTTATCCCCCCCCCCCCCAAACACAGTCGCCCCCCCTCCATCCCTAATTTTAAATCTATTCATCTGTCTCCCTCACTCCATCCCTGTCCTCCAACCTCCATCCCTAATCTTAATTCTATTCGTCTATCTCCCTCTCCCTCTCCCTCCATCCCTCGCCTCCACCCTCCAACCCCAAATTTAAATCTATTCGTCTTTCTGTCTGTGTCTCTCTCTCCCTCCATCTCTCCACCTCCGTCCTCCATCGTCCTTTACCCATCCGTCCGTCCGCCCGTCCGTCAATGCGCCCCTACCTCCCCCCTTGCATGTCTGTCTGCCCGTTCGTCAGCGTGTCTGTTTACCCCGCTTTTGAACCTCATTAACCCGATCTTGTTAGCGAGCCTCCTCTCTGTCTCACTCAACGGCAATCGGCTTTCGGGCTCTTCCCACATGCAACCTTCAACGAGATACCCCAGGTCGGCGTAGAGGGCAGAAGTGTGCATGATCTTTCCCAGCAACACCCCGACGCTGTAGATGTCCGAGAAAACAGATGGCAACTCCCCTCTCCTCACCTCTGGGGCCAGCCAGCAGTATCTGTCCTCGTTCTCACGGTCAGAGTCGATGTAGTAGGGGATGGAGTTTCCTACATGGGTAGCATTACCGAAATCGATAAGACTTACTCTGTACCGGTGGGGGTACTGTGGAACAACTTGAACCATCACGTTGTCGCACTTGATATCGTTGTGGAGCACGCCACGGCCATGACACGAGTGGACGGCCCTCACCACCTGGACGCAGATATGGATGAAATCCGCCCTGGTCACGCTCCTTTTGAAAAAATACGATGAAGTGGATATTAAGCAAATAACTTGATTAAATGATAGATTCATCTATGATAAACGGATATTACAGAGTCTGAGAGGAGCCAATTTCCACATTCATATATAAAAGATACTTGGTAATTGCCATTAAAGAAATTGATAAATACATGCATAAATTATTTATGGGACAAATAACAAGTAGGAAATAACAAAGAATAAGAAAAACAGATACATGATAATGATAGGTGCAGATAAATATGATCAAAGTAAGGTATCAATGCTCATACCTTTGAAAGCTAAGATTGGAGATCCACTTCTTCAGGAATTTCCTCAGCGTTATCCCGGGTACGGCCGACATCACAAGACCGGGCCTATTGCTTCCTACCACCTGGCCGTACACTTTGGGGACACAGTGGAGTTCACTAAGGGACAGCAGCACGCTGGCTTCGTGTGCCATCTGCATGGAGCTGCCTCTGAAGAAAAACTTCACAGCGACGTCTTGGGACAGCCCGCCGTCGACGGGATAATAGCGATGCAGTATGACTTCTCCAAAGGCACCACTCCCTAGTACCGATACCCCACCTGGCCCTTCCCGTAGGCTGGTCATGTGGATATCAGTCAGGCATCCATATGGGGAACCTAGAACACCAGCGCGGCAAGGCGTCCAAGTTTTCCATGTCTCTTGACATGGACTCCACGTCCTCCATAGAGAGGTCTCGCTACTTGGTGTCTCCGAGGTCAAAGAAAAGGGGCTTGATTCATAGAGACGAGATTTGTGGTGGTAATATCTTTCTCCTAGTGCCCCCAGGCCGATGTCTTCAAGTAAAATACTATTTCTCTGTTGGCCAGTAATCTTACGGACCTTACGCTAGAAGAAGGTTGAAAAATAACACATGTATCAGATATATCGTTTGCGTTAAAAAAAAGATGTATATCTTAATTAGTCGAAACTGTTTTTATAACAAAACATTGAGAGAGAGAGAGAGAGAGAGAGAGAGAGAGAGAGAGAGAGATGCAATCATACAATATATACAATAGAAAGGGAAAAATGAAAGTTGAAATAAGTTTGGACTCATAATACACGTATGAAGGCATGTAATGTAATCTTACCTCTTCAGAGCCACTCTGCTGCCCGTAAATGGTATAGTACTGCCCAGAACTTAGAATGATGGGCAGCACTTTACCAACAAAATACAGGGTTGCACGCCCCTTTACAACCTGAAGAACGAAACAGAAAGATGCGCAATGGCAGATAAGCAGACCGGTGGACGACGGGAATACATGAACTGGTTTGAATGCATTACTTCAGTTATATGTGTGATGCACATATATATATATATATATATATATATATATATATATATATATATATATATATCATCTATGATTCCATTTAATTACGCTAAATGTTAAAACAAATCACGGGTATGTATTCGAATTCTGATTCACTGTCAGTTTAACAGTTTTAAACAAATGGAATCATGAGTTTTGTATGAGGTCATATGACACACCTCATTTTAGTTGCGAAATTGTTTTGTACAAAAAACATTCACGCATTCTTCTACTCAGCTTGAATATTTAGGGTGCGCTCTAACTCTTGCTACAAAGATACTTACACGTTTATACAGAAAAGTAAATAAATCCATCGTTTTATCGCGGAATGCGACACTTAATATAGCCATCTTGGCTGTCGTCAAGAAAACAACGAAGATGTCTTTATGGCAACTGTGGATGGCGTCATAAACCATCATGACAATCGACTTACTTCATGACGTCACAAAGGTATAATCAATTGTCGTGTGAATATTTTAGGTTATATCGCTATAATTTATAATTCCATAAAGCGAATCAGTAAAAAATCGTTACTGGCAACAATTTCTAGGTATCGAAAATAATAACCTGGACTAAATCAAGTTGATAGCAATAGTTTTCGACAGGCTGTTTTGTCATGGCTTACTCGCTTCATTAATGATATTATTTCTACTAGATTATACTGTTGTTTAGGTAATCAAAACATTTTAGTGCACAAATAAGTGTATTATCATTACACATCTATCATTTATGTTTTCTTTTTTATATTTTTGTAAACACGTACCCGAAAGTCTTCTCAGTAGTAAATTTTATAATTGACATTTCTGTCGCTGCACCTACTATAGTCTGGGGCGCCGAAGTTAGTGTCTATTGTCAATTTTTTTTTCCATAAACGCACCTGGCAACTAAAAACTTGTTTCGTATTCCAAAAACGATTCTGGCAACCAGAAACTGGTGTCGTTTTTCAAAAACGAACCTGGTAACTAGAAACTAGTGTTGTTTTTCAAAAAACGATTCTGAGAAACCAGAATCGTTTTTGCGGAAGGAAACAAGAGTGGATGGAGGAAGGAGTGACCGGAGATAAACGCCTACCGCGACCAAGTGACCTCTACCGTAATAATAAGCAGTCCTCCGCCGTGCACCGTGCGCTGACGCCTTGCGCTGACGACCGCCGATCGTTGTCTACGATGAAATATCCTAGGTAATTAATAATAACTTGAACTGTTTTTTACACAACATTTTGCAGATTTTCTTTATAAATTTCGCTCAGTTAGTTACATGCAATTAACAGTAAGTAAAAGTGATTTAATGAAACAACGCGCCAAACATTTTCTTTCAGAATTTTCAAAACAAGAGAAACTTGATGTAATACAAATATATACCAATTCCTTTATACAAATATATACCAACTCCAATTTTTCTCAGTTTAAATGTGTGTTTTATTCGTGCGTAGACAGTTAAAATATTAATTGTGTAGAGTTATCTATGGATGCAACAAACAAGACAATTCAATAACGTTTTCCTTTAAAAGTATCCATCTATGTTTCAAAAAGAAAGAAAGAAATATCAATAACCGTACGATTACGCTATACATACCGTAAGATTGAATGAAAATCCCCTTTTCTGTCACAATCCCGCCCCAATTCGTCCACTCGACCTATGAAAGCTAATTAACATGCCCAGTCAAGCAAAATCAAGTATGTTAACTTTGAAAATGATTTTTTTATTTTTATTCATTTATTTTTGTTGTGTGTGTGCGTTTCATTATGACTTCATCAGCCCCTAATCCTCTTTTCGAGATGGAGACTTATTTTGCCTTCTCATAAACTATAATTCAAATCGAAGCGTCCGTGACCTCTTCATTATTACGTAGATCAGGTGAGCGTTTTGGTGAGAGGTGCTCAGTTAGGACCAAGGTCAGTAGAAGATGGAGAAGAAGGATGCCCCATGCCATATTACTGCTACTGCCACACGTAGGCCGAAAAGATGGCACTGAAACCGGCAGCAGTATCTCGTAAGTAACGTACAGATGATAGAAAATGTATTGTGGCAATTTTTAGTTTTGCATTGACGATATTTTCCCAAAATGGTGCACTCTAGGCATAATGTCGATGAGGACATCTAACTGACATGAAGTATACTTTCTCTTAGCTTTCCCTCATGGTCTTTTGGGCACCCTTTTGTTTTTGATACCATTAGCTTTCCATGAGGGTTCACTATAAATCTAAATTTGTATAATTTTAATTGCGATTTGTTAATTATATGGCAAAGGATACTGACATGAATAGCTGCAATGAACATGTGCTGCTTCATCAGATGTTTAGATATTGTTTCATGAATGGGAATTATATCCTTTAATTCCAGTGACTCTAAGTACCGTTTACGAAGATACCAGAAGCGTCCTACTCAGAGACACGTTTCGTGTTCGACACATGCAGCCCCATACCCATGTTTTGCATTGACGATATTTTCCCCGATATGGTGCACTCTAGGCATAATGACTATGTGGACATCTAACTGACGTGAAGTATACTTTCTCTTAGCTTTCCGTCAGTGCTTTTCGGGCACCCTTTTGTTTCTAATACAATTAGCTTTCCACGAGGGTTCAATATGAATATATATATGTATAATTTTAAAGCTTAATTGCGATTTGTTAATTATAACTCAAAGGCTGCTGATACGAATTGCTGTAATGAACATGCACTGCTTTATCAGATCTTCAGACATTGTTTCGTGAATGTGAATTTATTACTTGAATTCCAGTGACTCTAAGTGCCGTTTACGAAGATACCAGAAGCGTCCTACTCAGAGACGGGTTTCGTGTTCGACACATGCAGCCCCACACCCTTGCCAAGATTGCCTCCTATGCCAACGTTTGTCTGCTCGTTAATTTGCAGGGACGACATTTAGTAAGTGATTTTATGCTTGCTTTTGGTTGTAAAATTCTGCTTCCAAACGTATGTCAAATTAAAAGTCGAATAAAATGAGCTTTTTATTTATGAAACTTCTCCCAGTAATTAAATCCATACTTGGTGTCCACCCTGCATGTCGCTGGTTTGCTCTTTTTGGTAATTGTGTATTACTATGTCATACTGTAGTACAGTGCTCTAGGGCCATTCCGTGGTATTTGGTCCGCAGACCTCAAAATTAAAAAAAAAAGAATCATACTTACAAAACTTATATTTTCTGAAACCAGACACCATAAGACACCAGAATCCAAAAGGAATTTTAGGTTTTGATGATTAATTATGATTTTATTGACACTTTTATCTGGAAAACTTATAAAATAGTGTTACGGAAGGACATTTTTATTTTTGATATATTTTTCATAATAGTGATCATTTTAAACAATAAAGGGTAAATACATTAAATATAGCTTATTTCTTACATTTAGTCAAGTGCATTAGATTAAAAAAATATTTGGTTATAAAATAATGGATTAATTAATATCAATTTGTCCTTCCGAGATGATTTTGGTACCTATTTTTATGTACAGACACAGATGTGTCTGTACATATAGCCATCATCTGCGTCTGTCGTCGCCGTCGTCGCCGTCGTCGCCGTCGCCGTCGCCGTGCACTTTTACCGATAACACGATAAGTGGAAAAACATTTTACCTTTTGACTTGAAACTTGCAGAACTGATGAATATTCATAATACGCAGGTCAAGTTCGAAAATCAGCATGATCGGGTCACTTTTAGGGAATTTATGCTGTTTTTTCACTTTTTTCAGCATATATGCAGCACCGATAACACGATAAGTGGAAAACCATTTTACCTTTTGACTTGAAACTTACAGAACTGATGAATATTCATAATACGCAGGTCAAGTTCGAAAATCAGCATGAT